ACTGAATGCCACACGTCATCTTCACACTGTATCGTGAGAGCAACTGTCAGTTGTGATTCAGACTACAAACAATTCCATTCTTACATAGGTAAGTGGATTGTTATTCAGCGTTGAACTAAGCGGTTACCGTAAGCCTTGAAACACTGCTTAGAAAATATTCAGGTAGCCTTCGAATAATCATTTCGATTCTTCAGCCGCCACAATTCTGCTAGGGCTTTCGAGTAAGTGATATTTAATCACCGTTTCATTGCTTTACCAGGTATCTTCTGTCTCCTCTCTGGCCGTTTTTAGTTTACTATTCAGAACACTTATTTGTTTTTCCTGCCCTACGATGACTTACGATGAGCTACAACATAAACTAAAAGGGGGTGCTTGTTGCGTGTGTTCTGACTTTAATCTTGTAGTTGATTCAAAAACGCCAACTATTCTTTCTGTTTGGCCCCATTCAGTTTGTTTGTGTAATCATGTGGAGGTTTGTTTTGATTGGTGTCACCATTGTATTTCGCCTTAGTCAGAAACTGCACCAGCCGTAAAAATTGAAGTTATGTAAATAAACTTTGTATATATATCCTGCTGTAAAAGACAATTTTCGCAGAGTTCATCTAAAACAAGCATACACTTGTGGTTTAGCAACCAAGTGTTCGGGATTTGTCCGGTCTTCTTTCTGGTTTTGGAGCTGTGGAGATTTGCATCTTCCCCGCGCACCAAACGGCGAGTTGCTATATTAGTGTCAATATTAGGCTTTTTGGTCTTGATGCCTCATAATATATTGAAGCAAGTCATTCAATGGTGAACTAGAAGTGGGGAGCTGGAAAGAGATTGTTGATAACCATATGTAGTGGCTGCGAACACCAGGAGCAATCCCTTCTTATATTGCAGCCCTCCCCGTTTGCTAGAAACTATGAACGGGAGATTCTAGGCAGACACGAGATAGAGAATATTTACCATTTTTGTCACCTACCTTTTGGGCAGCTGTAAATTTCCTCAAACTTATCGCGTTTACAAATTCATTGCGACGACACAACTCGCTTGATATTCGACCACCCACAAATATCCGCTTCCAGCGCTATATTTTATCGTACATTCGGGGATGAAAATCACCATTATCGTGTAATAAACCAAGTTTCTGATCCATATGTCAAGCGAACTAGCCACCTGTCGTTAACCATTCCATTTTTTTCCATGTGGCCTAATAAATCTGCCCACATACTTATCTGAACGTTTCTTATCCATCTGCCATCAACGACAACAACAGCCAAAGAGTAAAGTCAGTGCACCGAAGATCTACCCAGGAAGGCTTTAATCTCCTGAGGAGAAGGCTGGCAGACAGCCATCATGCGAACATCTAAGAATATTGTTAGGATGAATGTACCAGATGCCTGTATACACATCAACCAGAAAGCTGGAAAAATTGCCTCAGCTCGTAGTTTTTTGATTTTTGTTGGAAGGAGAACGTGATACTTCGGTAAAGTTTTTTGGTCTGTATCTCAACAAGTGCTGTCTGGAACACATCTCATGTATGCATGGGATTGTGGTAGCACGCAGACTGCATAGGAGCACTTACTTTCTTATGGTATGCATAAATTCCTCATTGCTGAGATACCAAAGAAGAAGGAGACCGTGTTCGGCATCTATTCCCTGGTACAGCAAAGTCGGGATAGAATGGCAGTGTCTTTGTAATCTGAAGACAGTTCACGAGGAGGACAGCTGGATCACTTGGATGTGGAAATCTTTGGAAAAACGTCATTTCTTTGGACTGACGACCACATCGCTGATACAAATAGTCCGTATGCCATCCTTCAGACGAGTGAGTCTGACTGGATTATCGGCTGGACAAGCTTAGTAAGCCGAAGTATGAAGATCACTGCATCACGATAACTTTTTTCCTAGGGGTTGAGGAATAAAGATATGGTTTGTGTCAACGTTTGGAGTGGGAACTAAGAGAGTCAATATATGTTTGGGATTGCTACCTTAATATGTCTTGTGGGAGTTAAAGGAACGGAGGATTCTACAAACGTATGGTCACACGAGATATATGACATTTGTGTCAAATGGTATCCACAGTCGAATGAGGGCCTATGGAGACTGTATATAACCAGGTCCCGGAGTCCATTTGAACCCAACGTAATCAGGAGGTTGTAAATCTAGCCAGAGGAGTGTGGTATGTGATAACTGAGTCATTAACTTAACATTTTTACTTCAGTCGCCATCATAGCACTTCACAGTAGGAAAATCTTCTATTCATTATAGGTATTCGACAGATAGAAGTATAATGTGTTCTCAAGCATTCGAAAGTCCATTTCCATCTAACATAACGTCTCTCACTCGCCATTATCATTTTGAAAAACGACTAGTTTAGAACATTTTGAAGCCCCCCTCGGGTACGCAATACGTTTAGAGAATATATTAGAAAGATTAAAACAAACTGAAACGAAAGATTTTGATGAAATATGTTCGGTAGAAAAGTTCGTTGATAGCCCAGGGTTCAAGTTGGCCGCCACATCAGGTTGCTATGCTCTGTGAAGTGTACGGTGAAGGCGTACCTGCCCAGTACCAGTAGCTTATGAACGCCACTAAAAGCTAGCTATGCACCCCTGCTGAAAGTGATGCCTGAGGCATGGTTGCCAAATAAACCAGGTTATGGAAAACAGCGTTGAGCTTGAGTACTGCAAAGGTGGGGTCAAAAATAGTGGTACTGTTTATCAGCTGTAAAATAAATTTGTGGTAGATGTAAAGGTACGTGTGCAAGTGTCATTCTATGAATACTGGTCCTATGATCTGGGTTCAGTAACAGAAGACTCAGGTGTGGGTTACAGTAGCTGACGGAAGTCCTCCTCAAATGTCACTGAATGAACTGCGTACAAAACAAAGTGCTGCTTTAGACGCTAATAGAGCCTTAGTAGCGCAAAGATATCACGGTCACCGTGACTTGACATAAGAAAGGATAACAATAGGTCAGTGAACAACCAGCTGTGAGCGGATAGAGGGCCACCACGAGGAGTACGGTCTCAAAAGAACAACTGTTTCCACCATTGTCGATGCAATCGTCACTCATCAACAATAAAGTACTTCCTCGATTTCTCGAAAAGGTGTTGCTTAAAAAGTCACTAATTCACGCTGATTGCCCTCCAGGTTGATATAACTGTTTGGTATTTCTGTTGCTCTTCCACACTTCTGTGTTTCAAACTCTGCTTTCTATTGGAAGTAAAAGTGCCTTTGTTATTCCATTATCCTGAGGAGGTGATTAATGGCTAGTGACTAACTAGTCGGTGGTCATTCTTCCCGGTATTGTTGCTAGGATTATGGAGACGACAGCACGGGTTGAGTAGATAGAGCATGTCAATGTATCAGCTATTGATGCAAGAAAGTAATGGACTCCAAGCAAGGCTCTCTTAACCGCCGAAGGTGCAGTCGGGAAGAAAGCGCTTTGTTGAAGATATGATTTCTACTTACTTCATCAAGACCTTTGACGAGGTGAGCCAAATAGTGCTGGGGAAGTTGTTGTGCTTGGTACTGAAAACTATGTTCAGTAGTCTGAACACTTGTTTGAGGACAAGATGTAAGAGTAGGTGAGGTGCTCACGGGGTAAAAAATTCTCAGAAATTGTTATCCCACCACGTTCTACCCTTGAAGCTTATCTACTCTTTCTCAGTGCTCAGAGGCTGCTAAGACTGCCTACTTCATCACCATAGCCATTCAGTTATTGTGTTAAAATTGAAAGAATCATTCGTAATGAAAAGGACCGGTCTTTACTTCTAGCCTACGTAGGCGAACTGATCTAGCAGTTCGGATGAAGGAGCTTCAGCTTCAGTGAAGTGCAATAATCAATGGCGGGTGCTAAATCTCTGGTCAGTACACTACTACGGCCTTATACTACAGAGTGAAAGGACTGAAGGAGTACATTCATTAGCCATCTCCAAGCAGTAGTGTTCTTCAGTGGATATGAAGCCCTAGCTCAGTAGAAAAGTAAAACGTTTTGACCTAGTTACCTTTAGGTCACCTAACTCCATCTGTGTGAGGCACAACCTACTACATAATATCCTGCAAGCTAATCGGCTTTTCATGAACGAAGTCAATGCATTGCGTTACGCTTAGGGACTAAGCATTGGGTTAATAAAATAGTGTGAGGGGTGATTGTAATGGCTCTTTCCCTAAGTTCTGCCGTGGAAAAGAGGTCGAATATTCGGAGGTTGTAGTTTAATAAGTTGTACTTTTCCTTATAGTGCCCAATGTTTTAGCAGCATTATAAAATATCCACGAACTGAGGCCGAATTACATTGAAGCGAAACTTTTACTGCTGATATCATGTAGAATGGCAGTAAAGGCCCCATGACGAAACCATCTGACTCAGGAAAACAACATCATCTAAGTAATAGTTGTCCTACAATTGGGTAAGCAACTGGAAGTAGTTATTGAAAGACGTAGTAGCAGACCTTCCAGCCAACTTCCTGGAGTATCTGTATCTTAACGTAGGTAACTACGATGAGAACTGGCAACGGCTTTTTGACTGGTCACCATCGTCTCTGAAAACCGGATACCTAAGTAGGTTACTTACCACGCCCCAATTTTAGGTAGGTTGGGGAACCAGTATGATAGACATTTAGTTCAGACTAATACATAATGCGAAAACATCAGAAGTACTGACACTCATCATACCTGTAGAATTGAGTTTCAAACCACCTTGAAGTCTGATTCGTGTGTTTCTTTTCACTAAGCATTACTGTTACAGCTAAACAGATAAATCCCGTGTACGATTCGGGGATTTACTTTTTTCCTCTTACCTCCACTAATTGCCACGTCGATCGAATAAAAGTAGATTTTTTAGTCAAGAACTGCTTATCGTAGCCTGCATCTAGATAATATTCTGACTTAACAAGTGTAATGTTTTACTTTTGTTTTACTCTATCACTCCCACTAAGTTCATGGTCGTAAATGACATGCGGGTTGTATAATATCGGTGGTTTAGCTTCTGGATAATTTCAAATGTCTCTTGTTCTTCAATGTCAAACATATGTCCCCGTTTGATAGATTACTTTGTTTTTGTCGGCTCAAGGTCGCCACAGAATGCTTCTGCAGTCCAGTCACCAGAAATCCTGTGTCGTTTTCCTCCTACGGATCATGAAGATTTCCCGCTTCCCTCAGATGTTTCTTTCTTCTGCCAACCTGAAGGGTGTGTAAATTCTTTGAGCAATACGTTTCCTGTAAAATATGCAGATGGCACATCAGGCCATCAGATAAAATCGATGACTTTTCTGTTCTCTCTCACAGATAAAGACTCCAGTAAAACACGATACGGTATTTGCACGAACTTCTTGAGACCAGTTAGTTATCATTCTTCACCACAAAAGACGTTGAAAATTTCTAAGGATGGACACCAGTGTGAAGCTTTTACGTATGATGGTCAAGAATCTTTACCTGTTGACTCTATTAGTATGGATGGGAAGAATCTCAATGCGACCTCGTCTGAAAGTATGAAACTGGAGAATGCTGACAAATACTACAGCCTAATGTCAATTTGTTTAGTAACTCACTATGCTTTCGCCACAGCATTCACGCGTGTGGTGCAATGTGTACATACAATTTTGAAGAAGCTACACAAGCTGTCAAAGTCTAATTGTGTAAACAGGTGAGAAATTAATGATTTTAGTGTGTTGTTAAGTCTCTTATTTAGTCTCTAGTAGGATTGTTCGAATTTTTCAGCCTCACCGCTGGGCTACTAACTTTCCTCATGACTACGAAAATATCCAGTGGGTTCAAACGTTTTACAGGAACCATGTGTACCTGACTTTAGATCGACCCAAATAAGGGGAATATGATCTGTTGTAAACATACCAGTATGTGCATGACTCTTTCGTGTAATGTTAGCTCCCTTCTACCCCAGGAAACCGAAAGGATTTGACATAAGTAATTTATAGACCATTCATACATCGTTCTTTACACTTATTTGGATTTAATTCCCAACTGCTTTTGCTCGTTTCTCCAGGACAGTGTAGGTCCTATAATTTAAGACTTAGAAGTAACCAGAGAACTTGCTTTGTGTATAAATAAACCTTTCCGTTTACCGAAGACTTATTCTCTCGTTGTTGCACCTAGGATTCGCTTACTTATGCCTTGTAGGCCATCATACTGTCTGAAGGGTACACTTTTCCCATTGCTGAATAAGGCATACAAAACCCATTGTTATTAATTTAAAAAGCCATAGAAGGCGTTTAAGGGTTGTTTATGTTCACTGCATTCTACTCTTGAAATACTTTCAAGCAAATCTTGGCTGCAAGTAGCCTCTGCAAATACTCTTGGAAGTTCTTTAGCTTATAATAATAATAATAATAATAATAATAATAATAATAATAATAATAATAATAATAATAATGACAATAATAATAATAATAATAGTAATAATGATAATAATAATAATGTGTGTCCCGGAGAATGCTGTTCACTAAGCATTCATATATATTATAGCACAGCCAAGTCGCTTTCTTGAAGGTATTCAGCTTAAGTCTAAGTAGTATGTTTTGCCCATTTTTACAAGTCATGATGGAGTATAAATTTAGGAGTTTGCAGAAGGCTATGAGTTTGTATGCTGTACATCTTTTCTTGTCCGAATGTAGAGACATAATGACTGAAACATTCATTTCCTTGTAAAAGGTGGACTATTCTATAATAATTTTACAGAGATGAAATTAATTTGTGTTTTCTTAAATTTTGCCAGTGATTTCTAATGTGAAGTGTCTTTTTGTTGAGAGTATTTGAGGTTCCATTCTTAGTAAAGGTTATTTACGGATTACTTCGAAACAGGAGGTTCTTTACGTGTAGTAGGAACTCGATTATTTTCCATGATAATAAAATAAGTAGTGTGGTAATACAGACTCGGTGTACATTTTTAAACCTAATTTATTTCTGTTTGTCATTGATAGTGTTCTCATTCGAATAATTTGCAACCGTATAAGTCAGGTCTTCAAGTCTTAGTGGTACTCCGACTGATATCACTTCGCGTTGAAAACTGTGCTAGATTCGTCCGATGAAATTAGATTTACTGTGCTAGTGTTTAGCATATATAAGAAACATATAATTTCCCAGGGTACACCTATGTATTAAATGTAAGTAGCTGAAGAATCGGAGGTCGAGATTATTTAATGTAACTCATTCACTGAGATGATCAGTTTCAGTAAAAAGGTTTGATTAACTACCTATACTTTTCTTGTCAGTCAACTTTGAAGCTTTTAAAGGGTGTTACCAAACTGGGTTGACCAAAATATTTCTCCACTTCTGTACTACAGCATTTAATGCAATTTTCTTGATGTGTGCTAAGTATAGTTTTGTTATAATTGTATACGTAGTCAAAACTTTAAGGTTTAGTGTATTGCTAATATCATACCACCGTCTTCGATTTGCTTGTCTTATATCAGTACAAGCGAAAAAAATAATGCAGTTGATATCAACGCCTATTTAGGGGTATATTACTTTCAGCTTTCTGTCTGTTACGCCAAGTAATATTCGGTCCTATGGCAGAAGTTATTTCGGTTCTTCAAATGTTAGTTGATTTAAAGTATACTACAATGCAAAGCGACTCTGATAACGTAAACGAGATTCTCTTCTTGTCGGACCCGAGTTATGACCCTTTTGTAGCACATATTTTCGCAACCAGTAAGACCAAAAGTTGACTAAGTATCGCATATTTTGCAGAACAAAACGAAATGTGTGAGTCCAAGTAGTGTGACCTAATATTACCTAGTAGTAGCACAAGAATGAGAACTTTTAAGAAGCCAACTAATTATTATTACAAAGTAACGTTGAATATCCCATCATTATGTCATATCAGTTAATAGTTATAGAGCATTTCTGGCTGTTGATATTTCATCGTACAAGTAATACGATGTTATCGACTTGCTTTTAAAGAAACTGTCTGTCATAGATTTATCCAATATTACGTAATTATAATTTTTATTTTCACTGTTTCATTTGTGTACGTAGTTAAAATTGTATCTCTTTTAGTCCAAGCATTTGGGATATGTTGACAAGTAATACTGTATTACCGTGCTCTGTTCGTGTCGCGGAAGGACTGCGACAATTTCAAGTATGGATTCTTCGCCTTCTTAGTGCTCCTGCACCAATCCCTGGTTGTACATATGTGCAGGTAACTTTTACATAGTCTTTAAATCTGGTATGTAAATTTAAAGGTTGGTTTTAAGATACTTTTTGTTTACATCGATGCAAAACTAAATCGTATAGTGGGAAAACAAATAGGAGATAGGGTGGTATGCGTATTCGCTTTAGTAGAAAGAATTTGAAATTAGATGAAAAGTTGCAAACCCCATGCATGAATATCAATGTACTTGGTGTATTCGGTTAAAGCTTGACTTCTTAGGAATTCTGGGCTCATACTGACACACTAAGTTATGAAGGAAATTCGTAAACTACGACATGCAGATTAGTCATTTAAGCTGTGTTACAAAGATTACCTGTCCTAATACCTCCATAGCAATATTATCCCCTATCGTTCACTGTAAGTATTCGGTTAATTCTTGTTTGCTAAATATACGTAACAGACAAAAAACATGGTTTCGATACTTTATTACTTCAGTCTTTACTGATATTGTGAAGCTATTGCTGACTGACTTAAGCATATCTTTCAGGCGAATTCTTTTTGGATTCAATCCAGCTGTGTTTACTTCGACCCGCCTAACCGGAGGTTTGGCTCATTGGTTTAGGGAGATGACTGTCAATCAGTGGGTCACGGGTTTGAACACCGCTCCTCCTACCAAGGTTTGGGCAAATAGGTAGTATCACTAGCCAGCCCTCAAAAACAATGGGTGTTGCTTATTGCCTGGTTCATAAACACCTGTAGTGAATTGAATAGCACTATTGCTACTGATAATAATTCACTTCTGTATCAGTCATCAGAATTTGTGACATAACAGAGTCCATAGATTTCGAAAATAATATTTTATGTAAATGGGGTTTACAAAATTGAAAACGGGAATAGTTATCTCGTCATCGAAAAGTGTCGTTAATATAAAGGAAGCATTGGTGAAGAATTGTACAGTTCAGGTTGACCTCGTTGCCTTAATTTCGATTTCAGAAAAAATTTTTAGTTTCAGTCAACTATACTTTAATTTCCTACCACTTTTTCAATATAGGATAAGAAAGCGATATATTAAATAGAGGAAGACAATTGCTAGGTTGAATATTTAAGGGTATCCTATATATGGAGATGAACTGTGGTTTCTCCATAATAAGCTTTTGTGGCTGTGAAGATCACTGTCTGTATGCTTTTTAAGATACAACACAATGCTACGCTTCTAATACACTTGCACTGACTTTTAGGATATGTCATCAACATTGTGTGTGTATATGTAGTCTATTATCTTCAACATCAAACTTTTAACCAGTCGATCATGGCTTCAAGCTACAATTGGCCTATTGTATTTGGGAAAGTTGGGTATCATATCTAGCTCCCCGTACACATAGTTCATGTGTTGTTTGTTTAAATCTTTTGGCTGGTGTAATTTCCATTCATCAGGTTGAATGTATGCACTATTAAGTAAAAGCATATCAATAGGTATTCGAGGTCCATCAAGATGTGGTTTACTTTAACTCATTTTAATTTGGTATTCATCATGAACTGACATCAGTTAGGGAACCACTGAAAGCCTTGGAGCACTGGACGACTGTTTCGTCTCTGTATGGGACTCCTCAGCAGTGCACACCCACTGTCCCACCAGTGGTCGATCCAGGATCCGGTTTCGTGGCGTGCATGTTACCACTAGACTACATTTCCGTACTTCTGTCAGTTCGCGATATAGCGTGACCTCCCTCTAACGCCATTGTTGAGTACCTGTCGCCATGTCCGACTTAGTTTACCCCGCCGGTCACGATTTTTCATCAGAATCTCAGAAGATTTCGCTTGAATCTAGTCATTAATGAACATCGGATAGTATTCTAGCTTTGGAGGTCTGTGGGGACTTATTATCGCATCACCTACTTGACTATGCTGCCTAATTTCTGCCAAAATTATGCCCTTTAGGAATCACAACACTGCATATTTTTCTTTATGTGATAAACTAACTGGATTTAAAGAGGCTCTTTATGTGATGTTGGTTAGTTTGATATAGCGCACAATGACAAAATAATGCCTACTGGATGGCATTTTAGACACAATTTATTACTATTGTAACACCCAAGCATGTCATGTTTACACAACTGTCACACTTGATTCTGTTTGTATATCATGTCAGTGATAGTAGGGATTTATAATTGGGGCTGTGGCTCCTGGGTCTAGGTAATTGCCCTTCAACTAGTGAGTTATGGGTTCAAGCATTACTCCGCCTATCAAGGTTTGGACTGCCAGGTAGTATCATTAGCCCTCACACAGCACGTCGGACTCATTGCCTACTGAAAGAACGTGCACGTGGTTGCTGAGTTCTTTTCGATTTTTTTCGAGGAATTTATCAATATCAAGAATAGATGTTGGATTATTCCTGTTGCATATATTAGGTGTTGACTGAATAAACGATAACTATGTAGTCAATCTTCACGTTTGCCGAACTATATCGGTTTTTATGAATTCTGCTATATCCTGTTATTTGATGGGATTATAAGTCACCGCATGCGCTACCAAAACTAAGTTTTTTCCCCAGATTACTTATGTCACCGAGGTTTATAAGACAATTCAGATATGTTTCTAAACTGTTACATCCTGACAAATTTCAAATGGCTATTTTAACCCTCATACTGTCTGTGTTATATTATCTATTTCTTAAAACTTTTTTCCATCTAAATTCAGCTTTCAGTTCAGCCACACGACTCGGGACCACTTCCTTGCTTTGCTGTTCCTGATCAATCACGTCTTCCCTTAATTGATTTCCCTGTAAATTTGCCTTTTGAAATTATGGGTATCAGGAAAACTCTTCGCTTGCTTATATGCCTTCTATTGGAACAAAAGGTGAGCTGGTGTAACTATGTTGTTTTACTACCTTCTTCCTCTCTTTTACTACTTTCTACTAGTTTTGACCATTTTTCCCTTCTTTATCTTCCATTTTATTACCTTGTTACTTGATGTCTTGATGTAAGGTGTGGCAACTTGGACCGTTACGCATTAATGCCTGGTCCTATGTTCATCTTGATGATGATGTTGTTTACATGATAGTTTTTGCATGATTTAAAATTTATTCAGTGTCTTCCTGACCAGGATACCTTTATAATTTACTCCTTGTCCATATTAAGTGATCATTTGTGGATACGAAACTAAAGATACATTTCAATAGCATCATTCCCCCTCCCATCATTATATTGATACCATATAGTATATGTGAATTATAACACTTGAAATTAGAAATAGGTAACTTTCTTGCCGCAAGTCTTGTCGTCCTAATGTTATATCAGAAGAATATTTGATTGCAGGGTACGCTTGTCAACAGGACTAGTGGATTTTTCCATGAAATCTGATCTTATACTGATGATACTATGTCTCTAAAATGAGCAAAACCCAATGTCCAACGAATGTCAAATACAACTAGGCTTATTTACATAATTTAGAACATGTAACATAAAGCAAGCATACTCAAGGGTCATTCTGCACAAAATATATGGAGCAGAAATAACTTGCAAATCATTTGATTTGTTAATAAGTTGAAGCCATAAATATTAGTCCTGGTATCCGACTTATAATGTCAGTTACGTTTGTCATTTATAGAGTAACTATCTTCAATAAATCTTGTTTCATCGAATTACTTGAATTCAGACATTTTACGTAGGTATAAACATATATCTGATAAAATGAGAAAGTTTTAATCTATGATGTACATGTGTTTTTTATTTTTCTAGTATGCCAAACAAGTCACAATTTGATTATGACGCGCAAAGAAATTTTGCGGTTGACATGAGTTCTTTATTGCAATAGTATTTTTTTTTTTGGCAAGTCGTAGAATGAAACCACAGTATTTGATGAGTTTGATTCCCTTGATAAATTATAGAGTAGAGCAAGAAGAATTAGAGTTGTAGAATGAAATGATCACATTTGTGTACATTGTAAAATTACAATGGCTATTCGGTAGCGTACTTTAGTCAGAAACAGTTGAAAAGGGACAAAAGATGCTGGTTAATTAGGAATTCAAAATGCTGGAAGGGCAAACATCATTTTGAAACAAATCTAAACAAATTGAAAGAGGGTATCATCTGTCTCTTAACTTCCTTTCCAATTCCTTTACTGCTCATTCATAAACTTTGCAACACACCACCTTTATTGTTCTTTGGTAAGTGCTGGAAATTAAAGACTTGACAGCTACATCGGTTGTGACATCTTTTCTGACCAAATTGTGTGGATAGTCCACTTCTATAGAGGATCCATTGTGATTTCAGTTGTCTGATGGGTAAAGTCTTTCACTTCAAGACTCAGTGACACCGGTTTGAATCTCTGGGGCAATACAAGGTACATCATGTGTTCGGATATGCTTTCCTAATGAGTGCTAAGAAGCACGAAATCTTGATCTAAGCTTTTCTACTAATTGATTCCTAACACCTGGTATATTAATGAAAATAGATGATAAGGAGAATTAATTAATATTTCAGATACAGAAGAAAAAGCTAAACAGAACTGAAATATTCTCAATGAGGTGAAAAGTAATTTTACTGTTATGTGTTCTATGAAGCGACTGGCGGTGGAATCTAGGACGCGCATTTCGTCCTACTTGAAACTTGTCAGCTGCATGTGCCTGCAGCCCAGTGAGTGTTCCCACTGAGACTCGGACCCAGTAGTCATCTCTTCAAACTCCAAAGCGTTATCCACCAGGTCACTGATTTCACTGTTCTTTTCACGTTGTGTATGATTTATACGCTACAAATATAAACCAACAGACCTACTTGGAGAGCCAATATGTAACGAGAGAGGTTATCAAATTTTGATTGCCTAGTGAATACTTCGTCTGATGAAGAAAGATTAGCTTAGAAGCTGGATAAATCATTTTTAGTTTGGCAGTTATTTTTAGAAAGTGTACCTTTGGACACATAAAAACGGATAGTTTCGTTAACTTGATAGCTAGTAAAAATCCCTGAAGTAAAATAAAATAAACTCATACTAATCCATTCGGGTTGCTATTTGTAGCTTATTGAAACACTTCAGGTGATGAAATTTGTTAGAGCTGCTTTTCATCATGTAAGGGTTTGTTTATCGTTTTTAGTTTGATCAACAAAGTTGGGTGCTTTCGCAAAAGTGTTTTTCTACGAATGGACATGAGGTACGTCTGACTTCACAGGTATTAACCTACTCTCTGGAGGTCATCTGGTTGACTTGAAGTATGCAGACATTTTATTGTCCTGAAGATAGTGAAACAAAAAGGCAGGGTCTAAACGCGTTGAGCAGTAATCTGTATGTTTGATATGCATATCACTGACACCTGTCAAATGTAAAATCATGTCCCAAACCTGCAAGTACTTCTAGTTTGATGATAGGGAGTGAAGTGATGGAATTCGTCGACCATTTCACTTACTTGGGGAGTTGCATCAGCCAAACAGGCTGGTTGCTGACGAAATTTCAGCTTGGACATAGAAAGTCAGTTTGGAATTTTCCAACTTGCGTCACTTGTGGCACCGACTGGCAAGATACCCCACTATCTATCAAAGGACGAGTATACTGCTCTGCAGTTCGTTTTGTTCTGTTGTACGGCTGTGAGACATAGCCGTTAAGAGTAGAATACATGAAGCGGTTACAGTGTTTTGGTCATAGTTGTCTTCACAGAATCGGTCGTGCATTGTGAAATCATCGTGTGAGCAGTGTTGAAGTCCGAAGAAGGTATTAGGCAAGATAAGCAAGTTGACTGATGAGGTTGTGCACCTTCATCGTCTGAGATGGCTTAGACATATGCTGTGCATACTAAGCCAACACCTACCTTTATGTGCCATTCTGGGTGAAGTTGGATTATTTTGGAAGAGGGTTCAGGGTGGTTGGAGTAAGACGTGGCATCAGTCAATAAAGCCTTTTGCTGTTGGCTTGAGTCGTGTTGGGGCGGTGTAGACTGACTAACTAATTGGGAGCCCCGAGACGAAAGAAACCAGTAGTTGAAAACTGTTGGTGACATGGCTGAAAATCGCTCACAGTGGCGCAGATTTATTCACTCCTGGATATCTTCTAAAGCTTGATTATTCACACTAACCGTTATTGTCAGATTGTTTATTCTCTCATGCAAATTTGTCTACTTTGAGACGAGTCTTTTTCTGTCAATCAGTTCTTTGCATACTACTATGAAGTGTGGAAAGTTGAGCCGGTGCGCTTACATGTGCGTGGTTCTATGTTGATTTAGTCACTCAGTCAGTCAAATGAAATAAGAATTTCACAATGACAAAGTGCACGGGACGTTGTTACATTGTCACAGTTCCCTGATCATGAGCGCAAAACTGCGTGTGCTTGTGTGAAACACTTTTTTTTCTTATTACGTATTTATTTCAGGTAGTTTTACAATCGTCTGATTATAACAAGTTATCGTTAACAATTTTGGCGTTGGTTGCACTACTCTACCCACTCCAGTACATGTTCCCAGTTATTCCTTTACTGCCCGCATGTATGCCAGATGCAGAACAGGTTAGTGAAGTTGATTTTTGTTTTAATAACTTGTAGGTGTGGTTTTCGTTGGGTTATGAAATCTTGTTTTTTTTAATTAAACAACCTGAGATAGCCTTATGGTTTGGCAGAAATCTTGTTGTAATGAGGGCAGTTGTTGAAGTTGAAAGAAGCCTGAATCAGGATATGATTCATGTCAACGATGTTTTCATTATTAACTGAGTGCTCTACCGACTGGGCTACAACAACTAACTACTCTAAATAGGTCTGAACTTCACTTCAGTTGTAATGAGTTTTGTCTAAATGAATTGTATGTAACTTTCCGTCCATTAGTACCTCAGTGGTGGCGTGCTGGCCGCGGAACCTGAAGGTCTTGGGTTCGATCCCTGGTGATGTGGGGTCATGGTTGCACACTACTGAGGGGTCCCATACTAGGACGAAACAGCTGTACAGTGCTGTCAGGTTTCCGATGTTCCTCCAACTGATGTCAGTCCATGATGAATTCCAGCCTTTACTTCCTTCATCTAACTGCATAAGGAGTGGTCTCATCCTTGGAGATCCCTTAATATACTTTGAGTAATTAGACAATGATGATGATGATGCCTTCCACTTTGCTTCATGAAGATAATGGCGAAATGCATGGTCTAGTTACTTGTTTTCTAGTCTTTCATTTTTTTCCGAACAAGTTTTGCTCATTTTTCCTGTTTTTGTTTTCCGCTATCAACAACAAACAACACTGGCATTATTCCTCTGTGTGTTTCTTGTCCATTCTCTCTGCTTGAGCTGAAATTTGACAACTTGAATAGGTGGGGACAACACTAAAACAGGTCCTATTTCCAGTGTACGCTTGACAGACTGACCTAATTCAACAGTAATCAAGCTGTAAATCACTTTTGTCATGATAATTTTCTCTCTGTTTCAAGTTGACTTTGTCACTTTATGCAGGTATTTCAAAAAATTGACATCCAAATGAATTCAGCAACCATGCACACATCTATACAATAGGCAGTGAGCTACATATATTATTTGAGAGCTAGGGATACTACTTAGCTCATGGGTCCGAGCCCTGCTCCACCTACCAAGGTTTGGGCAGCCAGGTAGTATCACTAGCCCTCATAAAATAGGTGTGGCTCATTGCCTACTACATGGATGTGCACAAAGTGACTGAGTTCGTTTTATACTACCTGGCTAGCTAAACCTCAGTAGGTTGAGCGGAGCTCTAACCCGTGACCCATTGATTGAAAGTCGTCTCCCTAAGCCAATGAGTCACAGCTTCAGCTCTGGTAATTTATCTGTCAGGAAAAACGAATCACTTTTCTACTGACACTATTTAACTGCATAGACTAATATAAGATATTTTAGCACATCGAGTCTCACAAGAATTGGTGTGCACAAAATGATTACTATACACCAATCAGCATATATAAATCCCACTATAATCTGGAATGTTGAGAATAAGAATTTCTATTATCATATGGTACTTATTGACTGATGGTTGAGTGACTTTTGACGCCACCTTAACAGTTTCAGTGATAACCTGTCAGGCTTAGACATTTCGGTTAAAAAGTTAATGTTTCGTGGAATAGAGGACCGTAATTGGTTCTCAGCAGTTGTTAGAGTGGCCCTCAAAGTCACTCCTCATGGTTAACTGTCAGTATTCAAGATTGGAGGATTGTATTGGTCGTCATCCTACAAATCATTTTTTAACAACTGAGGCTTGTAAAAGCTCAGCGTCAGAGGGATTTACTTAGTGTTTACTTATAGGACACTGAACAGTACTGACTATGGACTATGGTCCTAGGTAGAATATGAATGTATTTGAAAGGATAAATACCCTTTAGTGCTTTTCGTTGAAGATTCAGTCATGAAATGTAAGCGTCTATTGTCTGTTCGAAGCAATTCCAGGCTTCACTGAGCTTCCCATGGTAACGCAACTTCTATACAAAAAGTTATCTGCACACTCCACTTCTCTTTTCATCTGCGATTTGACTCATTCGCCTGCTGTTAACTTGTATGTGCGCGTATGTATGTACAAACAGTAGACATATAGATAAATCGTCTAATGTTGATTGGGCCAATACGCTACACGTTCCGAATAAATTATCTTTGTATGAATGACACTGACAAAATCAAAGTAGAATATCACACATAAGTGTATCGTCTTCAGTTGCCATATTTCACAGTAGTTGTGTACTACTGTGTATGGGTGTATAGAAAAAGAGAGATGTCAAAGTAGACACAATTGTATGAAATGAGAAGGGATTTAAAAATGAATGTTAGTCAAAGCATTCAGATTATCAAAGAGTGAATACGTCTCCCCTATTGTGACTGACTGTCATCTATGTCACCAACAGTCCTCAACCACCAATTTCTTTCTTCTCGGGTACCCCAACTAGGCAGTCTGCATCTCCCCACATGACTCACGTAGTTTTGTATGAAAAAGTTTATACTAAAAACAAACTATCGAAAATGTTGACTTCTCTAGTAGAAGTTTTATATAAAACCCCCTCCAGACCCAAGCATTTTACATCGATGGACCAACGTCCCCTCCTCCAGCCCTGATAGAATCGCTAGTATTTTGAATACACCTCATGACTTCTCCAATACCGAAGTGACTAAGTGGGATAAAACGCTAAGGTAATACTACTAACATTGAGTTCAATGTGACCCCTGAACAGAATGTGATAACAACTGCTTACTGAGCCACGAAAGTATAAGAAGAAAAAGACTGGTGTGTGACAACAAGAACAAATTTATCCGACAAAAATACATCATATATACTACATTCATGTATAAATATACATTTTCAAAAGAACATGAGAATGTGCTAGGTCAAGGATAAAATAAATTATCCTGATTAGCTTCATGAAGCACGAAATTGTCGAATAAGGTTTTTCTAAGTCGTCAAACAACATGGATGGAAACTTCGAAACTACAAAGATTTTACTTCAATCTGCCAGTCACTTTAAATATTGATCTCCTGATTAACCCCTTCCTATTACCTCGAGCCGTAAAAGCTGTATGACATTTTTTTGGTGTTTATTTAAAAAGCCTTCCGTTTCCCTCTTTGTCAAACTGATTTTAAGCAGAGATGGGCTGGTTCCGATCTGTAACTTATGATTTTGACTGTGGCACATTAGATGTATCCAGTAAAACCTCAAGCTCGTAATACTGCTGATTGTTATCTACTGTCTTTGCTGAATCTCGTATGGGGTTCGATTGTCTAGCCCATGTTTAGTCCATATCTTTCCTCCCATATTCCTTTTGTATAGAACATTTCTTCCGCCTTCGGCTACTTACCCACGAGCTCACTTTGGTGGTGAATAACGAAAACCTCATACGTAAGTTTTCTCGAATCTATTTGAAGACTTGACCAAGGGGCTCAATATCGCCGTACTCTCCGAGAAACTTGAAGAGTGCGAGTTACATTCCTAGTGGGGTCTTGGCTATGTACTGCTGAGGAGTTTTATACTAGGGCGAAATAGCTGCCCTTTGCTTCTGGATTCTCCATCTGAAAGCAGTTCGTAATGAATATCAACTTGAAATCAGTGAATTCCCACCAACCTCCGAACTAAATTTGTTCTTGTTGTCACACATCAGTCTTTTTCTTCTTATACTTTCGTGGCTCAGTGAGCAGTTGTTATCACATTCTGTTCAGGGGTCACATTGAACTCAATGTTAGTAGTATTACCTTAGCGTTTTATCCCACTTAGTCACTTCGGTATTGGAGAAGTCATGAGGTGTATTCAAAATACTAGCGATTCTATCAGGGCTGGAGGAGGGGACGTTGGTCCATCGATGTAAAATGCTTGGGTCTGGAGGGGGTTTCATATAAAACTTCTACTAGAGAAGTCAACATTTTCGATAGTTAGTTTTTAGTATAAACTTTTTCATACAAAACTACACTAAGACGATCTATCCATATGTCTACTCTTTGTACGTACATACGCGGACATGCAAGTTAACAGCTGGTGAATGAGTTAAATCGCAGATGAAAAGAGAAGTGGAGTGAGTGTGCAGATAACTTTTTGTACAGAAGTTGCATTACCATGGGAAGCTTAGTGAAGCCAGGAATTGTTTCGAGCAGACAATAGAGGTTTTCATTTAATGTCTGGATCTTCAACGAACTACAGTGTGTTCGAGACTTGTGTTTCGTTCTGTTTGGGACTAGTTTAGTGGATGTGTCTGCACTCCATCGAATTATTATATTCCAGCTGGCGCCGCATAGCATGAGAAGGATGACGCTACCTCTGACATTGTTTAGTGGGATTACTATTGGTTTTGTTATTGTCATTATTATTAATATGATTATTTCGTAATGATTACTTTTGTTTTGTTGCGAGTTGGATGGTTTAAATTTCGTTATCTGTTAAATTGATTCACATTATCTTTTCTTGTTATTATTTCCTTCAAAATGTATTGTTATCTAGCTCCTTCTAGCGCCTACTCCGTATCTGATTGGTGTACCAACAGCGTTTTATTCTGCGAGGAAAATTTTTCGCATGCCAAAAGATGTTTGGCTAGCTGATTTGGATACTCGTGAAGTGTGTGTTCAATTGGTTGTTCACGTTTTGTATGGTTTTTCAATTTCTAAACTTATTTATATCTCAACTTTTCTCGTTGTATTAATAATGTTACACTTTATTATTTTTTTAATTTACGGATAATAGGTTCTGGCAAGTTGTGTTTGGTATTCTTTTCACTGAAATCGACGGTTTGAAAAACTTGCATAGCTTTCTTGAGACTAATTAAGGAGAAGCCTGCTTATAAATGAAGCGAGAATTGAATCTTAAATTTCTTTCATTAGTGTAGCATACTGGTAAAGAGTGTCAAAATAGGCTAAAATATTGAATTGTGTGTTTCATGAGATGAGAAGGTTATGATGGATTTCTCTGCAGTTCATCTAATCATGAGTTGGTGTCGGTTAGCAAACCACTGTTTGTGTTACTCTCCAGAAATACAGACTTGATCTCATATAATGTCAAACTCAGGTGCATTAAGTCTCATCATACCCACATTGACACACTCAGTCACTGGATTACAGTTCAGTGATTTACGTTTTTCGGCTTTTTTTAATTCGTAGTGTTAATTAATTTTGGCATCGGGTATATTCTGCCCTTAGACTCGACCTCTGGTACTTAATTGTTCTTCATCTGATATAACTTCGTGGTAAAAATTGATATTATGTCAAAAAAGAGAAAAAATCATTATACAAAAGGATTTTCAAACTTCATGTGCCAATAGATGTTCTCGCCTTTCATGACAGTCACTTTTTCAGCGGGAGAGTGTCATTAAAAGTCTAAGTTTATCTGTAGGACATGATATATTTGCGCAATACATTTAGGACAATCTGGTTATATGCGTTGCACGAGAGGGTGGGTTTCGTGCCCCATCGGCCTAGTAGACAACTCTTTGGCGCTTGAACGGATGGTACTGGGTTTGAGTATCAGTTGGAACAACATTATCGCTCGTTGAGATACAGGCACACCCAACTGACGAGTCCCAAATAAGACGAAGCGTGTATCCTGGATTCCGCTGGTATTCACCAAGGTGAATACAAGATTTGATCACACATTTACTTGCCAAGTCAATTTACATTAAACCTAAGGATGGGAGGACAAATAGAACCATTAAGCTAATAAGGTATTACAATTAAGAAAGGTAAAAGCATAGAGACAGAGTGATAGATTTGATCCTAATCTTGGTGAGAAAATATTTTGTTTTCGTATACATAAAGGTGGTTTCAATTTGTGTATAGCTACTGCTTCCGAAAATCTCAGTATTCATCTCTGACTGTTTCTATATAAAAAGTTAAAAGGTGATTGAACATTTATTTTATGACCTGTTTCTATGTGTTTAGCCATAGACCCACCTTTGCTTATCAAAGTTTTACATTCCACTTGTTTTGGAAGCCATTTAGGTATATTTTCTCCTACCTTCAACTGTATGGCTTGATCACTCCTCTCTATGCGTGCGTGACCACACACACACACACACACACACACACACACACACATGTAAACTGGTAAACACAATAGAGTGTAACGTAACCATTGATGCAGTGTTTAGGTTTGTGGAGGAGCATGCTTTTTGTTTTCTCCACAATAATAAACTTGGCTGTATTGTATGTTTTCCTGATGGCTGATGTTAGCCTACATCTCGAACACTATACTATTCAACTCCCCTCTGTGTGGTAAGGCGGTGTGGACGCTTATCTTAAAAACCACATATACAGTTATCTTTAATGCTACTTGACTTCTATAATGTAATATGTAATAATATTCACTTTATTCCAAACAATTTTCGGTACAGTTTGGAATTCTCAGTATGATAAATTACAGCAGCAACAAAATATATGCACGTATACACTCCTTTACAACACTTTGAATTGTGTTATTATAAAAATCTAAGTAATGTAAAGAATATTAATAACGAGAAAATTTCACATTATTAGTTAAATTATTGAAATGTAATTGTTAACTGTTACAAAGTTGATGTGTAATTTCTGTTCTAACACTATTTTCCTCATATAATATGCGTGCTAGGTAAGATGCAGTCGAATATTTGTACTTAGCTGCACGAGGGTACAGTCGTATGTAATTTCTTCTTTTCCTCCCTGAGGAGAGACAAGGAGATAATTGTGAATGAAGTGGGTGCTTAATCTCAGGTAGAATTACTGTAGCTAGTTGCTTGCTGGAATTTAAATGTCTGTCAACTATAGTTTTAATCAGTTGAACCAGAGACACAGCAGTCACCCTACTGACTGCCCTACTTACTATAACATAGTGCTTTTTTAGTAGACCAGGAAAGATCAGCGGGAAACAATAGAGAAGAACAGATAGAATGCAGGAATTAATAAATTGTAAAAGAAGAGGTTGAGTTATACCAGCGAGTCTCAGTTTCTTTATGTAATATGTCAAATAAATGATTTTTTTACAAGTCAATAAGATGTAAGACGACCGACAAAGATCAGAAGTAAAACTCAATCCAAGATAGTTAACACTCGATTTACTTTCCGCTGAAATACCATCGATGCAACAGGCGTCATGGGAATTAAGCAGCTCACACAAGTCTTGTTTACGCCTAAGGCTAAAATTAACAGTCTGACATTTAGGAGGGTTTAGTTTGAGACCATTTGAGAGCGACCATTGGTCGATTACAGACAAGAATCCATTTAATTCAAAGCAATCTGAGTGAGAGTTAACTAGAATAGACACCGTGAGGTCATCAGCATACTTAATAAAATTAGTTTCAACGGAACAAGGTAAATCGTACAAAAAGGACGAAGACACAAAAGGATAAAGTACAGCTTCGGTAAGCAATGAAGTCGAGCGCTTCCCTTTATAGACAGTGTACTGTTTCCTTTCAGAAAAATGAGAATACAGCCACTTTGTAACCCATGGCTCAGTGGGAGCTATGGTAAGCTTATTTAACAAGGGTTGTCTAGGAAATGAGTCAAAGGCTGATAAGTAATCCAAAAAGGCACAACCAACATACTTGACACTTTTTTTTAGACTAGAAACAATATTATGATGCAAGACAGTGGCTGCATCTAAAGTACTCCTCCGGTGTTTATAAGCAAATTGTTTTGAATCTCTGAAAAACTTCAATGAAGTCTCAATCATATGGAGAGGTAATTCCTCCATTGTCTTCAAAAAATGGTAATTTAAAGCGATGGGTCGAATCTTAACATCTGATCCAGAAAATGACTTAGGCACAGGTAAAACTTTGATCTCCTTCCAAGCGGTGGGTTTTTAAATTTCAACGGATATCCGTTGTCTTAATATAGGTGTAAAACTTGGGCACTATGGTAGAATGTAATTCCATATTAGATTTGTTTAGTTGATTTATAATACACAGTGATACAGCATTATTTACTTGGTGACGTTTCAAGCATAAATTATTACTCATAATCATATCAATGTAATCACACCACTTCCAACAAATCGATTGCTCGCAATGTCATGAAGGAATTTCCGTTTTCTATAAGTACTTTTGTCAGTATATATTTGTCCTCCCACCCTTCAGTTTTACATAAATCGACTTGACAAGTAAATCTATGATCAGATTGTTCGAAATGTATTGCGCAAATACATCACACATTGTTCAGAGATGAGTTTATCAAGAAACTATGCTCAACCGAACCGATTGTCTTTCTCAAATTTGAAACCTGAGTAAAGCGTTTTAAAAAGTGATTTCCAACTCAATCGCTGATCTTAGTAAAATCACAAGGTTTCAGTCAACCCACGTTTGCTGTGATAAAAAATCTACAACTTCAGTATATGAAGCTTCATTACAATTTTTATGGTATCAATTGATTATCGCATTTCTAATCAAGCTGAGGAAATATCCATGTTATTACTTGTGCGTAAATGATGATGTATGAATTCGGTAGATGAAGAGATAGGTTTGCTGTTCTCATTTTTGCCGTCATGCATTCATTGTCTTGTCAAAAGCTAAACTTTTTTTATCGGTTGTCTCCCTTCATCACACGAGTTTAAAATTGGCTTAGAATGATTAAGCTGAGTTCACAAAAATGTGTGGGTGATGAAAAGGAGAACCGAATTCTTCATTCTTTGTTGTTATATGAACTCTTCATTCAGGGATGCCTTAGTATATTACCATTAATTGCATCCTGATGTTGCTTGTTTGGCTACGATTGGAATTATAGCGTAGAAGGCTTGTACCCTAGTGGATAGCATATATGACAGTGAAGACAGGTAGTCGATGGTTCAACAGAGTCAATCACATGTCGAGGATCCGTTCATTAGACATGTTGATACGCAAGGGAGAATATGATATTCGTTCCACTTGGCACGCACATGTAGGGATTGAAGGGTTTGGATCTATGTGTCTCGATGTGTCAAGTTGCCGCTTCGTGATTATCATAGAAAGACTTCCTTTCATATCAGTTATCCTTTCTGATTATGTAACAATCAGATAACGCGCTAAAAGTCTAATTACTTTTTCTTTCCTGCATATTATTTCAGTTCTTGAATTGATCAGTTTGTCAAATTAATGCTTCTCATTTGATGTTGTATATAACCATTAGAGTTTATAGTATGCATATCTACGAGCATATTTTCATATGAGCAACAAGTGTATTTGTGACCTACCACCACTCCATAATGAAATTTATAGGAGTACTTTGTTGTGGCAGTGACCATACTACTAACGACAGTTATGTTATTATGATCATCCAAATAAACTGTAAACTGTAATCATAATTTAGTTGTTTATTTATGGACATGTTAATACACACTAAAGTGTTGGTTACTTCAAATACACAAGTTAGATCACTGTCTATCATGAAGATGTCTTATAAGCAAGCGTAGTGCAACTCAACAACTTTGTTTCAACTCGGATACAAAAAGCCTACTTGACATTTGCCAACTTACGTCATCTCTTGCGTCAAAAAGGCATTCAATTACATGTCGAAATAAGGAGTATACTCCACCATAGCCCACTCTGTCCTGTTATATGGCTGTCAGGTATTACCTCTGGAAAAAGTTAGGAAGGGATAACAAGTTTCTGGTTACAGGTACTTCCACAGCATTGCAGGCGTGTGAGCAATGTCGGGGTTAGGCGATAGGTGTTAGGCAGGTCAGTCAATGAAATTATGAACCCTCACTAACTGAAGCGGCTTAGTCATGTTTTGTGCATACCTAACTATTACGTAACTGGATATGCGATGTGATGCTAGCCTAAGTAGAATGGGGTTGGAAGAAGACTAAGTGTGGTATCAGTCATGAAGTCTTGAACTATTGGTCTAACTCGTTTAGGTAGATAGAAACTATTTGAGTGGAGTTCTCAAGATAACGGGGACCTGGAGACTGGAAATTGGTCACAGTAGTGGTGTCACTGTCGAAGCGTAAAATATTATCAACGTCGTGTTTAAAGATAGGAGTAGGCTTTAACCCCTGGTCAAATCGATAATCGAGGTCATTTTGACTAACATACTATAACTTTACTCTGAGGCAAAATCATGGTTTATAAACTGTTTAAAAACAATGAATTTTCAATCCTTTTTCTCCGTATTACAGTTATCTTATCCTCTGGTGGTTGACGAAATCCCAGAATTACCTGAAGTAGAAAGTAACATTCTTATCAGTCATCTAAGAAAGGTAAGTATCTTTATTGACTATAGTAGCATTAATTTTCTGACAAACACAACTGACGTAGTTCAGGAAGTACATTGAACTCATCTCTGATTAATTAGACTTCAACTCGTTGTGCTACTGATTGGTCAGTATGTTACACGAAATGAATATACTTATATGAGTGTTTAGTATAAGGTTGGATCTTATTAACTAGTTATTTGTATTTATTCTAAGTGTTATTGTACAGTGAAATGTTCACCTCTTTAATCTCCTTTTTTCTTGAAGAAGCTGCTGTTCTTGTAGTATAGTATATGTATGTGTAAGCATATTTCGCGGTCGTTTTATGGGTTGGTTAGCTGAATGGAATTGTAAAGTATTCTAGGGTAGAAGAGTTTTGAATAGTGTTACTGACGAATGGTCCGTGTACTTTAAGGTGCTTAACAAAGATACTTTTGCGTAGATCAAACCAAATATTACCACTTACCCTACATCAAAAAAGACATGATTCATTGGATTGTCAATAAGGAGGATAATGTTTAAAGGATTGATGTTGAATAGCTCATTAGTGGCTTAAACATGCGTTTTGGATGCTGAGCCACCACCGCCTACCTACCTCAACGTGCAACGCTGGGGAGGTTCAATTAGGTTGGAAGAGAGTTCAGGGTGATCAGACTAAAACTTGACACCAGTGCATGAAGTCCCTGAATGGTGGTGTGTGGGGTGTGTGTGTGTAGATTACCTAACTGGGTCCTTGAGGCGATAGAAATCGATGGTTGGGGACTGTTGGTGACATGGCTGAAAATCGTTTACACAGATATGTTCACTCTTTCATTGTCATCTGAAGGTTGAATTCTTCGTTTACTCTGGCATCTCTCTTTTTCTGTCACTTTTTCTCTGTATATTACTGTGAAGTGTGGCAGGTTGAATCGATGTACTTGTGTGGGTGGTTCTACATTACTTTGATCTGTCTGTCTGTGAACCATTATTTGGAAGTCAACTGCTTACATCAATGGGCCGCAACTCAGCACTTCTAACTTACCAGTGCTATGCAACAGATATATCCAAGCGTTGAAGTGAGAATAAGCTCTTTTGATATTGTAGATATAGGTTATTCATTAACATCGAATGATTATATATTGTGGGTGTATATGACTGTGTGTGTACTAATTGCTTTCAAATTGGGTTACACACTGGATGGTGTAAATGAACAAAAATTTTCATTGAGGCAGTGATTTTATTGTGTTCCTTTTTTTTTCGTAATAGCTGCTACATGAGTTTTCCAACTCACCCATCATCGATTTAGACTTGGATGAATCGTCGAAGCAATGGTCTTATTCTTCAACGCGTACAGGTGCATTGGAGCTATCTAAATTCGATCCTTTATTGTATACACTAACTAGAGATTCTATTGATGTTGCAATACGCATATGCATGGTAAGTATTTGTTGAATTTGTTTTGCAGACGATTTTTAATGTTTAATAACTGTCAACTATTCTACATATCTACCTCGACAATATGATAATGGAAGTTGATATTTAGTATTGTAAATATCAGTTAGTTTTCCTGGAAACTTATCCATTCGGCGTCATTGTTCATTAGGTCAGTCATTTGCTTAGCAATGAAGTTTTAAGACTTTTATCTGTACATAGATCGGTCATTAGAAAGGTAATTAATTTCATATGTAATTTATGTTCAGACTTATTAGTATTGTTAGCATCATATCATTTGATGCATAATCACCAAATATCTGCGTAGATGAGTGTAGTTTTCGTTGAAATTTCACCTACATCCAGCAGTATTCAAATAAGCACTCTCCAAACTACAGACATAAACAAAATCATCTTAGGAACCTTCTGCATATTCGTGTGGCAGGCAATGAGCCACACATCGTATTTAAAGGCTGATGATACTCTCTTGCAACTCCAAACCTTAGTAGATGGAGTGGGATCCGAACGTGTGATTCACTGGTTGAACCTCAACTTCTTAAATCAAGGACTCACGACTCCACTAACTGCAGACACCGCTATCAACTAAGACTGAATTCCAATTTAGTGATTTGGTAGAGCAGCGAAACAACGATGGTGAAAATACTATTATTATGACTTACAAAACGACTCGGCACTTCCTTCAACATCGATCGTGATTCCAATCGGTATATCTATTCTAAACAGTTTAGTTAGATGGAAATAAAAGTAGTCAGATGTAGTCAAATATAATTGGCTTTGGATATATATATATATATATATATATATATATATATATATATATATATCCCCTAACGAAGTTCAGTGTTTAAAAACATTGTATGACTGATTTTTCTTTAGTTACAGTTATATTGACCAATATTGTATTTATTTTTCATCTTGTCTTTACAGATCCTGTTCTTCAATACAAGCAACGTCCTAGGCGAATTTACAGATCATATACGTACTCTGCGATTGTTTCCACGTCCAGTGGTTGCATTTCAGTATGAAAGTTTCATGAAATCTCGTCCAAGACCATGTCTATTCACCAGTATGCTTGCAAAAACTCAGGTATATATATATATATATATATATATATATATATATATATATATATATGAGGTTTTTGGGGAATTTATTGATTTCAAGATGGTATTCATCACGAACTGGTATCAGCTGAAGAACCGTTAAAAACCTGAGAGCACTGGACTGCCGTTTTATCTCACTATGGGACCCCTCAGTGGTGCACACCTGCGGCCTACCAGGCGTCGAACCTAGGACCACCGGTGGGGAAAACAAAGTTTGACGTGAAGAAAAGTACTCGACAGTGACATTGGATAGAGGTCGTGCTGTATCATGAATTGACTTTTGGATCCCAACCCAATGGCTCAATGAAGAAGTGATCGGCATGAAACCTGAAGGTTGTGGGTTCAACCCCTGGTTCATTGGTTTGGGGAGTTGACTTTCATCTGGTGGGTCGTGAGTTCAAACACCGATCCACCTATCGAGGTTTGGGAAGTCAGGTAGTATCGTTAGCCGTGTGACAATAGATATGGTTTAGTACCTACTGCACGAATGTGCACAAGGTTGCTGAGTGGATTTCAGGGTTGTGGGTGCATACTGTTCGGGAATCTCGTATTGGGACAAAATGGTCGTCCAGGGCTTCTAGGTTTTTAATCACTCAACAACTGATACCAGTGCTGGATGATTATCACCTTGAAATTTCATTTTTATTCTTCAGCTAGCATATAAAATCCACCATGAGGTCAGTGGTATTAGATTATAGCATAAGTTGTTTGCATTATAGTAATAACTGCTTGTGGTCTTACTATCATGCAACAGATGTTTCTGTCATGGTTGACTTCAGAAAGCAATCATTCCAACTTGCTGAATCATTCTGTTACACAAATTTGACCACCGCATCAAGGTAGCAGCTGTAGATCGAGTCTATAAGAGGAGGGGTGGGGGTCAGTTAACATGTTTGATTCATCACACCTTTTTAATCATCATATCAGTTAAATTTGGTTAGTATAGGTCTGAACTTGTTCATTTTTTTACAATTATCATTTATCTTACCCTCATCTTTCACTTGTTGGTCTTTCTGTCTACTCTAACAAGCTCAGGTTTTATTTTAGTATTTTTCACTTTTATCTGATATTATAAAATTGTTTTTAAGTATTTAGTAATCAATAACGCCCAGTTCCAATCTGGCAACGTGTTAAATAATTTGCATCTTTGAGTGATGGAGTTATTGGGAAGCGATGTGTGCACCCATTTGTCGACACATCAGATTAGTGGTGTTAATATAACTGGAACTTTTTAGTACAGGTTTATGAAGTAGCATGTTGGCTACATATAACATGTACGTATTCCCCGTTTATGAGGTTGAATAGAGAAGAAACAACGATTAGAGCAGAATAATATTATACAGTCTTGTTTCGTCGGTTTCTCATCAGCTGTTTACAACCTGAACGCGTTTAAATATCATATTACAAAAGAATTGGAACCTACGTTTTCTCAGTTACATGAAGTTAACAGGGGATAAATGGTGTTACAAAAAATAAAAACATGCTAATAAAGTTGCCAAGACATACTTTGAAGCTTCAGTTATATATGTTTCAACAGAGAGTTCGAGAAAACATTAATAAAAGACAAAAAAGTAACGAGAATTGGCTAGTTGATGGTAAAGAACAGACAAACTACCTACTGATATGATGAGTTAAATCCAATTAGTAGAATGATCATTCAAATTGTGTACAAACAAAAAAAGGTTTAGTCAAAAGAGGATGTTACCGAACAAGAGAAGTAGCAAAGTATTAGGTTACCAGGGCAAAGAAAGACTTACTTCTGTGTAAACAGTCAACTCCGGTTTCAGTCGTTTGACCGCAACGGTCTCAGCAAACTTGAGGTTTGAATTACTCTGTTTGTTGTTAAAGGATTCTACTTCATGACGTATGTCGATGGCATGCCGAGTGAATGCATTACTGAAAGCACTTGTTCCATTTGAGACTCAGGGCTTTTTGGTACATGTTCCAAGAATTTGAGGTATACCGTTTCTCTCTGTTCTTGTGATATAAATGCTACCATAGACGAACGTAAACGTGTACACATAATTAGAGGTAACATGGGAAGGAAACTTCTTAACTTTTGGTTGTATCAAAGAGCATATTATTTGGTTGAGATAGATCAGCTTGGCTGTACCATGTGTTCCTTTTAGTGCGGCTTTCAGACTTTTATTGATTTTTACAGAGACGTCATCACCTTCCAGGTTGAGTTCAATAAAAATAGACTTTTCACTTACTGTAATTTGCTTTAACTTGTTGTTTTCAGATCTTCCATATTTGTTGATAAAATTCTCCGGGTAACGGCTGTCTCCTAGAATCTTTAAGTACTCAGCTAGTCTTCTTCCAACTTATCGCTTGAACATATCCTTGCAGTAAGGTGGATGCAGGACGTAGGTCATTGCACACGATAAACGTATCATCGACATATCTGGATTAGTACATCGTCCGTTCAATTGCTTGCTTTTGTCTTCTCAAGATTAGCCATATGGATATCTGCCAACATTGGGTTCAATAGACTGTCCATTGCTACTTCATCAATTTTGTGGTATAGAGTGTTATCGAAATGAAACTGATTGTCTTTGGTTCACATTAACAACAAGCGTCTGAATTCCGAAATCGATAGGAGAAGGAGTTCAGGATACTGATAAATAGTTTCAGCAATTTCATAAATAGGAATCTTTGTGAATGAAGAAATTACATCAAGTTGCTGTGTAGGCAAAGTTTGAACTCGTGACCCAACAACTGGGGTGGTAGTTTGTTAATTATTTTACTGAACTAACTGATTAGTCCGTCTCACAAGTCACTTCATCTAAATGTGACTAAATGAGATGAAGTCTCATGAGTGTTTTCTTGTGCTTGTATTCAAATTGCGTAATTGAGAAGGATCCCAAGGGTAATATCATATTCCTTTTGTAATTGTCGGATTTTACGTGATATCATGCCATGTATGGTGTTGTATTCTCTCCATATTGAATTGAAATACGCTGAACAACCATTTGGGCGCTCATTCAGCAGGTAGTGAGCCATATCTGTTATGTGAGGGGTTACCTGGGTGCCCAGACCTTGGTAAGTGAGGTGAGGTTCTCACCCAAGCTAGTTTATCTCAAGTATTTTGATTTAGAATATGACTGTTGAAGGGTCCAGCCACAATTTTATTCACCTTGTTCGTCTATAGTTTATCCATTGTTTCTTGTTTTGTTATGTGTTTGTCAATCAAGTTGTGCAATAAACGCCATATTCATGCTTATTTTGTGTTTATCTGATTATCTTGTCTGTTATTATTATTTTTCTTAAGGCTGTAGAATATTTTGCTGAATCGTCTATTTGTGCACAAAATGAAGCCTATCAACGTATAAGTTCCGGTGTAACTTCTACTGAATTGATTGGTGATAAATTTTATTGGTATAAAAGTCAATTGAAATCAGTTTATTTCGATTGTTGGGATAAATTGTTTGATTGTTCAAATACAATGTGTTGTACACCAACAGTATCAACTAGTTCCACATTGAATTCATATCATCAATCTATATTACTGGAAGCATTTGAAATGGCGAAATTCACATTTCACATAGCACAACAACATACTAATCATAATATTGATGATGGTGTTGATAATTCTTCAATGATTGATTCATCAACTGATGCTAGTATGGATTATTTCAGTGGTTAGTTGAATATTTTTCAGATTTTATGTCTACATAATGTTTTCTGTATATTAGCTTGGCATGATTGGCATACTACATATAATATGTGCTTATTATATTGTAGACGAAGAGAGAGAGATATTCTGTGGCACCTCAATAGAAAACTATTTATTCAAGTTGCTGCACCTTGCAACAGCATACAAGAAAATGCATTAAACATAAGATATAAAAACAGATTTATCAATTCAGAATCTGGCATACAAAGTGGATCACTTCAAGTTGTTACACTTTACAATAGGATGCAAAAAAGAAGTGATCAGAAAAAGAATCACATCGAAGTAGATAAGAGTTTAAGACAAGATAAGGCGTTAATAGATGATGAGGGTTAATGTAAAATGTTTAAATATTTTCGAAAAGGACAAATGTATCTCACAGTGAAAGCCTAGAGAGCCATCTGTTACTAGGTAAAACTGTCCAACCTTGAGTATGCAGACAATATCGTCTTACTGTGCGACAACATACAGGTCAATCAAATCAAACATGATCACTTAGCTATCAGTGTCTACTAGTATAGTATATGCTTCGTGTCGTTAAAGTGCTTTTAGGGGCCTGTATCTGCACTCATACTTAGCGATGAACCTTGGAGTTTGTTGAGAAGTCTGCGTACTTAGTTTTATGAGTGCTGGAGGAAGCATGACTGTTGAGGCCATGAAATTTATTTCTAAGGTTTTGAAACTAAATCTACTGAGATGGCTTGAACATGTACTGCGCATGTCGAGCTATCGTCTACATTGAGGTGACATGCTAGGGGAAGTTGAATTAAGTTGGAAGAGGGTTTAGGGTGGCCAGAAAAAGACGTGGTACCGGCCCATGAAGTCTCTTACTGTTGGCCTGAGTCATGTTGGGGCGATCTAGACTGCCTAGTTGGGGTCTTTAAGGCGAAAGGAATCAGTAGTTGAGGACTGTCGGTGACACGGCTGAAAACCGTTCAAAATGGTGCAGATGTGTTCACTCCTAGATATCTTCTAAAGCTTGATTATTCACACTAACCGTTATTGTCAGATTGTTTCTTCTCTCACGCAAATTTGTCTACTTTGAGACGAGTCTTTTTCTGTCAATCTGTTCTTTGCATACTACTGTGAAGTATGCCTGGGTTCGCGGTTCTACGTTGATTTTGTGATTCAGTCACTTCTAAGATCAGAGCAGCATAAGCCAACAAAGGTCACCTTTAACACCGTTCTGAAATTACCCTGTCTGTAAAATCTTGGGTATATAACGTGTAAGTGTGAGCAGTTCTGCTCTCTACTTGTGAAATCTGGTCCTTTTGGAGCTGAAGATGTTCGACGACTCTGCGTTTTCGACCACCGTTTTCTCCACAGGACTACTTACATCCAATGGAAGCACTGTGGAAGTAATTCTGAGGTCAGATGGCGTGTATTTGGAAATGCTGAAGATCTTTATCTAGTGAGTGGGATCATCTTGAAACACCGGCTTCGGTTAATTGGATATGTGCTACGCCTGTCATCACAACGGCTCCCACACCTTTCACTGTCTGCTTACTGTGGGAACGAGAGGTAGAGGATCTCCAATCTATGACTTAGCGCTGTGGGATGAAAGATAATTGTGTTTAGTTAGGATCTGAAGGTGCTTCACAACCTGGGATGGGTTTCCGAGAGGGCACGCAAACCAGTGGTATGAGACGATAGCAGATATGACTTGGAATCGAAAAAAGTGTCGTTCATGCTTCAAATTTCTTGTTTCCTATTACTGAAAAGTAAGATGAAAGTAGTGCATGCTTCTTTGAATGTATCTTTGAAACTGCTTGTTTAATAATCCATTTCCATTACTTTCCGTTTCTTTCCTTCTTTCTTTATCTTTTTGTCTTCGTAATGTTACTATATTATATTGTATGGTGCATCTCTTGTTGCTCACTGTATATCAAGTTTGTTTTAATCAACGAATGTGACATAGAAAGAGCATAAGTAAACTACAGGAGTTTTGTTTCCATTTCCATCTAATGTCTTTTTATAAAGTATCTGATTATAATTCTATTTTAGCTTATCAGATGTATGATATAGTGAAATAGTATTATTTGCTAGATGATATTTCGAAAACAATTTATTGTCCATAATCCTTATCAGAGTGATACATCTGATAAACAAACTAGAATGGAACTACAATCCACCTCAGTGTTCAAATTTGAAGGGATTCCTATCTTGTTTTTTGCAACACATGATTATTTGCCATTCAAGGTGAAGATGGGATTTTGAGTTGACATAAAGGTTGATTAATAGTAAGCCGAAGGCAAGCCAACCAGCAAAGGTACAACCACTTGACTGATTAAGTAACACGTAAAGTGTATTTTACTCAGCATTTTATAAAGAATTCTCATACATTTCTTAAGAGTTCTGTTGTTCACTTCTCATAAATGTTGGATATATATTCATTAGGCAAACAAAATACTTAATTCATGCAGATATTTAATTACATCCTACATTCCTATGAAGTTACTTCTCCTTTTCAATGTTCTTGTATATAAGTGGCTAAAAAAGTTGGAAATCTACTTATGGGTTTAGAAGTGGGATTCTTGACTGGATACCAGTGAACAGACATCTGTATGCTCTTCAACTGAATGGATCTGTAAGGACTAAGAAGGATCATGAAACTAGGCGATACCTATTAGTAGTTTCCGTCTACGCACCCACCAACTGTAGTTCGGATGATGCAAAGAATGAATTTTATGAGAAGCTGTCAACTTTGCTACAGAAATCAAAACTTTCAACCGTAGTCATAATGGCTGGTGACTTCAACGCTAAAGTAGAAAAGCTGAGCTGAGCCAATCAGAAAGGCATCTTGGGGGTATTCGCGGAATCCCATGCCAACGAACTGACAATGGGGATTGTCTATTGCGATTTCGTTCCGATGATCACTTGTTTCTGACCAGCACTATCTTTAGGCATAGGGAGAGACACTGTCTCACATGGTGTCCACGGATATCAAACCAAAGATGAATACAGATAAATCACACAGCTATAAGCCATCGTTGGAGAGGATCGGTGAAGGATTACCACTCTTTCTGGAGTACCAGTTTGAACTCCAGTCACGCCGTAGTACAAGCTCGTGTATGCTTGCACCTTACTGGCTGCAGGAAACAGGACGCAGTGAGCACTGTCTGTGCTCAATTGGTGGGTGAGAATGCGAAGTACGCATTTAGAGAGGAATTAGCTAAGAATTTATCTGAAGGTGACATTAATGCGCATACTGAGGAAACCCGGCGTGATATTAAGTCTGTTGTAGAAACGGCGTTAAAAACAGTTGGTGAGCTACACCCAAAGGTTAGCAAACGTCATTGGTTTTCCATTACGTCATCCGAACTGATAGATGCGAGAAGACTGATTCCAGTAGGCTGTGGCTGCAATGAAAAGCGAAAACAGCCTAAACGTTAGTTGACCAAGAGTCATCGCATCGATCGTGAGCAGTGGTGGCGAAAACGTCAGCGTTAGGTAACATTTGACAACCATTTAGTCTTATTAATGATACCGACAAAAAGAAAACGTTGGTTAGTGAAACCACCACCGAAAAGGATGGGACGCTGATAACCTTCCAGGATAGGTGGTTTGCACATTGGACAGAACACTTTGAAGCACAGTTCAACTGGTCCTCAGCAACACTTAACAGTTGCTCAACATCCAGCCTGAACTTAAATGGGAAGTAGTTATCGATCCTCGAACTCTCCTGTTCTTTGTGTACTACTGTGAAGTGTGGCAACTTTAACCGATGTACTTGTCAGTCAGTCACTTTGAACCCGTTCGTGGTTAGTAATTAGGTGATAAATATCTATACTGATGGTAGTCATTCCGTGTGTTACTTTCTATATGATGGTCATATTTCATCGACCAGGTTAAGCAAAATAACTCCTTCGTATGCATTTACTCGTATGCAATTATTGTAGACAGTTGACCAATTAACACAACCATTCATTCTTCCTTTTAGTTAGTATTATGCTGACTGTCGATTTTTTAAACTGCCTTTTTTAACTTTTATAGACTGACTGTGATTATTCTGTTCTGTGACCATTATTTCAATTTCATTAGTTGATTATCATCCCATTGATACCTTGAAATGAATAATCTTCTAATAACTAACTTTCATCACTAGCCTTGCATGTTATCTTGTACTTTAAAAATGCTCTATACATTAGTTTGGATTCCGTCTATGAAGAGCTAACTCAGCAGAAATATGTTTGTCTTTTTTTATTGATGCCCGTTGAATAACAGATGGGTATCGTGACTCATTAGCCTAGTGAATAAATGTCGACCGTTTGACTTTATGGGGTACGATTCGAGTTTCAGGGGGAACGAAATCACTCACTCCGATGTAGGTAAATCCAACTGACGAGTTCTAAGTAGGATAAGACGCACGTCAAAGATTGTCCTGCTAGTCATCACCAACGAAAATAGATGGAAACATATGTTTGTTCCAGTTTTTTTTTCTATGATTAATGAAAATCTTCAGAGCTTCGAGGATGATAAGGAATGTTTTGTATTCATCGTGAACTGACATCAGTTGGAAAACCATTGAAAATCTGGGAGTACTGGAGAGCTGTTTCGTCTCACTATCGGATTCTTCAGGATTGCACGCCCTAGACCCCACAAGGGACCGAACTCAGGACTAGTGAGGCAAACCAAGTTGGATGTGAAGACAAATAATCAACACTGGTATTAGATAAATGTCGTGCCGTAAAGCGAATGGATAGGAGTAGGGGAATATAGACCAGTGGATCAAGGGAACGTGCTGGCTGCGGAACCTGAAGACCCTGGATCCGACCCATTGTGGGGTCTAGGTGTGTACTGTTAAAGAGTCTCATACTAGGCAGAATCAGCTGTTCAGTGCTTCCAAGCTTTTAATGGTTCTCCAGTTCAGTTCATGATGAATATCAAGCTGAAATCAATCAATAAATCCCCACAAGCCTCCGAATTGGATAAAAAGTGTATACATTCGTTCCATTGTGGCGGATTTTGAATCTTATCATCAGTAGTATCCAACCGTTGACAACTGTCATCTGGAAAACCCCAAATACGCGGCCTACATCAGTTCATACGGCTAAGATTTCATGAATTAGTATCGCATGTAGATCTCGCTACATTTCGCTTTCTTCTGAGCATCTCCCGATTTGAGTAAAGTCTCAAATCGAGGCAGTCACTACCTCAAGTCACAAATAAACTGGAATCACAAGTATTTCATAGTTATATATTTGCGCTCACTGAAAGTTTGTCCTTATAGATGTTCTCATTTCTTTCCTTTTTTTCAATCTTTCCTATGTTTATTATTTCCCTAGGGATATTTAAGACATATTCCCAGGATTCTGAATCAATTAACTCTCATGAAACGCTTATTTCAAGTCCAGTAACGTCTGAAACAGTGGAAGATTGTATTATAGTTCAACCGAATAAACCATTGCCTACCTTTTTAGTTGAATTTTATACACCTCCTACAGAATTAGTGTATGCTACTGAGTCTACTGTAAATTGGAGTATATCGCCTAGAAATAATGTAAGCCTACATTTGATTGATAAATATTTTATTCACTTGATTGTTGTCGTGATTATTAATACCGTATTTTTGTTACTTATGTACGCATATATAAGACTGTAAGAGTATCTGTAGCTTGGTATGTGTGTTCTGATGAAAACCATATCTACTTCTAATTAAACTAATGATGGATCGTGGCTAGCAGTGGAATCCAGGATGCGCATTTCGTCCTATTTGGGACTCATCAGCTGGATGTACCTGCTTCCCAGCGAGTGTTGCTCCTACCGGGAATCGGACTCGGGAGCGATCGCTTCAAACGCCAGCACGTTATCTACTGCACCACCGATCAACTCGGTCCAATCAACGACGGTATGATATAAAAACAATTATACATATCTAGTTCTGTTATTATACTGGTAAGAACTTTCACTGGCATTCTTCTTTGTGAGTTTAGAATCAGTGGAAGAGGCCATTTCTCGATGAGTAAGTACTTATATGAATCGATTTTAGATGGTTAAAGACACAGAGCTGTGCACCTAGGTTTCGTACTTATCGATGCTCATCAGTAAAGCGTGTCTGTAACCTGAGAGATTTGAACCTATGCCAACCAGCACTTTAAGTAGAGACCTTATCATTTAGCTACTTTGGCCACGGTTGGCGTCATCGGAGAGAGTAACCAATTTCACGTTGCTATAGTCCTGTGTGCTGACCGAATTCTATCGATCATTTCTCAATGCACTCATTAAGCAAGAAGACTCTTCATCAACCATATATGTGGCTACTCAATCGTTTAATTCCGTGCCTCCAATTTGCAGTTTCAATATCTTCACCTTTTTGTGAATTAATATTAAGAATGTTGACTGAAATTTACCTTCAACCGATGGCTACTGGACAAGACAGGCCAGTCGTTTGATTGGGTTTTGAACCTTAATCGACTGAGATGGCTTGGACATTTACTGTACCTTGCCGAGTCACCAACTTCCTCTATTTGCTATACTAAAAGAAGTTGGATTAGGTTGGAAGAGGGTTCAGAGTGGTTGGAGTAAGGTGTGGCATCAGTCGATAAAGTCTCTTACTATCGGTCTGAACCATGTGGGGTGCCCGAGACGAAAAGAATCAGTGGTCGAGGACTGTTGGTGACGTGATTAAAAATCGGTCACAATGGCGCAGATGTATTCACTTCTTGACATCCTCTAAAGCTTGAATATTTGCACTAACTTCTATCTTCAAATTGTGTATTCTTTTACACAACTTTGTCTTTTTTGATATCACTCTTTTTCTATCCACCTATTCTTTGTATACTACTGTGAAGTGTGGCAACTTGGGTCAATGCACTTGTGTGTGTGAGGTTTTACGTTGATTTTGTCAGTCAGTCAGTTAGTCATTCCATATTAGATTTGTTTATTTGATATAAAGCGCACAGTGATACAGTATTATTTACTTGATTACGTTTCGAGCATAAATTATTGCTCATAATCATATCATGTCATATATCAATCATATCACATTGATATGATTATGAGCAATAATTTATGCTCGAAACGTAATCAAGTAAATAATACTGTATCACTGTGCGCTTTATATCAAATAAACAAATCTAATATGGAACTACATTCTACCACAGTGCCCAAGTTTTTCACTTATATTAGTCAGTTAGTCAGTCAGTCGGGAACTTATCTGAAAACTGTATTCCTGCTTTTCAGCATTTATCAGAAAAATATGTATATACTTCATTTGAAAACTCCCACTTCGTCAAAGTCTTCAACTTACTCACTCTGTGTATCTCAGTAGTCGCAAATCTTACAGCGGCACCGTTTAGATTGAAATAGACATAACAAATCAGGCAGTGGATAGTAACTAATGTGATGCCTAATCTCTGATATATGCCTTTATGGATATGCGGCCTGTATTTATGGATATATTGCGTTAAAAAAGAGAACATATCCGGCTTTGTTCTGTTCTAAGTTTAAGGGTACAACTTATGGTGGTAATTCTACCCATTCTGTGTATATGCATCGTGATTTCAGAATTAAACACTCAATATTTCAGTTGTTTGTCTAATATGCTAGTGTTAATAAACTTATTTTTAATGACTCCATAATGAATAGTTTTAGATAAGTTTTGTTCAGGACAACGCTGTATTTCTTAGCTTTACAGTTAGTGATTACAGAATTGCTGTTGTATTAATAACTAGTCCATACTCCTGCATTCACCTTTCATCATGTTGGAATCTCTGTTGAATATAAATCGGAACCAGTTCACTTTTCAACAAATTACTGATTAGAAGTTCCAGTCCAATTGCCGTGTAAAAATCTGTAGCATTATCCAAGTATCTGATGCACACAAGATGATAATAAGTGGACTTAGGATCTTTCTTACTTTGATACTATCTAAAGGCTTTGTTTCATTAGTTCATGGAGCTGGTTTTCAACTAATGAGTCATTGGTTCAAGACCCACTCCGTCTACTGCGATTTGGACACTAAGATAAGTAGCATCATTAGCCCTCATAAACAATAGGTGTAGCTCATTGCCTAGTGTATGAATGTGCACAAGGTTGCTGATGAGTGTATTCCGATTCAATTTCGATGCGATGATACTATTTTAATGTAACTCTACTCAGTGCATGTTTGTATACTAGTTTGGGAGTGAAGGTAAGGTTGTTGCACGACTAGAGTTCCCAATGCTACCCTGTTGCCCAGGTCCCCTCGGGGATTCGAACCAGTGCCACACAATTTTGCAGTCAGAGGCATCTATATCAAACTGTTGTTATACATGAATATAGATAACAAGTGAACTCTCAGCATTTTATTTTCTTTTTGGCTAGATTTAATATAATCATCAAATCTGTCTTTTACTCCATTCATACATTCATTCGATGGTGTCAACATAAATTATCATATTCCTTCAGGGCTCTGTTTCATGAAGTTTCGACTACCAGCCGTTGGCATGTAGGTTGAAACTAAGTCTTCTAACTTCGACATTACCAACTGAAGTACGTCATAATCCCATGCTTATAAGGTCAATTTGTAGTGCAATAGCCTATCATAGATTGCTCTTTCATGCAGTCAGATAACATGAAAACAACTCATGATAAAATGAAAATCCTAACAACTTTTGGACTAAAGCATTTAACCTGAAAAAATTTGTGTTGTATTTACAGTTGGTCGACAATTTTGTATTTGAAGGCAAACTGTTATTGTAACGATAAGAAAACTTCCAGTGTGTTCTTCATTCATACCCTGATTTTTTCCCTTTTATAGGAAGGTACATTATCCGAATTTGGAAGGTGAGTTCTGTCTATTCTCCCGCATATGTAGTATTTACCGATAATTATTGTCTAGGTAGTTATTCAACTCATTTTTTGTTGGATTGTTATCGATCTTGAAGAGGCTTCAGAGGATCTGTGTCAGGTAATATAAGATACAGATAATCCCACATGTCATCTTTATACCAGTCCATGTTTCTAGCTTTCAGCGTAACGCAACTTGCGTGTCATGTGTCTCCTATGACTTCCTAAATGTTTTGAGGTTACGTAACACTAATTTGAGATTAATAGCTGAATTACTTGCTTTATATCGAATAGTTGGCATACTTTTACACCTAAAAGTTAGCGTATCATCATCAAATATTATTCTGCAGAGACTGACCAGGAATTACTCCGTAGTTAGTGAAATCATAACAAAGAAAGACGATTCTGTGAAGAGCTGAGCAGAACATTGAATAACGAATCATCTGACTTACAATCATCTAGTTACTTGTCATCTGTTGTTGAACTCTGAGTGGGAACGACGTATTTGTGGTTTAGTCCTCTTTAACCTACATAAATTTTGTATCCTCCTAGCCTATAAGACGGGAGAGAAATTCATTTATGATAATCATAAGGAAATCAACTGGACTAAAATAGCATTTGAGTTCCTAAGACTTATACTCTTTCGGCACTCATTTAGAGCTCAGGAAAAGAAAATCTGAAAATATCTAATAGGCTTCAAGTTTAAACAGAGGCGCGTTAGTCTATGTTGTTCGAAGAATAGAATAATGCAGAGTGATTAGTATGTGACTCCTTAGAAAGTTGCTTGTCTGAATGCAATTAGGAAATCATCATTGTGTCTCATTGGTTTTGCGAATCATGAGGTGTATTTTCACTGTTCGAAATGTTTCAGCGTGTGAATGATTTATAGAAGGCAATTTGTTTGGTTTGATAGCTGAAATTCGGTTACAGTGGCGCAGGTGTATCCACTCTTTGACGTCTTATCATCATCATCATTATCAACATAGGACCAGACATTACTGCGTAACGGTCCGAGTTGCCACACCGCATATCAGCACATCAAGTGAAAAGGTAGTGAGGTGAAGGATGAAGATAAGTGAATGAAGTCAAAAGAAATATAAAGTATGATAAGAAAGGAAAGAGGAGTGACAAAATAGTGAGATTCGGTCTGGCGTTGTTAAGATGAGGATAATATGTGTATACGTCTGCGCCACTGACATCGGTTCTGAGCCATATCACCTAGGGTCTCCAACCACTGGTTCCTCTTGTCCCGTGGACCCCAACCACCTAGTCTGCATCGTCCTATATGGCTTAAACCAACAGTCAGAGACTTCATACATTGGTGCCATGTTTTAGTCTGGCCACCTCGGGCCTTTTTCCAGCCTGAACCCACCTCAGCCAACATTGTGTGACGAGGCAATCGGTGACTAGGCATACGTAGTACGTGTTCCAACCATCTCAATCGATGAAGGTTTGTAACCTTGTCTACTGATTTACCTCTGCTTTCTAAAACTCTACACCTAACTTCTGCATTACTCACGCGGTGACACCACGGAATACGTCCTATACCACTAAGGCAACGGTGGTCAAACACTTGAAGCCTTTTTATATCTTCCACTTTCAATGGCCATGTTTCACAGCCATACAGTAGAACAGAGCAGACTGCTGTGCAGTACACGCGACCCTTAATAGACGATTGGATATCACGGCGGCGCCATAGGTGGCGTAAATTGGCAAAAGCCAATCGAGCCTTTTGTATCCGTGCAGAAATCTCATCGGCAACTAACCCACCAGCTTTGATCATACTTCACTTACCAGGTAAGTGAAGTGGTCAACACACTCAACCACTTCACTCTCTATTGTTAGCCGCGGTACCGCTGACGTCTTCTAAAGCTTCTTCTAATTTTTTCTCCAGTCATACACCTTTATCTGCTTTCCTATCAGTCTTTTATATCTACTTGTTATATGCACGGTGCTGTGAAATGTGGCAACTTGAACCAATACTCTTGTGTCTGAGGTCCTACGTTGATTTCGTCTGTCTGAGTAATAAGTTTGACGTGTGCCATCATTGAAGACCAACTGTGAGATACAAGGTGGGCAAATAAATATTCGATGTAGACTAATCTACTCTTTCATTGTTTATGCTGGTAACTTGTTAAATTTGCAATGGGCAATTATCTGTACTGAAGAACTTTAGCTGATGTAGTACTGTCGTGAATCATCAGCAGATATACTCATTCTTAGTATGCATTCTCAGTCATTTAAAAAAAATTTGACCATTTCATTACATTTTATTTATTCATTTACCCTTATCTCTTTCATAAACCCTCCTCCCTTGGTTATTGAAATGTACATTTTATTTCAGTTTAAAACAAATTGTTGCACCTTGAGCCCCGTTCCATATCTCTCGAAGGTTTTGTCTATTGTTTATCTACTTCAGAGTTGGTTCATCTTGCACAACATATTGAACTTGTCATTACTCCTAGGTCTATTCACTTCCTGTTTTTATTGTTATTTCCACTCACTTTTTGTACTTTCCTTTCTCCTTGTTTTGTATTCACTTTCTTTCGGATATTTCTTTCTATGCTCGTTACATAACGCCTAATGGAATGATTTATGAATCTGTATCCATTGATGAGACTGATTTTACGTGGTCAAATGAATAATTTTCAAGAAAACTAAGCTATTGACAATAAGTGTTGCACAAGTACACAACTATTAAGGGAGATGATTGGTACATAAATAAATCAACTTTAAACGTTCCACACAACTGCATTTCTTCAAAATATCACACTTTAGAATCATTGATTCCTATCATCTATAGAACCTCATCTAAGCATCTTACACTTCTCCATATGATTCAAATCAACAATGAGAAACTTTATGAATGAACTTTCGCCATTTTTAACTTTATTTCGACATAATCCTACTGTTGCTGCCGTCACGCATTTAGACAAGTAGTGACTTGATGTACACAACACATGTCGAGACCACCATAGTTAGTTGGGTTTTACAATGTTACCGGTCATAATCTAATAACCTCCTCATGTTTTGTACTTTCAGTGGCTATATCTCGCAGCGGTACAGTAGGCAAAAGCGTAATGCCACACATTGCACTCTTTCTCCGATTTGTAGTAAAATATCTTATTGTTTCCAAAATGATGGCAGCTAGCAAATACCAAACAGTGGTAGAATGCATGTTAAATTAACTTATTTCTCGTGAAAGTATCTTTTTTCTCACATAAAGTCAGTTACAATGCAAGATAAAGTGATTAAAATGATACTAGATGATGATTGGAGATGGAATTAAAAGCTGAGTTGCGGTAACATTCGAACCAAGCGGTCTATGGGTTTACCAGCTTGATGCTTTATCAACTGAGCTACATGAATTCAGCTAGTGACCAAAAGCTTTGCCCAACTGTTATGTTAATTATCATTTTGACTACCTCAGATAGCCGTGGTTTGGTAGACTAGTATTGCTACTGGAGGATGATTATAGATGGAATGAAAACCCGAGTTATAGCTGAATTCAAATCAGTAGCCTCTAGAGTTAACAGACCCGGTGCTCTACAAATCATCAATCCGCACCAATCATAACTCATTATCAGTGACATCAACCAGATATTATATTATTTATTATTACTTGTCCTTTTGGTTCCTGGTGGAACATAGTGCTTCAGTAGCACGTCGCCATTTCACTCCTTTCTCTTCAGTCTTTTCAGCCTGGCTCCACGACTGCGCAGAGGCTTTCATTTCTTCCTCACACGATCTCCTCCATGTCACCCTTAACTCGAACGCCCAACTCGTCGTTTCCCTTTTGGGTTCCACTCGAGGGTCTGGCTCGGCGCTTGATGTCCCCAAATCGTCTTTTCGGTGAATGCCCAATCCATCTCCACTTTCTTCTGCATATTTGTTGGACGATGGGTCCTTGGTTGGTTCGTTGCCAGCCAGCCAGCCAGCCAGCCAGCCAGCCAGCCAGCCAGCCAGCCAGCCAGCCAGCCAGCCAGCCAGCCAGCCAGCCAGCCAGCCAGCCAGCCAGCCAGCCAGCCAGCCAGCCAGCCAGAGTTACTTGTTGCTTATTCTTATTATTCTGGCCATCTGATCTGATCTTCAGTATAAAGTGGGCGAGCGTAGGCGGCAGCTGTTGATGAATGTCTGTAGTTTGTTGAAAATGCTTTTCGTAACGCGCCAAGTCTCTCAACCATATAGAAGCACTGAGTTGACGTTGGTATTGAAAATCCGTATCTTGTTCTTTGTGCTGATTGAAGTAGATCTCCACACTGACTTCAGGTTGATGATGGCCTGTCTTGCTATCTTTCCGATCCCGACTTTGAATTCCTCATCTGTGCCTGTTCCGCCTGTAGTTGAAACGATGCTGCCCTGCCTAAGTAGGAGAAAGAGATAACTTCTTTTAGATTTCTCCCGTTGATAGTGATTGGTGCTTCAACAATAGTCAATATGACAGCCTCCCTCTCTAATTCACCTCGAATTAGATCGGCACAAGAAATTTGAACTCGGTAGTTAATATGATCATGCTGAATGGGCAGTCGAACTACACATTAACATGACAGTGAGTGCTGATTGAAGGTGAAATGGAAATTTGGACCGCAGCCGTTCGCTAGTTCGAATACGTCCACGGTTCAAATTTTCATTTCACCTTCAATCACCACCCAGTATCAATAATAATCTACCTAGCTACTGGGTCAATAGGCATCTAACAGGAATGATTTTTGAAACTATGAATAAAGAACAAACCAAAATACCGGTTAACTGTCCTTGTCCTAATTAAGGAGTAGAGTGCACTACTTAAGAGTTATCTGTCTTTCACTGCACGAGTATGAAACACCATCATTAAATTTTGATGATTTACAAAGGCTTTGAATATTCACAGGTGGTTATTTTGAAAACTAATCATAAGCTCAAGCAGTGTAACTTGTAGCATAGTTGAGTGTCATCAACCAAATGATAATAATAGTAATGTTATGTTGCATCTGGATTGTAGACGTAGAAGGGTGAACTTCACCTGTGTCTGATGCCCCCTTCATTTCATTCATTACTCAAGGGCACATACTTTTCAGTTTGTTAGATAGAATTTGTGTCGAAAATCGAAATCCTCCATTCAGCTATCTTGTGCATACTCGTCCGATAAACCAGACCTATTGCACATGAGAGCTGATTATACTATCTAATTGGTCGAACCTCAGTGGATGAAGTAGGACTCGAACCCTTTGTCCACTAGTTGAAAGTCATCTGTCTAAACCAGTGGGCTACAACTACACAGAATTTATGTAGAAGTCGCTTTTGCATGTTTTATTGTAATCTTTGAATTAGACCTTTTTCAAGAATGTTCATGATCTGTTTTCTTTTCGAATTATCTTCAAAATAGCGGGTCATCTGTTAGTGTTCCTGGTGCTACTGATGAAACTGTCAATCGAAATACTGAAGACAGAAAGGTGAATTAATTAACAACCTTTTAAATATTTTTGTTTTTGCATTACTTCATTCATATCGATTCACTTATGCATTTTTCAACTTTTTGTCATGCTAGAACCGTCAACTTGTCTAGTCTGACTTCTGTCATGCTGAGAAAATTGAACTATTTACTACTGCCGAACAATTTAAGTAGTTAAGGACCAATCAGACTGATCTATAGATTTTGCCAGTCAGACCAGAGTGATATAAGTGCTGGATAGCCGTTTCACTCGTTTGGAGATGAGCTTATCAGCGGTGTACCTGGACAAATTCAGTTCGTATGACCGAATTTCTTCACATCACCTGAATCTGGCTGGCGAAATCTACAAATCAACCTGACTGGTTTCTAACTACTCAGTTTGTTGAGTAGTAGTATATTTCACCAGTTCGTAGCACTTTTATGTCAGAGACCACATCTTGTTATCTTGACTGTCAGGTAGTTTCCAACGGGAACCCTGTTGACACCATTACAGGTGGGAAATTGAAAAGCTTACTCCTCTGTGAGAAATGTTGTGGTGGACAGTGCGATTTGTAAATCATTTGGAAATTGATCATCATATTTAAAGTTGAACCATGTTCAAGTAACTATGAGTAATGCAAGCCATAGGGTTTTATCAAATTTGAAGGAACTGATGTTCCCTTTGTGTGGAGCTGTGACTATCGTTTAGGGAGATGAATGCCAACCTGTGGGTCTTGAGTTCAAAGCCCCGCCTCACCTACCAGGGTTTGGACAGCCAGATAATATCGCTAGCCCTCACACAATGGGTGTGGCTCATTGTCTGGTACACGAATGTGCACAAGGTGGCTGAGTGCAATTTCCACTTGTGTCACATAACATTAAAGTTAATGACTTTATCATAATAAATGTACTTTTATTAAGAATGTCGATATGCGAAATACCATCGAATGACGAAACCAACCATTTATATCACTTATATAAGATTTGTACTAGTTAATTACTGTCTTGTCTAGTGCATGTAGTAGGTTACTTGGGTCGTGATTAACTTCATATTTTTTAGTCTTCATTGTTGAGTTTTCAGTATCGTTTGCGGGACCTAATATTGTGATACTGCAGATAACCCCTCCTGATGATTTTCAACTTTCACGAAACCTAGGTCTGGTACGGCTTCTTGCCGATTGCCACCATTTAACTAACGTCCATCAAAGCGCACCACAATAGTGAGTCTCCTAGCTGAGTGGCCACTTAAAAAAATGGTTAATTGAATTCATTGAGAAGGTGAAATTGGTTACTCTTCAGGGATCAATCAAGTATTTAATCAGGGGTACTGGAGTTCGGTTGTGATCCGAATAGGTCAGTGGTGACATCAATGACTGTATGACACTGTGTGACGCGGGTTCGAATCTCATAGGGGTGGGTGAGGTATCAGTTCCATCGGGGTTGTAGTAGGACCTTACTGAGGAGTACCAACAAGAAACCTAGTTGGAGCCAGGCTTCCTACTGATTGTCTCCAATTTACGAAGATTGTGACATATTGCACGCTGTTTCGGTTTACCACACAAAGTCTACTCCTTTATTTCATGCTTGTGGGTATTCCTCAATATGGTTTATGTGCAACTATTAGTCTTCTGTTGAATAAAGTCTATGTGAACAGAGAAATGTAACTCATTGTCTTGAACCCTCAATTTTCTTGCACTAGTTTCGTGTTTCAAGATCCTCCCCAATTACTTAGGTTTAAACGGTCTGACACTGTGATAGTTTCTCATACAATAGATTTGGTTCATAGCCTAGGGTATAAATCTATACCATATTAAGTTGCATTATCTGTAGAATAAAATTGAAACTTATTAACTCGAAGGTTAAGACTTACTTTCGTAAGTCGTAAAATCACAGTTTCACAAGTCTATCATGCACTGTTTATGGCATATGATAGATAGCTACTCTAATAATGCATAAATTATTGCGATATAGATGAAAAACCGTGCCTGATATGAAACCTGTTGGTTCTGAGTTCGATCCCTAGCCGGGTCACAGGTGAGTGCCACTGAGGACTCCTATACTAAGACGAGACAGCTACTGTCCAGTGTTTCCAGGTTTGCAACGTTTCTCCAACTGATGCCACTTTGGGATGAATTCTACCTAAATAATGTTTTTATTTAATTGGTGCTGCTAACTTTAGACGTTGGCTAGATTTCGTATCCTGATTAAGTGTTCCACATCTTCTTTAGATCTCTGGCTAATAAATTGGTCTCAACTTTTGACTGTCAGCTATTGAGAAATGGGTTCTAAATTTTTTCCACTTACTTAGGCCTACAGCAAAACAGGGTTTTATCAGCGATCATTATACACTTAGGGCATTTCATTGCTTGGCGGTAGAACACATATCCATCAAGTTGTTGGGTTTCATTTTTCTCTTATAAAGTGTAATAAGCTGCTGATGTGTAGTTAGTCTTGTGATTGGAATTTATGGCCTTTTTTGTAGATTCAATGTCTTTATATATTTTTATTCACCTTTTAATGATTTCTAGAACTCTCAAATATTAACATCAACACTGTTAACTTCAGACAGTGACAGCATAACCAGATCATCGTCTGTCTCATCAAAACGTTCAACCAATGATACTTTACAACTCATATCCAGACTATCCTCTTCATTTTAATGAGTACTGAAAATGATGGTAAACGGACTCCAACAAATGGCTTTGACAATGATAAACTGAGTTGGGATTCATCCGTAGCCTTATTATTCGGTGATTTAATGAAATCAAGTCAGTCATATTATTAACATCACTATAATAATTTCATTATCTTTGCAATTGATGCAACCAATGAACACAGCGTCGAATGCTTTTCACGAAGGGGGGGTGGTGGTGGAGGATAAACACATTTAGGCAATGAGATTGAGAATTACTTGACATATTGATCACTACAGAGAAAGTTGATACTTTAGTCTTTAATGAAAAACTCGACGATATTGTACTCGCTAAAAACAGATAAAAAGAAACACCTTAATTAAGGATGAGTTAATTCTAATCCCATGTCTTAAAATAATTTTGTATTGTGAGGTTCTGAGTTCGATTCCCGGTGGGGTCATGTGTGCGTACTGTTAAGGGGTCCATACAGTAAGACACAACAGTTGTCTAGTGCTCCCAGGTTTTCAATTTATCTCCAACTGGGTTCACTGCTTGATAAATACCAGCCTAAAATCAATAAATGAATCTTCACAAACCTTTAAATTGAAGTAATCTAGCGTTCATTGGCGACTTTCTTCGAGATATGATTCCCGAAGTTCTAGTGAGAAATCGTGACCGGTGGAACCAAGCAAGTTGAACGTGAAGACAATTACTCTGTGGCGATATTTGGTCAAGGTCTCTCTGTGTCGTGAACTGACAAGAGTAGGAAATGTGAACCATTGTATTCCGAACCAGTGGCAACGTACTGGCAGCGGAACCTGAAGGTCCTGTGTTCAATCCCTGGCAGTGTCATAGGTGCGTACCACTAAGCAGTCCTATACTAGGATGGAACAGCTGTCCAGTGCTCTCAGGTTTCCGATAATCCTCCAACTGATGTCAGTCCATCATGAATGTCAACCTGAAATCAATAAATAGATCCCCACAAACCTACGAATTAGATTGTTTTTTTTATTTGACTTTTTGTGTTATTATTGTTGCAGAGAATAGTACCATATATATGCTGGTTAAACAGAACGTTTAATTAGTGGTTCTCAGGTGTTTATTAATTCTAAAGTAGTTTTTTTTTACTATGATTTGACATTATTATTTAGTGGACCGTTTAAAACTTTAAAATACTGGACAGCTGTTTCATCCTAGTATACGCATCTTCAACAGTCCGCACTTAAGCTCCGCGACACATTGAACCCAGAGGTGTTATGTCTTACAGAGATTATTATTACCAGACTACTTTCAAATCTATAAATCTTTGCAATTCATCATTTTAATTACTATCATCTCCTCAATTGTGACGTACTTCAAGGTGTATTTCTTTAAATTCTTGTGAGAAGTTGTGATTTTCATGCTACTTTGAAGTGTGGCAACTTGCCTACTAGATTCAGTTAATACTATCCAGAGAAGATTTTAATTCGATGGATAGATCCAGAGTAGGATGTGTTTTCTTTATGAAGTAAATGACACTTCCATTTTCTCATAGAAGCGCTTGTTGTAAATATCTAATCAGACACGGTATTACGTCAAAGCAATTCAAGTGAGCACACTTTATAAGCGTATTGATGTAGGAAATAGAAAAATGGAGTATGACGAAATTGAAATAGTTTAAATATCGAAACAAGCACATCTAGAGTGATTGATTATTAATTTTCAAAGCTGTGTCTTCTTAGACAGAAAGATGAATCTTATCAATTGACTCTCCTCAAGAATAAGAAAAATATACATGTAAGATACCATCAAAGGTGAATTGGAAAACTTGTGAGAAGTTCTGATGAAAGATGAATACCCACTGAAATTCATGGATAAGAATGTAAAGCGGATAAATGCCATGAAACGCGTACACACACTGCTCCAAAAATGACTTTACTGTTGTATCTCGAATTCAAGAGAGATGATGCGGTAGATATCCTTAGAAAGAGACTATCAAAATCCATAAACAGAGCATTCTTAGCCTCCAATCTTAGAATCATATTCTGCTGTCAGAAACTCATTCGTCTGCAAGCGAAGAATAAGCTGGAGCATTTGACCACATCAGTGTGTGTGTGTGTGTATATATATAAGTTTGTTTCTGTGAAGCCAAGTACATCGGCCATACCATGCAGGAGTTTGTAAGACTTACGAACGCTGCTCAACCTATCTGATAAAGAGAGAACAGAAGTACATTTTCAGCTGTGTAACACAACTTTAAGTAAAATTAGGACACTTAACTCCATTTGATCAGTCCTTCGAAATTTTATGCAAAGTGCAACCAAGTCACTCGAAAAGAGTAAGGTCAAGATATCTGGGCATAGCTGAAGCATTAAGAATTCAAACGCTTAAATCATCATTATACGTTCAAAAGAAGTATGTACAGCATTTTTCCTTGCCATGATCATCGTAAAGGATCGATAACTGTAGATAATTCCCATATGATGTAACTATTTTTCATTTTGTAATCATTTCGTTGATTTCTTTATTTTAAACACTTATAGACATGAAGTGACTTTTCTTTGTCATGCAATTTACATTAACCCATTGATCGGAAATAATTTAGTTAAAAGTGAAAGTCATGAGAAATGAAAAAGTTGAAAAGAATAAAATTTGATATAATGAGATGTGTATGCGTCTATGATATTGTGATAGCAGATTCTGAGTCACGTTACCAAGTATCTTCAACCGGCGACATCGGTTGTCGCTCAGATGACTTTCTTATCCGTTGCATGTCGCTTCAAAGCACAATAAATTTCAAGTAAATCTCCGATGTTCCTGTCTTATTCAACTTCATTATCTGTATGAGTTGGTTTTCAAATACAGTCTATAGACCAATAGTGTTACTATACACTTGACATGAACTCAAGTTATTTCAGCAATTGATATCCTGTATAATTCGATAATTAACCTGTTGTAATCTGTAGCTTAACCAGTATTTCACTAGAAAATCGTTACTCATCTTCTTTGTTACTGTTGTGGTTGAGTGGTGGGGTTGTGCGCGTGGGTATAATAAATACTGAGACTCAATAGACACCTCAACCGAATACCTTTACGACTGACCTCCCTCAGTACCTTCTGCTTCACTGAGCCGCAGAGAAATCAGAAGACAAAGACGGCCTGTGACTGCAAGAACAGCGACAACCACTTTTATTAGACAAATACATGACATATATGACGTTACAAAACTCTCAGAAAGTGAAGCCATAAATGAACTTATCAGATTTCTTGTGTGAGGTCGAATTTCTCCAATCAGGTTCTCATATCAGCGCATGCATAAATCATGACCTGAACATGATTTGATTATGATTTGAAAACAACTCCCTATTGTCTGCCTTTTGTCGCTACGTAACGGCTACCTTGAGGGTTATCACTATATTGTCGATGCATATCTCGGTTTACACTTTCAAAGCCTAATTAGCATTCCCTTTCATTAACCGGGAAAAATATTATTGTACATTGAATTTAATCAAATAAATTTTGTAGTTTTTGAAAGACATTTCAGATATGCTTTGATGGGCTGAAATTGAATCAGCATATATTAGCCTATTTGAGCAGATTATGAACCATTCATAAGTCAGTGATACAGGTAGACAAATAAGTGTTCGAAATTGCTATCCAAGCAGTTTAAAGTTACTTTTGTTGTATGCAGATAACATAGTCTTGTTTGAGTGAAAACGCTAGCAGGATTCAGAGTCTTCTGGACACTTCAAGTGGCGCTTTGGGAATGTTCAAGGTACGTTTCTTGCTACTCCAATTACCGATTATTGCTCAAGGACTGGTTTTCTCTAGTGCATTGTTTAACAATAGGAAATGGACTGATTCAGCACGTCGATCAATTAACGTAACTGAGAACTTCGATCAGCTTCATTGAATCAGTGACTGGCTAAATCTCTGCACGGATGTGGAAGCCATGCTCTTCTTTTACGACATTACGCCGTTTGAAGTATGGCCATGATATCTGATTGCCTATTAAGTCCTGAGTGCACCGCGATTCACTTCTCACTTTTCTACTGTTTAGCTGTGAATTATATCTATGTTAACTGAAGTAGGTTGAGGTTAGAAAAAGGCTTGGAGCAGCGAGATTCAAACAAGGTGTCAGTCGCTGAAGTTTTTGACTGTCATTGTGAGCTGCGTATGGAAATTTAGGCTTCCCAGTTTGAGTTCGCTTTACAACCGAAATCAGTGGTTGTAGGTTCTAAGTGATATGACTCAGAAGCGATCTCGGTCACGGAGATATATTCACACAGTATTCTCATCTTAACGAGTATTCTGTTATTCTATCTTACCCTCATTTGATAACTTTCGACTGCTTTCTTCTCTATTTCTTTATCTTTCACGTTATTACTTTCTCTTTTGGTGTCCTGATGCTGGGCGTGATAAATTGAATTGTCATGTAGTAATACCAGGTCTTATTTTGATTTAGTCTGTCTATCTCTACTCGTTTAGTTCACTAAACCATAAGTCTAAGCATACCTCTTCAAGGCATATAAGACAGTACTCTTAGTTTACTCATTGGAAATACTAAAAAGTGAAACAGAACTACTTACTGGATGACATATTCCTAACATCATCTGCTGTTTACCGACACTTGTCAAATTACCTCTCCATTATTAATGTATAGTGTGTATAGTTTTCATTACCCCTTCCGTTTCTCTGTTCAAGTGAAATTTTACTCAGTAAATAATGCCGTTTCATTGCATCATATATCTAACATGAGGTTATATATACTCCACCAAAATGTCCAACTTTTTATACCCTACTTACTTTCTTTTTTCTTTTCAGAACGTTTTCGAAGTTTAACTTTGAAAGATGTGCCATTGTCAACTGTACAAAAATATAAGAAACGGTAAATAGCTTTTTAGTACTTTTATGTTACCTTGTAACTAACCGAGAATCATACAACCAAGATTTAAAGGCATTGAAATTTTTGTTATCAATGGTATCATTTTTAAAACATGGACATTCATCTGTATTCACAAAAAACATAACCTATCACAATCGATAAAATTGTACACGGTGAAAGCTGGGGCTGCGAATCATTGGCTGAAGCAATCGGTCCAAGTTTCTCAACCTCCATCCACCTTCTTCGACCTAAGCAACAATTTAGTATCAGAAAACCGCCATGTAATAAGTCTGGTTTCCCATATAACGCAATCAGAATACCACGGTCTACATAAGTCAGTCACACTATCGGATGAATACTGTGTTAATTTACCAAGGTTTGATGGAAATGCGAAAGGTTCAAATAGTTTCGGCCACATGATCAAAGTTATAGGATTTTTTAAACAAAAATAGTTGAAGAGAGGACAATTTTTGCTTAAACTTGCCTATGATTAACACAATTTATTCAACTATCAATTGTGTTTAAAATGCCTTAACTATTAAACCGATTTTCACGTTTTTCATTCATTCATTCATTATTTTGTTTTATCTTATTCAGATTAGAAAATGAGCGTACAATTATAGATTTAGCTAGATCTATTAAACAAGGTCGTATACCGAATATCTTTTCACGCAATCATATTTATACATTACTCCAAGATGAGAATTATAGAAATTTACTAATTGCTCGAATTAACCGTAATCTGGTGAATGATGTTCAATCTAATCAGCAGCATATTGATGATGTAGTAAGTGTGCTGGTGTATTTATTTTCTTTTAAACGATTTTGATAAATGATGGATGTTAACTATCAGTGGAATTCGGGACATGCGTTTCATCCTGTTTAAGACTCATCAACTAGATGTAACTGCCTCCCAGTAAGTGATATTGTTTCCGCCAGGGCCGATCGCTTCAAACACCAGAGCTATCTATTGTGACGAGTATCAGTTATTACTATTCACTGATAGTTGTAATTTCCCATATTTTTTTTGGATTGAATTGATCAGTCTCTATTGGTATATAGGCTCCTGCGAAGATGTCTAGATATTGCCTAAAGTTTCAGTTTGGTTATAATGACGGATAGTTGTTCAAATTGTATTTTGCTCCCCACGTTTATAGTTGTCTCTGTTATCATGTATTGTAAATATTTATATCATTTACCCCCTCCCCCCATGACCACTACCTCACCTCTTCTTAAACTACTACACCACTATCTTTTTTACCGTTTATTCAAATATAGGCTATTGAACATTGGGAACAATATAAGGCACTTGTGTGGGTGCTCAAACAAATGATTAATGGTTTAGAACGTAGTTTTCATTCAGATATTGTATTTCCAACTGCAAATCATTATGATCGAATGATGAATAATAGGGATAAATCACCATCGAGAAATGTTTCAGCAGTAATAATGAATATTAATAATAATAGTAATAATAGCAGTCGTTTAGCATTTTCCACAGGTGTACATAAAACTGGTGGCTTAGCCTCAGCATTTATGCTAATGGAAGTAGCACATACACATTTCTATCGGCTACCTAATCGCACAAATCAAATTAATCCAACAGCAATCAGTAATCATGGTCAACATTTCATTTGGAATAGTATGCCATCTACACCGATAGCTGAAAAACAATCACCTCTACCAATGAGTAAACATTTAGGTAATACTATTCCTTATCCAGTAAGTTGTTTCTTTTATTTGTGCAATTAACTATTATTGTATATTTTAGCGTAATATTTGATGAGTTTGTGTTATTGCTTGTATTATACTGTTGTTGATTGAATTGAATTGGTCGGTTTCTAGCAGTTGAATCCAGCTGACGAGTCCCAAATAGGACGAAATGCGCATTCCACTGCCAGCCACTATCCATCATTACTATATATAATGAGTTTAGTTCGAGATAAAATATAATTAAAATGAATGATATCCATTTTCGATATTTCCAACTCAGTGGTGCGTTGTATCAATAACAGGTATCTCTCGTGCCCCAGTGGAAGCAGTAGGTACTGTATTCGATTCGCTCTGTGAATAACACCACTCACTGAGGTGCAGGTATATGCAGTTAACGAGTCCGAAATAGGATTCCACTGCTAGCCATCAAGCCGGTTACAACCTGATGATCAATCAAGGAGTATCGAGACATTCGCCCAACAGCGGTCGAACAATTCGGCCCTGCATAGCTACGGGAGACTTCAAATATCAAACAACATGGGTGAGACAATTTATAGAAAAACATATTTACGAGTTTTCGGTATCGATTGAAAAATATATTTGTGACGTTGTATGACCATGTAGAAGCTTCTGCTGCGGAGATTAAAACTGATGTAAAAGGTATCACCTTGAACTCATTGATCAGTAATTAATAGGAATAACGCTTCATCCTTTCTAATCTATGTGTTAGGTAATCTGGTTTTTTCTGTTCCCCGTTTAAGCATTTTCAATAAAAAATCCATATGTTTTACGGAAGAGACTGTGGTATGCACACCGAACCGTTCTGGAAATTTCTGTTTTTACTTTGTAAACACGCTGCGTTTACATCAAGACTTACTTTTAAAATGTGACAATGTGAATAAGCCTTTTTTTGCTAGCGCTGCAGATATGACTCATTCACCGCCAGCCAGCCAGTTCACACCTCCCTACATAGATCACACAAGCAGTTAGAGACTGCATGAGCTAGTGTTACTTTTTGATGTAGCCGCTCTCAACCCTCCTTCAACTTAATTCAACTTCTCCTAGCATTGTACTCTGAGGTTGGTGATGGTTTTGTATGTGTGGCATATATCAAGGCCAACTCAGTCGATAAAGGTTCACAACCTCATGGACTGGTTTGCCTTCCTTGCTTAGAATACTCTACCTAACCTGGACATCACTCACATGCAGATGCCACCATACGCGAGAAATGCTACAAAAATACTTTCTGAAAAAAACTCCTATAATCTCCTTATATCTACTTTCTCCAGCTAAAACTTACAGCTGTATAGTAAGATGAAACGTGGAGTTGTGGCTTATTGGCTTTATAAAGTTGACTGTTAACCAATAGTTTACGGGTTCCATTTTCGTTGACCATATCTCAGAGCTGTATTGCAGGACAGAGCGAACTGTAGTACAGTATACTCATCCTTTGGTAGGTAGTCGAATATCCTGTCAGTTGGCTCAAGAAACGACCCAGTTTGGCAAATTGTAAGATTGGCTTTCTTATTCGAACTGAGGTTTCGTTAGTAATCACTTCATTTCGGCTGGTACAAATTACCAAATGCGTAAGTTGTTCAATGCATTTTGCCACTGCACTCCTTTTCTTTAGACTATGAGTCGATGCAGATCAGTTCTCAAGTATAATCTTTTATCCAGCAAATAAATATGCGACAAACCAATCAACATTCTACTACGATACCTGTGTATCACTCTTATAGCAATCAAATAACGAAAACTGAAATTGATCTTTACATAACTTCTATCCTCCTGTTGATTATACTTAATCCAAATCTTCAGTTTTATAGAAATTTTCACACATTTTGTTTAATCAATAATACCATTGTAGATTTTCTTTTGTTTTATCTTTTGTCTGTTTTTCATTTTAGTATAATCGACTGGATCTATCTGATTCTGAATCATGCAGTAGGAGGAGTTCAAAAAATGGTAAACTAAAAACTGTTTCTCTTGTAAAATTAATCACTATGAGGTTGTACCTGAGTCTCTCTCTCTCTCCCTCTCTCTAGACGTATGCATGTGTATGTGTGTTGATGTGTACCAATTGTAGTTTTAGCCTTTACTATCCTTAGAATGCTTTGTGACTGTCTGCACTTTGATGTAACGGGTATCATTTTTTGTAATGATACTTGTGAATTCCCGTGGCTGTACAAATTAATTTTAACCTATTTCATTAGTCTAACAATATTCTGCTTAACATCAGCTTTTTTTGTTTCTTTTAAACAAATAGTCGACTAGCTATAGTCATGCAATGCTCAGTATGATTAGGTGTCATATCATTTGTGTTGACATCAAGTCAGTGAATACTCAATTTCTGTCATCACTCGTCTCCTCAAACAGGTTTTTTTTCCAATTCTGAAGGAATAATGTATTTTTTACATGCAATTATCTACCATAATACCCTATCTCGGTTATTGATGCAGTTGTACAGAATACGTCTTTCGTGCCAAATGACTGTATGCTTGTATCATACTGCTGGATTTCAGTTTTTTTGTGTGCATATATACACCCTAAATAGGAAAGCTCTTAGCAACCTTGCTCACAATCGTGTAGTAGGCAATAAGCCACACCTAGTATATGACGGCTAATAATGCTATCTGGCTGCCCAAATCTCTTTAGTTTGTATAGTGTTCGTATCCATGATCCACTGGTTGGAAGTCAACCGCTCATACCGATGACCCAGCTGCTTAAATCACTGACAAACACTTCAGATTACAACTTCCCTCTTTAGATAGTTGTGTAACATACATTGTATATGATTTTCATTTCATACTGTTCTTTGAAAGCGTCGATTATTGTTAGCACTATTGCTAAATTATCCTCTTACCATTTATTTAATTTAATGAAATGATTATTTAAATTGAAAAGAAAACTTGAGTCCTAGGGGGGATACGAACCAGTAGCCTGATGAGTGTTGAATAAATGCTGTATAGATTGTTCTAAGCGGTTTTATTTACTGAACAATTCTTAATTTTCGTATCGGTTACTTAGTGGCTATTCAAACAAGTGATAATTTGACATTCGTTTAAATATACCTAAAATATTTGGATGATCAGTTTACTCTCATTTCTGCATATATGTTTACTTGCATCGTCTATGATCGTGATTCCAAACAAATGAAACTGACATTCAGTGGTTAAATCACTTGGATTTGGCTGGCCAAAATTACGAATCTACGTGAAAGTGGTGTCTACCTACTCATTTTGTTTACTAGTATGTTTCACCATAGGAATAATTGACTTGTTTACTGATGTAAATATACATTTGAATATTTAAAAAAAAACGAAATCAAGGGAATACTGGACTGCTGTTTCATCCTAGCATGGAACTTCTCATCAGCACATACTCACGACCCCTTCCCGGGGCACGGACTCAGGGCCTTCAGGCTTCATGGGGGAACGCATTAACCATTCAACCACTGTGTCGAAGTGTAATTGTCCACATTTTCCTGCTCCTATCATTTTGCTAGATAGCACGACTATCCACTGAGGTCTCTAGTTGGCATCCAGGGTCGTGGGTGCGTACTGCTGAGGAGTCTTATATTAGGATGAAACAACTGTCCAGTGCTTACAGGTTTTCAATGGTTCTCCGGTTGGCGTTAGTCAGCGATGAGTACAGCTTTAAAAATAAAATCTTTACAAATCACAAACTAAGTTAAAAAAAGTAATATTTTTGTTCAGTCAACTTCTAATGATACATTTACGCTAGTATGATTTATTGTCTATGGCTAAATAGTATAGATCGTTTAGTTGGTAACCTATTGTTGAATCGCTTTCTTGGTTTCATCGGTCAATAATCACCTCTTTATCTTGGTGTTTATTTGTTCTCTGAGTTAGGGTGGTTTAGTCATAAAGCTTTTGTTGTCCTGATCACCAAAATTTTCAGTACTAACTTCGATTTTAATTTAGCGATCAAGATTTATACATGAATGGTGATTCATTTGCCTATTCTGATAAAGTGTCGTGTGATAGACAGTTTCCTATGTTTTCCCGATCATTAACTGCACCTAGTTTCCTATTAGCCCGTCTGTCTGCCTGTCTGACCTTTGGCCTTGTAGTTGCTCATCCCTTTCCTTACCAGTTGATGGATTCAGTCTATATCTGTAACCATTTCATTGCTAATTCACTACTTCAAGAATTTCGGTGGTGTTCACACTTCTCCCCTATTCAAGATATTACTATATTTTCAAAATCAAATTCCTGTCCACAGTTGCCCACATGGATCGATCTAATGGATAAACTGTAATGATGCTCAATTGCCAACTGATGGTCATATCGATAATGATGAAGACAGCGATCACTTTTTGCAGTCTAGCTGAGGAGGTCAGCTTGTTTTTAACTATTGATTTTGATGTGGCCATTACGCATAAAATAGTATTCAATTAATAGGTTGTTTGTTTGTTGAATTCCTGCTTGTCAAGACTCCTTCAACTGTCTGCAGAGTAGTTTGCTGAATTCTATGTGTGTCAGTAGGCATCACGGAATGCTTTTCGTGGGCTAACGATGATGCGTACTAAGTGAATTTCACGAATATGATCAGCTGATTTTGCATCTTTATGCGTATATGTGTCTTCTTCGAACTGTCGAGATAATATTCAGTGTTTGTTTCAAACAGATTCATTGTTTATCCTACTGCTAACGTTTTCCTAATCTGTCTGTGTATTATACTACACTCACTCACTCACTCACTCACTCACTCACTCACTCACTCACTCACTCACTCACTCACTCACTCACTCACTCACTCACTCACTCAATCAATCAATCAATCAATCAATCAACCAACCACTTATTGATTCATTTTTCCGTATATTCTTTGTTTAATTTCAGTCTATGACCTTAACTCGACACCTATCGAATCTTCGTTGCCATCCGTGAATTGTTCCACAGTGAAACAGCAGTGTACTGTGGCAGCACAGTCTCAACAGCATCACTCATATCATAGGTCATCATCATCATCACCTTGCAGACGTTCGCAACTTGGTCGAAATGTTGTCCACTATAACTCAGCCAATAATAATAATAATAAGGACAATTTTCGTCATCGGATGCAAATACCAAAATCTTTGGAATTACTAGAGAATAAATTTGATCTGACCAATGTTTCAAGTAAACTAGTTGACTTCAAGCTGAAAGTGATGAATCGTTCCAGCAATCAGATTAGTGGGATCTATAATAATATAGTATCGTCTAGATTGGCCAAAAATTTAAAACATCGTAATTATTTATCATCTGTGCCAAATTATTTTCATAATAGCACTAATAGTTATTATTATAGACAGTCGTCTCGACCATTAACATCAAGAAAAACAAAGGAGGAAGATGAGACGGATGGTCATTGTAATGGTGATGGTGATGACGATGATATTTATTTATTGTCCAGTCAAATAGTTGTGACAGAACCATCTGTCTCTTCTCATTCACCACCAGTCGTTGTGAATAATACACCTTCTGACATCAGATATGCGCATATACCGCACTACAGTATATCATCTAATCGCAGTGAGCATTAAAAGAATTCATTAGTGTCACGCTTGTTGTTTGTCCTGTGCCACATCTATGTCTATTGAAGAATGTTTGTTGTGAATATCTGCAATGCAACACTGTGTTCGTATTCACTTGGCGTTGTCTTTTGGGGATATGTTGTAGCTGGTTTCATTTCACTTTGTTGTGGTTACCTTTAGACATGATCATTGAATAATCATAGTCCCTTTGACGTATCTTGGTAGCATTTTGCATGCGGATATTCTCTTAGTGGGAGCGAATTAAACGTTCGATATATAGCAGTTAACTGAATGAGGTTATGAAACTACCGTCTTCCTTAACAAACTTTATTATCAAAAGTAGGATTTGGTTAGAAACAAGCTATATTAACTTGCCTATGTCTGTCTGTTCGTGTACTCAATGAAAAGTGTATCAATTGATTTGATTCATATAGCCAAGCGTGGGCTCTCTGATTGTTACTCAGAAGATAACCGAAATCATTTGATAGGGAACCTCATGTTTCGGAAACCTCCACGATAGTGTAAATACATGGACGCCTTATATTTTACTTTTATTTTTAAAATCATTTCGTGTATCTTTTACTCTTTTAGCTTTTTGCAACTGAATTTCTTCTTGATATTAATGATAAATAATGGCTGGCAATGGAATCCAGGATGAGCGTTTCGTCCTACTTGGGACTCATCAACTTGATATAGCTCCCACCCAATGAGTGTTGTTCCCACTAGGATTTGAACCAAAGGCCAATCGCTTCAAACGCGAGAAAGTTATCGACTGGACCACTGGTTCACGATAACCACTCCGCACGGGAGCCTATATACCAACAGTTGTCGATCAGTTCAACCCTATCAACAATGGAATTATGCAAGCTATGATATCAGAAGCGTATTTTCTCTTGTTAACTTCCATGTCTATAGGATATTATAGGCTAAGGCAATGTGAAATGAGGCACAATTATACCAAATCCACTACTAACTAGGATAGTGAATTTTCAACGATTTTCAAAAACGTTATCACCTATAAATAATATCAAAAGTGAATACTGATATCTTTATCATTTCAATGTTTCACGCGGTTAAAAAGTTTAAACCGGTAGTGTTCGACAAGGACTCCATAGGCATTGGCAAAAAAATTTGAATTTGCTGCTCTAACTCTTGAAATCTTGTCAAGAAGTGCTAAGCTTATGACAAGCAATTGAGAAAATGACAAATGATACCATTGAGGCTATTGAAGACCTCACAATTACTGAAATTACTTGACCGAATATCTTGCTGTTCGAGCGCTACGGCAGTTATTCTCATCTATTGCCAATGCTTTCAAGCCTCTGACGTAGTATTTTGGATGAAATGTTAAAATGTAGTGAAAGTAAAGCTCTTGATGTGCCTACAAACTGTGTTCATTTCAATCAGCTGACATGTAGTTAATGCATAACTAATCATCACCTTCCTGGCCTTTGATTCACTGCAGCAGGATCAAGGTAGACAACGCATTGTATCCATTAGCCATCAGTTTGAAAGAAATTGATCGCATCGCTAATTAATCAGTTACTCATTAACGCTTTGGTTCGCTGAGTTATGCTGAAGTGTGAATATTAATAGATCTTTAATTCTTACTTGACCCAGTGTAGCAACGGTAAATTACAAGTATCAATAAACAGCAACTGACACTCGTCGCACAAGTGGTGGCTTTCATTCCTCAGTGGTCCAGTAAACAGCGCTCTGGTATTTGAAGCGATAGGTGCTGGATTTGAATGTCAGTGGGAAAAACATCACTCATTGATGTGTAGGTATATCCAGCTGACGAGTCCCAAGTAGGATGAAACGCGGGTCCTGGATTCCACTGCTGGCCACCAAAAAGACTGCAATCAATTGTTTTTATCTCTTAAATAATTGTCCACGTTTTTGTGCTCGCTCGTTTGTTTGTTGTTTTCTTAGCGATATCATTTTTAATGTATCAGTGATCACAACCATAAAGTGAATATTTTTCATCTTGGATGGAATAGGAATTTAGTTCTTGTAATGCTGTATACACATGTGTATTCTTTTTTCTCTATTAGAACCATTTCATCATGGCCGTGGTGAATTTACCAATACAATTCTCTCGATGAGTGAGCCAACATCGGATCGTGAAGATAATGATTGTATTCATCACACCAAATGTATTCTGCGTTCAGATAGTATTGAACTAGGTAAAGGTGATGTAAAATCAACTATGGATTACAAGATTGTGACTAATACAATAAGTGATAGTGATGATCATACCATTAACAATGATGATAGTAATAATAGTTCTACTCTTGTAAAGCACAAGCCAAATAATGAGAAGGTGAATAAATATTCTGCTACCACTTCAAAACTTTCTGATTCTTTAAGTGAATTGAAATTAACCAATGATGAAATACCGCCTGATTATATACGTGAATTGCCTATTCGTAAAAGTCAACGTAGCTTTGGTTACAGGTGAGTTGGTAAGCTGTTTTTTTTCATTTATTGTTTTCTCTTCTACAAGTCAATTGGTAGGAAGTTCTGTTTGACACAAGTTTCATGCTTTTTGTCATTCATCAGAAAAGTATATTTGCAACCAATAATTCAAATCTGTACCACTCACTCCGGAAGTCGGAGACTTTAGCACCAGTGTATTGAGACCATTGCACTATCGTACCGGTTAGTTTCACAACTGCAACGCAAACTGGATCAATAAACTTTGGTCAGTATTCAACGCTGGGAGATTCACAAGTAAATTGACCTGAGAAAAGCAAAACGACGCAGAACAACGCACAGAAGTATATTGGTTCTAGACGCTAGATTAGACGGTTGCCGGTACCAGAGGGAACGTCATTTTACGCATTCCAAAATGCCTTTTGTACCCAAGCTAAAATGTCATCGGCAATCAACTTGACCGAAATAATGCAACTCCCCTAGTGAGTGGAGTGATCAGTGCATTTTATCACTTCACTCTCCATCTTTGACTCATATTAGCTGCAGATCAGTTGAGAGGCATCGTATCATATTTGACTAGTGTGAAGCACTTACCGAGCATACTTAGATTTCTACGAAAGGTATTCAGAGGACCCTGGATTTTTTCAGCATCATTGACTTCGTCTACGTACTGCAGGTCAACTAGGTATCTTCCAAGGAGTAAGTCAATACCTCTGAAGGCAAGGATGCATAAGGTTATGCCAATTAGTGCGTCGATGATGAAGTTAAATAGGAACGGTGGCAGTGAACATCCCTGGCGGACACCGCTAGTTGTGGTCAATTCTAATGACAGCCATCCATAACCCCTTACACGACTGCGTGAGTTCGGGTAGAGAGCTTTATTTAGTGTTATACACTAGCTCGGTACCCCTTTCATATTAAGACATTACCAGAATATCTCATGGTTGAAAGATTTGAATACCGCTTTCAAGTCGAGAAATTTGTTAAGTGTTATTCACCGGTAAGTATGCCTGTGCTCCATAACCTGTCGTGAGGGGGAAATATGATCAACGTATCCTCATCCAGGGCTGAAACCTGACTAGTTTTCTTGAGTTTTCTGTTCTCGAACCGAGTCGTCAGATAACTATGGACCCAAGGATCTTGGACACGATACCATTTAAACTGATTCCCTTTTGGTTGTCACAAGGAGACTTCTCTTTCTTATAGATTGGAATGATCAGTGAGGTAGACCAATCTGACGGGACTACCTTTGATTCCCGTACACTATCTAGTATCTTCATCATTTTAATTAGCAAGTTCCTACCTCTATCTTTGAAACTTAAGGTGACAAACCGTCAAATACTACTGCTTTTCATCGTTCCAAGTTTCATATAGTCTCCCCAACTTTGAGGTCAGTTGGAGGACCGACATCCACGTTCCATTCAAGTTCATGCTGGGTGAATACTGTAGGGCTGCTGTCAGCCAGTTGAACTACGCTTCAAGGTGTTCCGCCCAACGTTCTTGCTGTCTGTCCTATCCGCGTCTCATCCTTTTCGTTGGCGGTTTCTCTGATCATTGTCTTTTTCTTGCCTGTATCCTTAATAAGCCTAAATAGTTGCATGTGCGATCAATGCAAAGCCCTAATCAATGTACACCTAGTCTGCTTTCACTTCCCATGGTGGCCAGAGCCAGCTGGAATGAATCTTGTAACAATAACTAGTTTGGATGACGCTACGGATATCCATTGGTATTTACTAAACTTTGAATATGGGTTACTAACTTTCTGTTTCGACAGCAGATGGAGTGTCATATCAGGCTTCATCACGATAAGCGTTGGTATCACGTCCAGATAAATGTAAGGCTTTCTCTTCGCTAAATGCGTACTTGACGTTCTCATCTTCTAATCGAACACGCAAAAGTCCAACTGCTCCCTGTTTTCTGCGGTTAGTAAGATGCAGACATAGCGAACCCGTACTAACGCGTGAAGGGAATCTAAACAGATATTCCAGAAAGAGCGACAACCCTCCACTAATCCCCTCCAACGTTGGCTCACAGCAATATGATCTGTGTCCATCACTAGTTTGATGTCGGTGGATGCTATGTGAAACTATGTCTCTCCGTACACTAAAGGTTATTGCTGGCTAGAAACAAGTGATTATCAGGACGAAATTGCAGCAGACAATTAACGTTGTCGATTGATTGGTATGAGATATAGTAGATAATTTCAAGATGCTTTTCTAACTGACTCAGCTTTCCTACTTGAGCGTTGAAGTCAACTGCTATTATGACTTTCTCTGAACGTTTTGCGTCAGTCAGTAGCTGGTTGCGTGGGCGGAGATAATGAGTAGGCATCGACGAACATCATGGGTTCTCATAGTTCTCACAGATTAATTCAGTCGATTAGCGCATAGACAGATGTTGACTGGTCTGCAGTCGAGAAGCACGCTTCTCGTTCTCGAAACTAATGCTGTACATACACCACTGACCCCACGAGAGCTAGCCACTAGGTCTCCGGACACTTAAGGTGAATATTGAAGATTAACTGCAGCGGTTAGTTATAGTCGAGTGAATAACCACACTTGAGTCGCGTATGCGTGTCACAGAAATACAGCATACATCCATCACTGGAGATTCCAGAATTTTGACAGAGGATATTTGCTGTTTGATTTGGCACATGGTATGTACATTGAAAGCTCCAGAGGGAAATCGATAACAGGGTGTTAGGAGTGCGGTTTCACTGGCTTGGATCGTTGGCAATTGTTACAATGTGAAAGGTTGGGGAAGTTATAGGAGGTCTACTATTGGTATGAAGAAGTTCAGACAAAAGTGGAAACAAATATAAGGAGGGTTGAATATAGTCAGTTGGGTTTTGTATACTTCTATAAGGGAATAGGCAGTTGGTACTTCCCATGAGAGTTATTTTTGAAAACCAACTTAAAGAGAAAAACCATAAGTTTTGTTGGGTGGCAGAGTCCATGAGACATCTGTTCGAGGCCTATGACAGTCTTCTTAAGATGTATTGGTGCCATGTTTTAGTCTGACTTCTGCGAGCTTTTTACTAGCCTGAACTGACATCATTCAACATTGTGTGACGAGGCAGACGGTGGTTAGGCATACGTAATACATGTCCCAGCCATCTCAGTCGATCAAGGTTCACAACCGCACCAATTGTCTTATCTCTCTTCCCCACAACTCTACGCTTAACTTGTGCGTTACTCACATGGTGACACCACGAAACACGGTCTATGCTACGAAGTCAACGGTGGTCAAACATCTGAAGCCTTCTCATGTCTTCTACCTTTAATGGTCATGTTTCACAGCCATAGAGGAGAACAGAATGGAGTGCAGCAGCAGTGCAATCAGATATCGTAGCGGTACCACAGATGGCCTAAGTTGGCAAAGGTCAACCGATCCGACTTCCTAGATAAGTGAAGTTTTCAATACATTCAACCACTTCACTCTCTCTTGTTAGCCGGGTCACTATTGAAGACTAGTCCTGAAGCAACAATTTGCAACATCGACACGATACTGCTAATCATTTGCAAGAAACATCTGGCTGTTGTTAAACCGTGTTCAGCCAACAGTACGATTTCGTTCTCGGAGCCCCCATGATATCATAACAATTTACACCATAACGGTAACCGCTTTATGTCTAACTACTATCCAACTGACCTTTCTGGCATGGTAGGAGCTTAATGGGGAGAAGCGTTGCAGCTAGTGTAGCTCTTTAGGTCATCGTGATATGTATGCTTAACTATCACGTCATGGTAGCAGCTTTCAGTTGGGAACCCTTTTGTGCACACATCCTAGCTCTATAAATGGTTTTTGTTTATCCTATGTAGCCTAGTCTTAACTTCTTTGATCTCAACACTGATTGATACAGTTCTGCATTCTTGAAGGAATACGAAAAGGATGTCAAGCAGGTCTTCCTGCCGATTGATTCCTAACATTTAACACTGCAACATCTCATCACTGACTTTGTGGTTCACTATGTACATTTTATAGGTAGACTTAAATCAGGACTGAACACTAGGGAACTATTAGCTGAAGTAGTTACTCACAGGTTGATCAGGTCGTATACATTTTCTTGTCATAGTTGTACCGCTTAGAATCGACTGGATTATTTCATATCATGTGATAATTGAAATGTTTTCTTTTCTTTGGATTTATTCTTCTAATTCACTTTTTTACTTAGGTATCACCAGTCTCATTTGATTCTAACAGATTCAACCGTAACTTCAAGTCCCCTTGAAGAGAATGATACATCATATATGATGTCTGGTTGCTCACTGAATATATGCACACCGCCAGCTATCTATTGTCCTGAAATGAAATTTCAGTTCAATGATAATAGTTTAGAGGAACAGGAGCAAGTGCAACAACAGCAGATACTGCAACCTCAACCTCATCAAAACAATTTGTGTAAAATTAGCCTGTTATTACCAGCTCCAGCTCCACCGTGTCCTTCATCGCCATCATCAACGGCAGCAATGTCTGTATCCTGGAGAAAGAAAGTTCCATGGACATATATCTTTGAAGACGTTTTTGACACTGAATGGCAAAAAAGTAAGATATGGGGAAATCTACAATTTTGGGAGGATTCATTCTTGGATGCCGTTGCACAGGAAAGAGATATCTTAGGTCAGTTCTCATAATGATTTTCTTTGAATGTGTAATTAATGTTGGCCTGTATCTTAACTGATAACAGATAAACTGTTTTTCTTGTTATCTGCGATAACAAGACACCTGAAGCTCTTGATTTAGGGAAAATTGTAGATGATGAGATCAAGTATTCATCATTCTAAGGAATGATGAGATAGTTACCTGGCATTCCGTGATTATCAACAGTTTAAGTGATATAAGAGATAATAATGACGACGTATGCTAATTGACATCTGACAGTATAACTTTAATCACTAGGTTATGATCAGTTTTCTATAAATTAAGGAAAGACGTGTCAGGTATTTGATTGGAAGCGACTTAAATCAAAATCAACATTCTAAGTCACCAGCCGCTAAGTTAGTTGTTTCAGATTTCAACCTTTTTTAAATCTTACTGTGTGAGCAGGAAGAACCTTATTGGACAACTTTGTCCTTCAGCTGACCAATCAGAATAAGCATCCAGCTTCTGATCTGGTGGCTTTATTTTCTGTGGGAAAACTGTACATAGATGATGTGTTTTTTGTCAAATGAAGTTGTCTTCGTTACAGTCACAGACTGGTCTTTCTCTTCTATGTTTCGTGGCTCAGTGAAGCGTTAGGTTTGAGAGAAAACAGTCGCTTTTCGTATCCAGACCAAGTACCGCATCGCGTTATGAATATTACTATTATTCTGTCGGTCGGTTCGCTATTAAAATGTGCTACTTTTCTGCATACATATAATTGCATGAAATAGAGCATTCGTCTATGTTGTATTCATCTTTGTGACTAGCAGTGAAATCCAGGATGCGCGTTTCATCCTGTTTGGGACTCGTCGGGAAATTATAATTATCCATAAAGATCAAGTGGTACCTGTTGCACCGGAGGTGGTTCTGGTGCCATAGGGGTCTAGTGGACAACGCTTTGGCATTCGAAGCGATGAGTACTGAGTTCTAGTGTCAATGGGAACACCCTCACTCACTGTGGTGCAGTTGCATCCAGCTGATGAGTCTTAAATAAGGTGAAATTCACTTCCTCGGTCCCACTGCTAGTCATCAAGATGAACATAACGTCATGAATATCCAGCAGTATCTATGGATCTGCGTAGCAGCCTATCTGCCAACAGACATCGAACAATTCGACCCTGTATAGCAACGAAAAATTACAAGTACCAAGCAATATTTTTTCTATGTATGTTGTAGTATAAACGAGTTTTCAATAACAGAAAAAAAGTAATCTTGTTCAGATCACGTTTACAGGGAGTGTAAAGTATGGTGTAATAGATGTGTGTAAGGTTGCAAAACTTTAAGAAACTAGTTTTTTCGTCGTTGTTTGTACAGAAATTCAAACAGTGACAGTGCTCAATCCAGATCCGTCCAGAATCATTCTGTTGTTGAGTGTAGCTTTTTGGAAACCTATTCATGTTTCATTCTAAAGTATCAGTTACGGAGTGACATCTACTACGAGACCATTGAAAATTAAAGGGTTCTGGTCAACTGTTTCGTGTTAGTCTAGGGCTTCACAATAGCTGGAACTCATGATCCCTTGCAAGGTCTAGCCTAACACCTTCAGCGTCTATGACTTGCAGACATATTATCATGCAGCTGTTGGGTTATAATCGAATAGATCACGTCACTAATCTTTTTCATTTCATAACAGAGCTTCATCATCTTACAATGTAAGCGGAGAGTAACTGTCATTATGCTCGATTTATTTGACTCATGACAGATTACAACTCCCATTAGAAATTTGTGAAATCAATCTCTAAACAGGTAATAAATTTAAACTGGATCTTTGTTCAGTGAGATGATTGATAAAGGAAGCTTTGTAGTACTATTTGACTTTAAATTTTCTCTGGTTACGTTGGATCAGCAGTGAATGAATACATTGAAGTATAAAAAGAACAACTAACAAACGTCTCAACCAAATATTTTGATTTTAATTTCTTTCTTTCACTAAATCACTTTAGTCATGATCTGATATGTTTGTGCTGAAACCAAAAAGTATGTACAGTTTGAAGTCTTTCATTGGGCATCGTTTTATATTGAATCTCTAATTTATCACAGCTATCCTTGTAAAGTGGGTTAGATATATCAATACAATTTGTCTACATATTAAGGAATTTTTGGTCACCTATTTGAAGACAGAAAACTGCACAACATTTTTTTTGCTAGTTAGAAGTGGCTCATTGATGTACTTTCAATCAATGGGTCATAGGTTCGACTCTCCGCCCCCTCACTAACCCTTGTATACAATGAGTGTGGCTCGTGGCTTACACTGCATGAACATGCCCACAGGTGCTGAATGGATTTCGATCGGTTTTTCGATGTTATTTGAGATTGATGTGAATGTGTCATTGTATATCGTACTACTTCATTATTTTATTTTATCATAAACTAAGGATAGCGTCATTTATCACCATAATGCACTCTTTGTTTGGTGGTACCAAAAGTATTGAATACAATGGAATAAGTAACGCAGAGATGATGTCTTAGACGGCAGCGCCGAAGATTGAAGTATTACTGTGTTAGGGATGCCGATATCCCTTATATTCCATACTTACAGTCTAGGTATATTTGAACTGTTTTACTTCGCGCTTTTTTTTTCTGCGCATGGGTCCTGCCTCTCTAAATGTACGAATTAGTCCTTGCCCTTCAAGATCACTGTAATTTCTATAAAATAGGTTCCATTTTCACTAATAAACGTTTTCAGTCCAAGAGACTATGAACTCAGTTGACTCCCAGTCGTTTGATTCCTCTTTGCGAATCACTTGGGTTGAACCGTTTCAACCTTCGACCATCAATCGTTAGGTATTTTCGTTCATTCTCACAACTCCGTATCATAACATACTTTTATAGAGAGCACCATCCTTATCTGTACGGATTTATTCCGTTAATTTATATTACTATGTTAGTAATAAACATTCCGTATTTTAATGCTACTTTCCTTTAATGGGTTAATTATGTAATGGTTTATGTAACAGATTTGGCTGCATTACATTGGAATTGATTATACTAACTTGTTATTTCTACTTATATTACTGCCTCATTTCTAGTTAGCCTATTAACCATATTGATACTAGGTGATGATTGACGGTGTCAGGATTCAAACCAACAGTCCCCTAGTTCTTTTCTCTTTCATTCTTTCTCATTTAACCTCCATAGTACATATTATCCACCATTTTGTGCTTTATTTCTTATTCATCAGGTATGGATTTTCAACCGAAAGAACTTTTATCCAAATATCAAAGTTCTTCAATATTGAAACGTAAACAGATGGAGTTAGAAGAAGATTGTCTACTAGTCGGTATAATGCATAATATGATTGCATTTATGCTGATGGCTAATGTGGATCGTGCGTCGATTAGAAAGAAGTTACAACGTTTACTTGCTAAAAGTCATACAGGTTTACATTATTCACGAAAAATTGGTGACCTGTTGAACTCATTAAATTATCTTGTAAGTCCAATAGTATTTTTACTGCTACTTACATACCTGTTGGATAATATCTATCGTTTTTCCTTCAGTTCAATACATATCACCACTCATAACCGATTATTACTCCCATTGTTTTCTATTGCCTTAACATTGGAAAGTGAAGTTGTAATTGTTTCATTTAAGCTTTTCACTATCAGCTGCTGCCTTACGGGTTCAAACCCTGACTCACTTCGATATCAGCAACTGGGTAAGATCACTATTTTTACTATAAAAGGTGAGACTGACAGCTTTATACATAGTTACGAGTGACAGGATTCGACGCGTATATTTTGTAGAGTTTAAATAAGATGATATGGCTTATAGAACCGATCAGGTGGCGGTAATCATAACGAGTACCCACTGATGACAATTCAATGGTGATTGCACTTTGTTCTGAAATTGACTGAAACTCATAACTAAAGCTGGCGAAGTGAATTACTTTATAATTGACGTCAGATCTAATGCTTTCAAGTGAAGACTAAAGTTTAGGACAGATGCTCAGTTATTTTGTGCTTTTTAATGATTTTCTTGTTATTACTAGTCTGAAATGCTTTTACTGTTCAAAAGTACTACGAAATACTTATCTCTGCTTATCGATTTCGCCTGAAATTTTGCTGATGACATCTTTTTTCATATGGCCTCAGATTTTATCGATTATTGGATCATCACAGATTGCTACAATTATTGTTGTGATAGATTTTACTGATTACTGCTTGTTGACACTATATTTTCAGTCAATGAATTGCTAGTTTGGACTCTGTTCTACATAACAGAAGCAACAAGGTGACATCATCAGTAATGCTGTGCCCAACCCTAGAGTTTCGAAGTGACGAAAGCCAATTAGTCTGGGTAATGGCGGTGCTAGTCAGATGTTCATAGACCTTCCAGGGCAGACTTAGGGTGTGTTTTACGGTGATATACCGTTTGATACGTCATGGGCGACGAGAGACTGTGCTTTGCATGTGAGGTATGATGAAGGCTATAGTTTAGTTGTCTGCTGTCTCTCCTGAGTAAAATACTAGTAGGATCAAGATGACTGGCCTGCTTACCTATATCCCTGTCATGGGTTTCAGGTCAATAATGAAGTCTACCCTGGTGATTGCAGCACCGGTCGCTATGGAGTGCTCAAAGCGATGAAGCTTGTATCATCTCTCCTGGCTGGGGAATGAGTCTATGGAAGCAGTCGCCAGTTGATTCCTAAACGTGGTCAGTTGTCTGGTAACGGTTCAGGCAGTAGGTGGTGAAGTGTCTGGATGCCCCTGCCCTGACTGCGATGAGAAGAAGGATGGTATTAATTGACCGAGATAATTCAACCCAGACACTTGTGGCCATCCCTACCTGGGAGGTATGGGTTTCGAAAGCCGGCCTGTTTGCGGGTGATGTTGAGCTAACCTGGAAGGCTTTTAAAACTGAAATAGCTTTGTTGAAAAATTTTGATTCAGATTAACGCATTAATCTGCTAACGACCACTGATTTATTCTTTCTTTTCTTTTTCTTGACAACTTCGTTCACTTCATGTGAAAACCTTCGATCAAAAGACAATACCCATCCACGTCTAGAAGTGTTATTTCGATTTAGTGGTATAAAAGCTTTGAAATATTATTTCCAAGTTTTCTTCTCTCCTTAGACTCACATCACTCACTTTGATCTGTGTGCCAGATCGGGATATTTCTGCTAGCGTTCAAATAATATTGGTGTTTCTCTTCCTTAGTAATTTAGCCTTCTAATCATTATTATATTTAGTTCATAAGTATTTATTATTTCAACTAACATTCTCACTCTATTTTATTTTCATCACATGATTATTGGAAATCATTATGAATATGTGTACAGTATACAAATGCCAAGAATTGAGATTAACTAAGCTGTCGTCCCCCTCCCTTTAAACTTTTCTTTTTTCCGTCAGACCTTAACCTAAATCGAAAGATTTTCGAAGAATTGAATGGGGTGGTTAGTGTTAGCTGGGTGTGTAATTGAATAGATATTATCACTACAATTGTGTTATATCTTTTCAACTTACTTTATTCTTGAGGTTTATCATGTGATAAATTATTTGTTGGTCGATAATTCTCACATGCTATCTAAAGTTCTACTTATTGTCATTTATACTAATTCCGGATTTTATTTCCATTTCTACTTTTTTTTTCTGCTGCTGCTGTATGACAGTAAATCACATTGATTACTCTTATGTTGTTGCATGCTTACGCACTATTAGTTAAACAATTAATGATGATGGTGACCTCATTTTAATAGTATCTCTTTTTCAGTGCGATACATTACAGTAAAGAGATCAGACTTTTATTTACCAATAGAAGGATTTGTAGTATTGAGGTAATCGAGTGAAATAATAAGAAATACATGAATGATATTAATGCAATGAGACACTTGGACTGGATGCGAATAGCGACTGATCTCCCTTGATACCTTATACTTTATTGAGTCGTGAAAACCACAAGGTGAAGATCAGCCTGTGATGATTGTAAAGAAGACACTTTATTCGACAAAATTCAGTTATATCCGTAAAAAATGTATGCCTTATGGGAAGAATCAATTTATTATAAACACATTTGTAATGAATATTTACACCTTGTATACATCCATGCAGTAGACTATAAGCCACACTTATTATGTATGAGGGCTAGTGATACTACTTACCTTCCCAAACCTGTACATGTGGAGCGGGACTCGAACCAGTGGCCCAATTGTTGATATTCATGACCCTAGACCGATGAACGACAGCTGTGGCTATTTAAGACATCTGTAAATATTCATTACAAATATGTTTATGATAAATATTAGCAGTTAGTATTAGCATAACTTCTAAAAATGTATGCTTAACTACTTGAAACCTAAGATCTTGTTATCTCAGCCTATGAATACTCGGTTGGGTGTATGAATAAATAAGTTGATGTATCTCCAATAATATAAAGTTGGATAATTCACTCTCAATAATGCCATTACTGTATTGCTGACAGATCCAGAGAATCGCGGCATAGCAATAATAATAATAATAATAATTCAAGGTCTAGATGAAACTAAGGTACAGATATGTCTGTGCACTATTTTCACCTATTTTAAACTAAATTTAGCGGACTCTGTAAACGTCAACTTCAGTGATCTCACCAACTAGGCAGTTAGATCAATAGTGAATAACTTCATACTCCTGTACTTTCACATACTACTGCTAGATGGATAGATCAAATTGCAAAGTTTATCTACAAACTGTTTGTTTCAACAGTTTTAGGAAACCTAACTTAAAGGAAAAGCCTTGGCACTGTGGTAGAGTTGAAATTTCATACTATATTGCCTATTTGGTATAGCACACCAGGACACAGTATAATTTACTGGATGACGTTTCGAGAACTTATTCTCCTTATATTCATATCATAGTAATCATACAACTCTCAAACTTCCTTCATATACTCCAATAGTTCTTCATTACTTCACTTTAATAGTAATAAAATTTCCATATATCTGCAGTATCTCATGGGTTATTCCTGTTACATGTGTTACCTGCTGGTTGGTTCAATGAACAAAGATTTTGTGATCAATCTCTCCCATCTTCCATCTAGACAGCTATATTACATTTTAGAATTATCACTCTACACCATCACCACCACCACCTTATAGTGTGATTATGGGTAAGTGCATGCAGGCCGATAACCGAATTTTTCTCTAAACCACTCTTCTTAGTAGTGTCTACCATTGAAGATTTCGCTAAATGTTTGTGTTCAGCCATTCCGGATCAGCTATCCAGATCGGCTACTTTCACCCAATACACTTAACCTCATAGTCATTACACAATATTTTATAGAATAGGTTACTTTCCCCAGTTGGCTCTATCGGATGCTTCAACCTACATAGTTTCTCTGTCAGCCAGTTTGTGGGTGTAAATGTCACCCTAATCCCAGCATGGTTAAGAATTCTACGAACATTTTTCGATATACCTTCTTTATACAGCAACATTACAGAGGAGTTGAGTCCCCTCTCAGGCATGTTGCAATCACCACTAACATAACCACTCCTTCTCTCCTCAGTCCTTATACAACTGATTACAAATTACAAATGATTTCCGGAAGATAGTTATTAGAAATTAATGTCTCTGTGATGTATTTCATTGGCGTATTTAGGCTATCCGACTTACTAGACAAACTTCTTGTTCGATTACCTCAACATTTCATCAAGCCTACTTTGACAGATAGATACAGACAGGGTGAGGTTATGTGAAATCCAAGTATCGATTCGAATGTATTGGTTTCCTGTGAACACTGGTATCTAAGCTTGTATCTTCTCTCGTCTCGATTTTGTAATCCGACAGCAGTAATTCTCCTTCTTTATTTCCTAATTCATAAGTGAATTGGATTGCATTTACTATCGAGTTAATGTGTGCGAAAAATCTTTGGATGTGTTCTGATTTCAGCACAGTTAATGTGTCATCTATATACCGTCACCACACTTTTCGGGTGGGTGGGTTAGAATATTCCCAATGCTATTTGTTCTCAACACTCCATACAAATATGTCTGTTACCATCGGGAATATTGGAGAGCCCTCGATACTCCCTTTGTTTGTTTATATATTTTGTTTGTCTTGAAATTTGAAAACTGTGGAAGTTAGATATAATTTTATCCCTGACAGAATGTATACAATAGAGACTTTAGTTCCATTGTTGAGTTCATGGTATATTATGGGACGAGTGTACTGTGCTGCAGTCCCCTTTGTTCTATCGTATGACTGTGAAACATGATTATTAAAGGTAGAGTATATGAGGGGACTTCTAGTGGTTAACCACCGTTGCCTTCGTAGCATAGGCCGTGTGTTGTGGTGTCACCACGTGAGCAGTAACACAGAAGTCAAGTGTGGAGGTTTAGGGAGGAGAGGAGAGGAGAGGAAAGTCAGTTGATTAGGTCGTGATATGATGTGTGACAGCTTGAACAGTTATGCAGTAACGCTTAGTGCTATGTTTCTATTGAACGGGAGGCAGTCAGATGGCAAGTGGATATCCAAATTTAGTTTATTTATTCTCTTGACCATGATCAAACTCGCTTGGTTAACTAGTTCACTAGTTACCAGCCGGTCCTAACCCCAGATAAGATGATTCTTATACGTCATGTGAATATGGCGTAGCCTTATTGATCTTCGTGGCTTGCAGAGTAATCGAGGACATCTGTTTCGTCAGTTGGATGTACCTGCACCCTAGTGAGTGATATTGTCCCCACCGAGGCTTTACCCCAGTTCCGTTCGCTTGAAGCACCGAATGCGTTTTCCACTGAGCCTCTGGAGCATGAAAGTCACTTTTTGTGCAACAGGTGCCAGTTTTAAATTAAATTAAATCATAATAATAATATTATGCTATGAAATGTATTTTGTTTAAAAATTACCCACTTTGATCTGTTTAAGATGGCAGTATTCCCCAGGCGATGTAGCGTCGATTGTAGAACCACTGAAAACCTTGGAGCACTGTACAGAAGTATTGGTGTATTTAATGAGTTCCCAGTACAGTACACCATTAATCCCGTCATTAATCGAATCCAGGACCGTCAGATCTCGTGGTGAGCACGTTGCTGTTCACTCACTAGTTGGGAATCCAATACAATTCAACATTTGCCTTGTTTATGAACCCCAGCAGCGAGTATTCGTCTTCACACCCGACTTAGATAATACCAAAGGTTAGAGTTTCTAGTGAAAATTTCATAAAATCCATCTCCAATGCAAGTTGTTAGTGAACATGGTGTTTTGTGTAAATCGATTCATTTCAAGGTTGTATTCATCGCAGACTTATTTTGGTTGGAGAAACATTTAACGCTTAGATTCCAACCAAGTAGTTGTTTGGAAAAGTGCTCACCTCGATGATCCTTGACTCAATCCTGCATATGATCGTGGATACGGACTACTGATGTCTCGCATACTAAGATGACATTGGATGATCGTCACGCTGTGTGGTAAACTGACAGAAGTTGGGAATACGGACCATTGGATTCCGACCCAGTGTCTCAATGGTAACGTGCTGGCCACGGAACGTGGTGGTCCTGGGTTCGATCACTGGAGGGTGGGGTCATGCGTGCGCACTGCTGAGGAGTCCCATACTAAGACAAAACATCTGTCTGGTGCTCCTAGATTTTCACTGCTCCTCTAAGTCACGTCAGTCTTTGATGAGCAACTTGAAAGCAATATATCCCCACAAACTCCCAAAATGAATTAAGATGAAAAAGCTGTTCACTGCTCCAATCAATTGATGTGTCAAAGAAGTTCACAAATGTAAGTATAAATCGTCGACGATCCTGAACAGGCGATTATATTGGAAATGTACACATGCCTTAGTGATGACACCAAAAAGTTTAGAAAATAAGGACTGACTTATTACTTTTCAGAACGCTTTTTTTATGGCGAAAAATCATCAACTATACACCATTTTTATGTACATGAATATACACTCTACAAAAACTATTAACTAAATTATTTTGATTATTCCATTAAATCTCCAGTCTACCGAATCATGTCACTTTGACCACAGAGTATCATAGATTAACCATCTAAAGTCAAAAATGTCTGATTCATTGGAAATAATGTTAAGCGTTTATATCTCTATTCTGAACACTTTCTATCAGTAATAGAAGTGTGTGTGTGTTGATGTTGTACCAGTCTGACATCAAATACAAAACATGATGTTAACCTCCAATTATGACTTGGATTATTGTAATAGTTCAGTTGGTTCTAAATGTCAAAAATAAATGCACTTAGCAACGTTGTACACTATCGTGCTGAAGGCAATGAGTTCCACCTAATGTGTCTGTGTGGCGGGGTTGTTAGTGGTGCTGTCTAACTGTCTCGATAGGTGGGGCCGTGTTCGAACATAAACCTATAAGCTACAGCTGAAAGGAAGCAAAGGATCTTTATATTTAATGATAACATTCAACATCTGTATACTATTAAATATGTTATTAACGATGTGTATAATTGTGGATCGAATCATAAGTCACATTTAGAGTTTGAGAAGATGGCTGATTTGATTTTATGATTGATACACTTGCTATTATTATTATTATTATTTGTCTCTCGGGTTCCTAGTGGAACATAAGGCTTCAGTAGCACATCTCCATTGCACTCTGTTCCCCGCAGTCTTTTGAACCTGGCTCCACGACTGCCCACAAGCTTCCATTTCTTCCTCACATGATCCACTCCATGTCACCCTCACCTCGGACGCCCAACTCGTTTTTTCCCCCCTTTGAATTCCACTGGACAGCCTGACCTGGTGCGTGATATCTCCGAATGGTTTTCTCAGTGTATGCGCAATCCGATCAATCTGCACTTTCTTCTGCATATCTGTTGGGCGATGGGTTGTTGGTCGGTTCGTTGCCAGGCAGCCAGAGTTCCTTGTTGTTTATTCTTTGTGGCCATGTGAGCGTAGGCTGCAGGTGTTGATGAATGTGTGTAGTTTGTTGGAAATGCTTTTCGCAACGCCCCAAGTCTGTGAACCACCACATGGGAGCACTGACTTGACTGACATTGGTGTTGTGAATCCGGATGTTGTTCTTTGTGCTGAGTGAAGTAGATCTGCACAGTGATTTCAGATTGATGAAAGTCTGTTTTGCTGTGTTTCGGATTCTGTCTTTGACGTCTTCCTCTGTGCCTGTGCCTGTGCCGCCTGTAGTTGAAACAATGGTGCCTATGTAGTTGGAGGAGACTAATTCTTTTAGATTACTCCCATTAATGGTGATTGGTGCTTGTTGGTTGGGTATCTTCATCACCTCTGTCTTCTGTATGTTCACTTGAAGTTGCATTTTCGCCGACTTTTCTGTCAACTTGTTAGTTTTTGCCTGTAGATGTTCGAGTTTGTGCGACAAGATATTTGACATAAATTATCATCGTTGGCGAAATCCAAATCTTCTTTTGAGGTCTTTTCATCGGTTAAACAGCGTGTTTATGCCCATTTTCTCGCCCCTCATGGTTTGCGTACTGGCTATAGCTATGCCTCATAACAGTAATATTAAAATGGATGGACGTTTTAGTACGCCTGATTCATAGCAATTATGGAAGCACTCGGCCTATAGGTAACTTACTGATTCAACACCATTTTTTCTAATTGTGTATCAAAGTCAATTCTGTTTTTCTATCATTGTTTTTATTTGTAGAATGGTAATGATATCGACTTAAATATGACTCAAAGTCGTTTCATAGTACAACGTTCATATGAAGCTTATCGAGGTTCAGATGATAGCGGTGAACTTATATTCATTGAAGTATGTTACATTGTATTATTTATTATTCTACTGTTTGTTGTACAAATATCTATTAAAACTAGGAATAATGATTTCAATTGGCTAACATCTTTCAGTATGTAGGTTCTACTGGTGAATCTGTCAATCAACCATTTTCGCAACCGTTATTATGCAAATGGGATTAGTCTATTAGCATTGATTATCATGTAAATTTCACCTGGGGTTAATAAGGCTAATTATCACTTCATGTGAACTTATGACATTTTACCAATAGCTTCTTGTCATTTATAGGGCGAAAATTGTTTAGTTCAGGCTAATCTTATTATTATTATTTTTAAATAAATGAGTGTATGCTCAAAATTTAGATGGTTTTCTATTTGACTGTCAATGAGGTATGTATTTTTTAATTAACTAGGCTATGGCTATTTATATACTGTAGAAAGGTGAAGTCGGAGTTTTTTCATAGATTGTTAGTTTGTTTCAAGCTGCAGCTTATTCATCTAGACAGTTAACTTTCAAAATTTCTTACTGACCTAAACACCGGAAGGCTGATTCACTCGTTTTCAGCCGAGCTCATCAGCCGTGTACTCGGACGAATTGACCTCATACGAACGAATTAGTTCACATCACCTGAATCTGTATAGACCAGCATACCTAAAATAGGATGGTCAATCTACAAATGGTTTACAAATTCCATGGTCCACCTTGACATTTATCACTGCTTATTGATTTCTCAACTGCTTAACTATGGTGCCAGTCAACAGGGTTTCCGTTGGAAACTGCCCAACTATGATCATAAAGAGTGATCTCTGACACAAGATTGTGGTTAACAGTTGAAAAACCACTCGACTATGAAGAATGTCGATGTGAACCGTACAATTTCCAAATCATATGCAAATTGATCATCCTATTCCAGTTAACTTTCAACCAAGTAGGTCACGGGTTTGAACTCCTCACTGTTCCTATCGTGGTTTGCGCAGCTAGGCAGTATGACTAACCGTCACACAAAAAGTGTGGCCCGTTGCTGGATGCATAGATGTGCGCATTGCGGTCAAGTGGATTTCGATTTTGATTCAGTGGTATGTTTAGTTTCTTAAAAAATCTCGGAATTTGTTCCACTTTATTCCTTCTTCTAGATATCTCATTTACCTCTTTGCATTAGCTACACTGTTGTGTCATGTTTTATTTTAGTGATGTCATCTTTCTTTTTCATCATTTAAATGTAGGTTTGCTCTGATTTCCTTTTAATTCGTAATTTATCTGGACGGATATTGGAAAGACTATGGTACGATCAAATTATAAATATGACGTATCGTTCACATTCACATATTTTGTGTATTACACGTCAAATTGAAGATCATTCACAAATGGATTTGTTTTATACTCGAAAGGTTAGTATAAAAAAATGGTATGAGGTCAATGCTTCTTGTAAACTTTTTTCTCTTCTGCCTTGCAATAAGTTTGTGAAGTGAGTAAGTATAAAGTCTTCTAGACGAAGTTCTCTAATCATTTATTGACAAGTATGGTTAAACTGTACTAACTAAAGGTGAATCTCCTAGCTTGGTGGCCACACTATGAAATACTCAATAGAATTCGACTTCGAATGCACCTCTAAGTGACGTGTGTTTAAATGTAACTCTGGAAATGATTCCCTTTAAGGTTGCAGACATGCTTTGCTGATGAGTTCTGTCAAGCGCAAAACCTAGGTCAAGCAAAGGCATCTTGTCGATTGATTTCAACCAACTAAGCGTTAAAGGTTATCAGAACAACAGATGTAGGGAATCTGTTAGATCTCTGACTATCAGTTTATACAGTGTAAGGAGGTGAAAATTACCTGATTGGCGGCATTTTTGTGTTAGGAGTCAGTAATTGAACACTCCGTGAAGTGACTAAGAATTAATCACAATAGTGTAGATATATTCACTATATATCCGGAGCCTATTTCCCAACTTTATTCTTGTGATTTTTACCATTTATCCCATTACAAAATTCGTGCAAACCTCTACGTTAGTTTGGCTGTGTGCTATCAATACATCAGATTGCACCATTGTACTTATATTTTGAACACCTTTACTTTCATATTTTGTTTGTAGAACTGAATTTCTTGGAATTATCCTGATAGTTTTATAGCTTTGACAGTAATTTTCACCATTGTTTGAGGTCAGTCTCGACATTCACTCGAAGTAGCGAACACCTAACGTGGTGTTTTGCACCCGTTTTTGTCGTATAGATTAAATAAACCCATATGTGTTATTCACGGTAGTTATACGGCTCCCGTGACCCTTCTGTAGTATGAACTGGAGTTCTTTAACAAACTAAAATTCCAACACACCTGATCTTGCTGCATGTCTCTATGTACTAGGCTATCAGCCACACTTGTTGTTTGTAGGTCTATAGAACTACATTGATTGATCACTGGAGAGTAAACAGTTATTTGTTTTCTAGTCCTGAATGCTGACCGAATTCTATCGATGGTTTTACAATGTGTCTACTAAACTAGGAAACTCACCATCGTGGTTCACTTTGATGGATGTTTGTTGGTCGGAGGCAATTGGCAGGAAGCCCAATTAGACCTTGTTTTCGTGCTTGTTGGCTCTCGTCAGCAGGGCTTATCTGCAAGATGATCGGTAGAATTCGGTTAGCACTTGAGATTGGCTGCTCTTCAGTGTTCAATCAATATGCGTAATCCACTCTTACAGGGGGATGTTAGAGAAAGTTGGATTAGGTTGGGAGAGAGTTCAGGATAGCTGGAGTAAGACGCTGCACCAGTCTATAAAATCTCTTACTGTTGGCCTGAGTCGTGTGGGAGCGATATAGACTGCCCAGTTTGGGTCCCTGAGACCAAAGAAATAGGTGGTTAAGGGCTGTTTGTGACGTAGCTGAAAATCGGTCACAGTGACGCAAATATATTCATTCCTCGATATCTTCTAAAGCTTGAATATTTTACAAGTTTGTCTAATAGTAATTTTTTTCCTATCCACCTGTTCTTTATGTTGTACTATGAAGTGTGGTAACTTGAGCCGATCTACCTGTTTGCGAGAGGTTCTATGTTGATTTTGTCCGTCAGTCAGCCCACAGGTGGTCATTCGCAGCCCGAATAGCTTGATGTTAACGTCGCTCACTATAACACTGGGTGACTCGGTTTCCGTCGAGGTCACAGATAAGCCCTCCTGACGAGTGCCAACAAACACGAAACCTAGGTCAGATTGGGCCTTCTACCGATGTCCTCCGACCAACTAACAGGTCTATAGGTCTGCCCTGTTGCCCTGTTCATGCTGAAGTACATGAAGTGGTATTTGTCTGGTGAGTGACCACTTTGTAGGTTAGTCATTCCATTCATTTTGAGGGTATTTTCTTCACAAGTTGAAGCTGGCAATAACCTGAATACGTCTGGTTGATGACAAGATTTAGTGTATTTGTTACTCCTCTCTAACTATGATGTTACTTTATTACAAATTTATTACAAAACTTGAATAATTGCATGATAAATAATCTTTTCTTATGCACCATTTCCAGTTTCTTAGTTATTCTGTTTCTTTTTACGTAACAACTGTGTTGTTGCAGTTAAGTTTCCTAGCTCAGTGTGCGCGTTTGCGTGTATAGAGGGGAACATAAGGTTGCTTTCCTTTCAGTTGACAAAGTAGAAGGTGTATTGTCAACGTAGTATGTTGTTTAGCAGGTAGGTTCTTTTATCTACACAAAAGCAGCTGTTGTTGATACATTTTGATTTCGATTGCTTTGCATCGGCTTGGTGCAACTACTTCGTGTATTGAATAACTTCCGTTTTATTTAGTTGCTGCCTGTTTGCACTATATCCTTTTTCTTTTTCTTTTTTTTTACTCCGTATTCACTGTCCTATTTTACAGTCTCGTTTAGTATATCAGCAAATCAAAGAAGCTATGAAGCATATTTCAATCGAAGCTTCCCATGGAATACTGGGTTAGTTTAACCGTGTGTTTTAGCCTGTTTCTGTTCAGTTTGTATTCTGTTATAACTTTGTATGGTTGTAATTGTCTTCTGCATGTGATTCGGCTTATTCAATATTAACGGTGACCTTGAACGTAATTGGTCTCGTATGCTCTATATACCTACACAATGAGCCACGCACTTCTACCTTTCTAACCGTGTACAACAGAATACAAAGTCTTATGCTTATTGCCCGTATATGTTTCTGGCGATCTGATTCATCGGTATGTGCAACCAGGTTACCTGACCACAGCGCACCATAATTTATGAAGACAGAACAACCGATTTGAAGCACAAAATTGGGATAATGCACAAAATAGATTTCTGAACTATAAGTCAGACATAAACGGATGAGGCGTTAATCGAAAGCTCTTGAACCAAGCGAGCTAATCACCAATATAACGAACTAGGTCATAAGTAGAATGACTTTTAAAAAAAAATATATAGTAATACGATCAGTGACACATCTGAGATTCAGATTTTCCACTCTTCGGTTGATATAAACACATTCAACTTTAATACGAGTAAAATTTGTGCATTGTGGTAGAATATAATTCCATTTTAACTGATTTATTAAGTGTGTCATCATACAGTGTAACAGCATTGTTTACTGAATTGCCATTGAAAGTGGAAGATATAAGAAGACTTCAAGTGTTTGACCACCGTTGCCTTCGTGGTATAGGACGTATTCCGTGGTGTCACGATGTGAGTAATGCAGAAGTTATGTGTAGAGTTTTAGAAAGCAGAGGTAAATCAGTAGACGAGGTTACAAACCTTCATCGATTGAGATGGTTGGGACACGTACTACGTATGCCTAGTCACTGATTGCCTCGTCACACAATATTGGCTGAAATAGGTTCAGGCTGGAAAAAGGCCCGAGGTGGCCAGACTAAAACATGGCACCAATGTATGAAGTCTCTGACTGTTGGTTTAAGCCATGTAGGACGATGCAGACTAGGTGGTTGGGGTCCACGGGACAAGAGGAACCAGTGGTTGGAGACCCTAGGTGATATGGCTCAGAACCGATGTCAGTGGCGCAGATGTATACACATATTATCCTCATCTGAACAACGCCATACCGAATCTCACCATTTTGTCACTTCTCTTTCCTTTGTTCTCGTACTTTATATTTCTTTTGACTGCATTCTCTTATCTTCATCCTTCACCTCACTACCTTTTTACTTGATGTGCTGATATGAGGTGTGGCAACTCGGACCGTTACGCAGTAATGTCTGGTCCTATATTGATAATGATTGATTGCGTTTCGGACATCATTTATTGTACATGGTCATATCAAGATGACTCCACAACTTTGAGACATCCTTTAAATAGTCCTTAAATACCTCGCCCTCGTGATATGGGTAGTAAGACTTTCCATATAACCGGAACAGTTGCTGAGTCATTCCGATTGCATACATAACTATTGCCAAGCTTTTTTGTAAATTTCCTATCTAACTAAGATCTACCAGTTTTGACCTAGCTAGGTTTTTGTGCTCAGACAGCCTTATTGGTCCTGGTCGATGGCTTTCACTTATATATTTGACGCCGCAGTCGTTGCAAGTGGCTTGGTAAACTAAGTTGATCTGCCAATTTGAATCAGTAGGATCTTTTAACCTACAAAGTTTATTTCTAGGTTAGTTTGTAGGCTTAAACGTAAATCTAATTCCAACCGAACTGAGGATCTTACGTAATGTTTCTGAGGTGGTGCCTTTCGTATATGGTAATGCTGTAGATGTTTTGAATCCTCTCTTCACAGGATTATTACCATTCATATTATTATTGTTACTAGCAACATCTGTGTTACTGATATTAGTCATATTTTACTGACGATTACTAAGGAACCTACAGATTAATTTAGGAGGGTAATTGTTGATAAGTAAGGTGTCCTAAATGTATTTGATTTCTTGTCTTAGATCTGTTTTATTGATAATTTTCTTGGCTCCGGGACATATAGACGATCCTTAAAGCTAACTTAGTGAGGTAGAAGGAGAGATTAAAGACCTAGTGTTTGTTTATCGAATCAACACCAAACACATGCAATAGGAATGACTGAACACCTGTTTCGGAGATATGGGAAATCCTACTGTAGTGAACGTTGCTGATCTGAATGGATGTAAGTGATATATGTTGAGAGAGCGGCTGAAATCATAGGGAATTACCAGCAATGGGTAAAGATTATGCCCAAGGGAGCGCAAGACACAGTATTGGCGTATTAAGAGCGAATCGAGATAGAAGCAGAAGAGGAAATGAAGCACATTATGCAAACGCCTGTCTTAGTGGAAGGTGTACAATATTTGATGACTACTGTACAAGATGTCAATAATAAACATTCAATAAACAGGCAATATTGAGTCATCCGCGCAGGCGTCCATATGCCAATAGAGGCCGACCAGTTCGGCCTAATCAAGGACTCAATAATACAAGGAATAACATGAAAACTATACCTATCCCACAAGAAGTGGATATCGTGGCTGGGTGGTCTAGTGGTTAACGATCTGGCGTTTGAAGCCATCGGTCCCGAGTTCGAGTCTTGGGAGGCAAGTACATTCTACTGACGAGCCCCAAATAGGATGAAATGCGCGTCCTGGATTCCTCTGCTAGCCACTATTCATCATTAATTTATGAAATAGAATTGTATTCAGCCTTTGTTTTGGCGTTTATTGGGCCATGAAAAAAAATGAAAGAAGGAATATCATTACTCGATTGCAGAATGGTCAACTTCACCTGCAAGTTCACAGTTTGTTATTCAGCTATACAGCCAAGACCTAATAGTAGACATTTTCTTATTTTGATCAGTTTGGTCTAGTTAAACGACTCACGACATTGAATCAATTTTTCATTGGTGGAAAAATCTGTCCTCATCTTCGATTCTTTTTATATAGGCGATGATAAGTGTTTGAGCATGTGCGTATATGTATAGTGAACCAACTGAGAGGAAAGTGCAAAAAAACATTATGTCTCCCTGTCTCTTTTTTAGATTGAATAATAACGATAATTATCACTATTATTATCCTTATCATCGTTTTCTTTTCAATTATTATTGTTATGCTGTTTGGCCTAACACTGTCCCAATGATTATCTCCCTCAATACTGGTCATTTGGCACATGCAATCAACTATTTCCGGTTGGATATTATATATAATCCACGCTTAGTAGTAGTAGTAGTAGTAGTAGTAGTAGTAGTAGTATGTCAGTAGGATGAAAAATTGTTCGCGTGAATAGTTCCCTCTTTTCATTTTCAATGTTTATTTTTAGCAGATAAAGAATATATTTTACCATGTTGTAGTATTAGTATTAGTGAATAAATACATACTATACATAGGATAAAATATTGACCAGTTTATTAAGAAATAATCATCATCATTATTAATATTATTTTTTCCCTTGAGTTCCTAGTGGAACATAAGGCTTCAGTAGCACATCTCCATTGCACTCTGTTCCCTGCAGTCTTTTGAACCTGGCTCCACGACTGCCCACAAGCTTCCATTTCTTCCTCACATGATCCACTCCATGTCACCCTCACCTCGGACGCCCAACTCGTTTTTTCCCCCCTTTGAATTCCACTGGACAGCCTGACCTGGTGCGTGATATCTCCGAATGGTTTTCTCAGTGTATGCGCAATCCGATCAATCTGCACTTTCTTCTGCATATCTGTTGGGCGATGGGTTGTTGGTCGGTTCGTTGCCAGGCAGCCAGAGTTCCTTGTTGTTTATTCTTTGTGGCCATGTGAGCGTAGGCTGCAGGTGTTGATGAATGTGTGTAGTTTGTCGGAAATGCTTTTCGCAACGCCCCAAGTCTGTGAACCACCACATGGGAGCACTGACTTGACTGACATTGGTGTTGTGAATCCGGATGTTGTTCTTTGTGCTGAGTGAAGTAGATCTGCACAGTGATTTCAGATTGATGAAAGTCTGTTTTGCTGTGTTTCGGATTCTGTCTTTGACGTCTTCCTCTGTGCCTGTGCCTGTGCCGCCTGTAGTTGAAACAATGGTGCCTATGTAGTTGGAGGAGACTAATTCTTTTAGATTACTGCCATTAATGGTGATTGGTGCTTGTTGGTTGGGTATCTTCATCACCTCTGTCTTCTGTATGTTCACTTGAAGTTGCATTTTCGCCGACTTTTCTGTCAACTTGTTAGTTTTTGCCTGTAGATGTTCGAGTTTGTGCGACAAGATATTTGACATAAATCATCATCGTTGGCGAAATCCAAATCTTCTTTTGAGGTCTTTTCATCGGTCGGAGGCATTGCTGATCTTTCCATTGTGGATCACTTGGCATGTGGCGTTTCCGTATAGCCGTTGAATGAAGATGATAAAGATTTTTATACTCCGTAGTGTTGAAACAGATGTCAAATTGCTGCCTGGTCGATGTTGTCGAAGGCCTTTTGAAAGTCAATGAGATTGTGGTATAGATCCAGTTGACTGCCATTCTATGCTCTGTTCTATGGTTATTAATGGTGTTGCAATTTGATACGCACATGATTTGTATTTCCTGAAGCCATCATGTCCGCTGTTGTCTCTGCGTCTGTCTTCAGTGCTTCTGATGAAATTTCTTCTGGTCCTGCTGCTTTCCCGATTTTCAGCAGTTATATATCTTTCAGGTCTTCTGTTTTGAGAGCCTTCGTTGTTCTTGGGAACATTATGATAGCCACTCCAAGACTCAGTGTACTCATGGTTGTCGTCTGGGTGACACTATCGGAGTAGATAATTGACTCCTCTCCAGTTGACGGTTTGGAGAGTCCGATTTCATTCCATCTGCTTTCGCAGATTCCAAGCACTTCTATGCTATACCTCCTCATCTCTTTTGCCATCTGGGCAGCCTTGGAAGGTTCATACATGGTGTGGACATTCCATGTCCCCATGTTTACTTTTCCTTTTATCGAGAAAGAGAAGACACATTGGCCAGTTGGCTTCCCGCAGGCTTTCACTAACCGACGTCATTTCGTCTCTCTGATTCCAGCTAGGAATAAGTTTGTTTTTCTTTTTTATAATTTCTTTGTGCTTCGAAGTTTGTCTAGGGATTGGATTGGTTTTAGGGAGTAGGGTTGCTAGCCCTATACCAAACCTTCCCTCTTTATTTGGGCTTAGGACCGGCTGGTAACTAGTGAACTAGTTAACCAAGCGAGGTTGATCATGGTCAAGAGAATAAATAAACTAAATTTGGATATCCACTTGCCATCTGACTGCCTCCCGTTCAATAGAAACATAGCACTAAGTGTTACTGCATAACTGTTCAAGCTGTCACACATCATATCACGACCTAATCAACTGACTTTCCTCTCCTCTCCTCTCCTCCCTAAACCTCCACACTTGACTTCTGTGTTACTGCTCACGTGGTGACACCACAACACACGGCCTATGCTACGAAGGCAACGGTGGTTAACCACTAGAAGTCCCCTCATATACTCTACCTTTAATAATCATGTTTCACAGTCATACGATAGAACAAAGGGGACTGCAGCACAGTACACTCATCCCATAATATACCATGAACTCAGTAATGGAATTAAAGTCTCTATTGTATACATTCTGTCAGGGATAAAATTATATCTAACTTCCACAGTTTTCAAATTTCAAGACCCTAGGTGATATGGCTCAGAACCGAAGTCAGTGGCGCAGATGTATACACACATTATCCTCATCTTAACAACGCTATACCGAATCTCACTATTTTGTCACTCCTCTTTCCTTTCTTCTCATACTTTATATTTCTTTTGACTGCATTCACTTATCTTCATCCTTCACCTCACTACCTTTTTACTTGATGTGCTGATATGAGGTGTGGCAACTCGGACCGTTACGCAGTAATGCCTGGTCCTATGTTGATAATGATGATGATGATGATGAAATTTCAAGACAAACAAAATATATAAACAAACAAAGGGAGTATCGAGGGCTCTCCAATATCCCCGATGGTAACAGACATATTTGTATGGAGTGTTGAGAACAAATAGCATTGGGAATATTCTAACCCACCCACCCGAAAAGTGTGGTGACGGTATATAGATGACACATTAACTGTGCTGAAATCAGAACACATCCAAAGATTTTTCGCACACATTAACTCGATAGTAAATGCAATCCAATTCACTTATGAATTAGGAAATAAAGAAGGAGAATTACTGCTGTCGGATTACAAAATCGAGACGAGAGAAGATACAAGCTTAGATATCAGTGTTCACAGGAAACCAATACATTCGAATCGATACTTGGATTTCACATAACCTCACCCTGTCTGTATCTATCTGTCAAAGTAGGCTTGATGAAATGTTGAGGTAATCGAACAAGAAGTTTGTCTAGTAAGTCGGATAGCCTAAATACGCCAATGAAATACATCACAGAGACATTAATTTCTAATAACTATCTTCCGGAAATCATTTGTAATTTGTAATCAGTTGTATAAGGACTGAGGAGAGAAGGAGTGGTTATGTTAGTGGTGATTGCAACATGCCTGAGAGGGGACTCAACTCCTCTGTAATGTTGCTGTATAAAGAAGGTATATCGAAAAATGTTCGTAGAATTCTTAACCATGCTGGGATTAGGGTGACATTTACACCCACAAACTGGCTGACAGAGAAACTATGTAGGTTGAAGCATCCGATAGAGCCAACTGGGGAAAGTAACCTATTCTATAAAATATTGTGTAATGACTATGAGGTTAAGTGTATTGGGTGAAAGTAGCCGATCTGGATAGCTGATCCGGAATGGCTGAACACAAACATTTAGCGAAATCTTCAATGGTAGACACTACTAAGAAGAGTGGTTTAGAGAAAAATTCGGTTATCGGCCTGCATGCACTTACCCATAATCACACTATAAGGTGGTGGTGGTGATGGTGTAGAGTGATAATTCTAAAATGTAATATAGCTGTCTAGATGGGAGATGGGAGAGATTGATCACAAAATCTTTGTTCATTGAACCAACCAGCAGGTAACACATGTAACAGGAATAACCCATGAGATACTGCAGATATATGGAAATTTTATTACTATTAAAGTGAAGTAATGAAGAACTATTGGAGTATATGAAGGAAGTTTGAGAGTTGTATGATTACTATGATATGAATATAAGGAGAATAAGTTCTCGAAACGTCATCCAGTAAATTATACTGTGTCCTAGTGTGCTATACCAAATAGGCAATATAGTATGAAATTTCAACTCTACCAGAGTGCCAAGGCTTTTCCTTTAAGTTAGGTTTCCTAAAACTGTTGAAACAAACAGTTTGTAGATAAACTTTGCAATTTGATCTATCCATCTAGCAGTAGTATGTGAAAGTACAGGAGTATGAAGTTATTCACTATTGATCTAACTGCCTAGTTGGTGAGATCACTGAAGTTGACGTTTACAGAGTCCGCTAAATTTAGTTTAAAATAGGTGAAAATAGTGCACAGACATATCTGTACCTTAGTTTCATCTAGACCTTGAATTATTATTATTATTATTATTATTATTATTATTATTATTATTATTATTATTATTGCTATGCCGCGATTCTCTGGATCTGTCAGCAATACAGTAATGGCATTATTGAGAGTGAATTATTCAACTTTATATCAAGATGGTTTTTCTTCATTGGAGATACATCAACTTATTTATTCATACACTTGAAACACATGGCAGGCATTCTCTTTATGCTGTCACAGGATATTAATTTGACGAGATGGTGTTTCATTAGAATTCTTAGGCATATTTTCCATGTTATATTTTCTGTAGCAACAAGTTATTTCTCCGTGACAGTTGCTACTTACTGAAAGATTCTTCTCCGGAATTTCGATAAGGTTATGGCTATTGGGCTGATAATGTTTTAAAAATGGTTGACTAGTTCAGCCCGCTTCACTTGTTAATATTGAGGTGGATGTTAGGAGATACACTTAGGGTTATTAGAGCAGTTCAATTCTGCGGTATGGTTCATCGGAAGGAGTAACACTTTTAAGTTTATCATTTGTCTCCACTCAGGCATATTTTTGGTGTATAGACGTGAGTCTGTGAACACTTGTGACTAAGAGGCTTCAGCAGTTTCGTAAGTTCTTCAAAGGTGGCTACTGGCAACTTTTTTCGGTCGATAGTCGAATACGGTACTCATTTGTTTCCGCCGCTGAACCAGTGTATTCGGAGTTGAGCCACATTAATAAGTAGTCGTCACCTACCTCTCATTTGTCCTCCATAATCATATAGAAGCATTTTGTGAATTTCCGAAACTTAGTTAAAAATTTGTCAACCGTATCCATCTCAGTTTAAGAGTATTCCATTAGATATACCATGAAGTAAAGGGATCAGTGTTGGCTCGAATCCCAACGATAGGACTGCTTCAAAGATGATTTCAAAGTCAATCATAATACTTTTCCAATCCCTTTCTAAGTAACTTGACTTCTTTAGTTTGTCTTTCTGTATATCCTGCAATTCTGTTTCACCTGCATATTGATTGTCAGAATTTAAGAATTCCTTGCTCCTTCAAAAACCTATTAACATCACCGTACTAGGTTTAAAGAATGAGGTTTGTTAGCCAAACATCAAGGACAGAAATAGATAAGGAAAGATAGTTCATCCACAGGTTATATGAAATTTTCTTCAAAATCTTCAACTTTCTGCCACATGCTTCTACTATATGGAATTTCATCATGTCACGGATACAAATAACCAGGTTCCAGTACTTTTACATATGTGTTCTATCATCGTTGCCTCTAGGGTTGTTCGTATCCGGTGGCAACACTATGTAAATAATTCTGAGGTACATCAGCGAATGTTTAGACATCATGGCGATTGTTATCTGGAAACACTAGCTTCGGTGTCTTGAATATTTGTGACACTTGTCGTCTCAACGGCTTCCATACCGTTCATTGTTTGCTAGCTTTAGGACTGGCTGGAAGAAGCGGAGGGAAGTTCAGTGTATGACGTGGCACTGCGGCATAAGGAATAGTTGTATCGAGTTAGCATCTGTTGGCGTATCATGACTTTTTGGGTGAGAGTTGAGCGTGAGGTATACTTTTTTGTGTTTGTGTGTATACATTAAAGCTGTTATATTAATCTACACAGCATTGCCATAACGTAACGTTCTTTTCTTACTCCTATGCAGATGGTGATTTAGATGGAGAGATAAATGCAATCAATGTGGACAATAATCAACCTGGTACTATTAGTATTCTTGCAGATGGATTTGTTATTAAATTTGGTGATGAACAGGTCAGTATTAATTTTTCTCTTTTAAATGATAGTATTGTTTATCATTGTGTTCGTTTTAATGTATGCATGGTATAATATTGCGTAGGACTTTAAAAGTTGTCAGTAGGGTAAATGGTGTACCTCTGACCTAACTGATTAACACTGTGGTTGACAGACATTTGGATTGAAGCAGACAGTCATTTTATCTGATATTGAGCATCTTCTTTATTCATAACTGTGTCATTGTATCTCCTCCGGAAGGACATGAAGAAATTACGTATGACTGTACTTTTGTACGGCTAAATGTAAGAATTCAAGTGTGCCTTATCTAGTATTCATCTTATATGAGGACAAAGGTGTTAGAACAGAACTCACCAACTTTGTAACAATAAATAATCATTTCTTCCAATATCTTAGGCATTAATGTTTAGTCCTCCATGTTAGTAATATTATTTACAATAATTTAAATTGGTATAATCAAAATTATACGAAATGTTGTAAACGAGTGTATATTTTTGTTGCAGTATTGCATACTGAGAATTCCAATATGTATCAAAATTAGTATTATTCCTTGTATTATACCGTCATTGATTCAACCTAATTGATCAGTCTCTATTGGTATATGAGCTCCTGTGTCGATGCCTCAATATTACCTGTGTTTTAACTATAGTATTGATTTATAGTGGCTAGCAGTTCGTATCCCAGTAGGAACATCCCTCATTGGCAGGTAGGTAACTCCGGCTGACGAGTCCCAAATGGAACGAAATGCGCATCTTGGATTCTACTCCTAGCCACTATCCATCATTATCAAAAATTGTTTGAAATAAAGTGTTTATTATTATTATTATCGTTTTCAGTGATCGATAATCTGTATATTAATGCCCCCGAGGTTCTATTCTGTAGCTTGTTTAAAGAACTAACCTTACCATTTATCTTCACTGAATGTTTTTCTGCACATAAGTGTAAGTAGAGAATCGTGGGCAGGAACTTAGCGATATGCAAATGATGATGATGATTTGAGACACAGGGTATCCGTTTAAAATGAGAAAATATTTAGACGTTTGATGCTCAAGTCGGCCATCAGCATCTGTCCTGTTTTATGGTTCAGTACGGTCAATGTTATCCGGGCACATAGTTAATTGATAACATGTCACCTCATAGTCTTTGAATTGTAGTCAGCACCGAAGGTATATAGGCATATTCTTGGTAATTATGTATTAACTATTTCATTTGCATAATCCAGTCACCGAAGAAGTCTGCTTTGACTCCCTTGTAACGTCTCCGGTTGCAGCGGTAAACACTAAATCCTAGAAAGTGATTACCTCTCAAAAATACACATGCCTTAATGATAGATTCTTTGAGTTACATCATAATGAGCACGCTCAATTATCGGCAGGAAGCTCTGCTAATTCTCTCCATCCAAATAATATCCATCAAAGTGCACTGCAGTGGTGAACCTCTTTGCTTGGTGACCAAATTGCAGAGGTGATCGATAGAATTCGGTCAACACATAAGACTAGACAAGATGAGACTGGTTGCTCTTCAGTGACTAATCAATGTATTTAACACAACTCTTTGGTTTTCTATACGCCAAAGAACATTCAGGTCTTGTGGTAATGAACAAGCATAAATCTATTACCAAGATGAAGTGTATTTTGAATAACCCATTGGAATACATAATTGACAGAAAGAACAAAGACCTGACTAACTCAATAGAGAAAAGAATCATAAAATCACTCAGGGGAATTTTGAAAGATATCATGATCGAGAATTTTATATACAGCGATTTGAAGCCTTGAGAATCTCGTTTGCCTTTGATTTCCAGTCTGCCTAAAATACATAAGCAGAATGTTCTAAGACCTGTACTATCAGTGTTTAATCCAACTTGCCGCAAAGTTTCTCGTTGGATAGCTGGAAAGTTGGCACCAACGGTCCCTTACATACACTATAAAAGACTCGTTCCAGCCTATTGAGATGGTAAATCAACTTAGTGTCTCGAATAAGTAAATGGTTTCCTTTAATATGACTCCCTCATTCACGTAGGTGTCTCTTATTGGGACCACAGATATTATCTGTCAGCATGCTGATCTCCTCCCTCTATCAACAGCTGAATTCATAAAGCTTCTAATGTGTAGGAAAGATTTACAGTTACAGTTCGGATATATCCTTTGTCACCAAGTTGACGGAATAGCAATGGGCAATCCATTAGGCTCTATATTGGCAGATATTTTCATAGTCATTCTTGAACTGACAAAAATCAAATGCGTAATTGGTGAAACAACATCCTACTGTAGATAGATACATTGACGATGCGTTCACTGTATGTATGTTTTCATCCAGTCAACTACAAACGACCACTGGTTGAGACACTATTCTGTACAGCCGGAAGAATATCCTCATCATATAAATTTGAAAAGAAATTATAGCTTCTTGATAAGTATCCTACAGGAAACAAATACCTACAAGGCCTCATTAACGAATGTGGTAGAAGAGAATCCAGTTAAATCGAGAAAATAACAATCAGTAAGAAACCGGTCTTCATTCACTTTAATTTCCAAGGGGATGATGCTACGATGAGGGTAAACTGAAGACTGCGCACTGAACTGGCCAGGCCATATCCTACAGCGAAACGTATTCCCCTGTTTCATACTTCTTGGTCACTGGTACAATCAAAAATCGACAAATATTCCTTATATATTACTCTCAATCTTATCATTTCACCTGTATATCTCTACGAAAGCACTTACAACCTTTTGAATATATCCCGAAGAGCCTAGGTTTGAGAGGACCGTGTATTCTCAATAGTGCAACTGCTTAAGCTTTGAACATCAAGCAAGTCCTTTAGAACAATTCAAAATGATCAACAAACAGAATATTTTAAATTCTATTCGCCTTGCTGAAGTCATTGCAACCAAATACCGGAAACCAGATTTATATGTTCCAAAGGAATCTATTGTCAACCTTAAATTCACCTGTTAACCTAATTATTATTTTTTTTATTATCCATTTATTTGATTATATCATAATGATGTTATTAGATTTTTGGCTCACACTAAATTTCAATCTAAATCAGTTGATTTCTACTCATTGTGTTCTAATAAATTTTGTTTGCTGATTATTACTAACTTGTCCACCCATTGACTTACGTAATTTCTCGTTCTAAATTTTACATTATTCTTCTTTCTATCCACCTTCCCCCTATTTAATTTTTACTCAAACTTTCGTTATAATAAGATAAATGTTTTTTTTGGGTATTATTACATTAGATTTCATTCAGTTTGAATAGTTTTCTAACTCCACTATAATCATTATCTTGTTTTGATTGAATTCACTGAACTAAAGTATAATAATATTTCACTATAACTTGTTACGGTAAATATTCCAGGTTGTGGGTAGCTGATGAGAACGGCTGAAATAATGAAATAAATCCATACTATTCTGCTCCAATTTTTTTCCTGACTCTTGAAGTTGATGAAGGGAAATATGTGTATGATATTTCTGAATTCATTTCATGTGTAATTCGTTAACATCTAGTCGTGTATGAAAATACTTATCTTACTTTTAGCGTCTGGTACAAAAAATTTCTTTCCCCAGTAAGAGCTATTCTCTCCTTACTCTTTGTCAATATCTTGGAAGTTTGTTATCTACTGTTGTTTATCTTATTTGGTGTATTCTAGAAATTTATCAAACTGCATAACATCAAACGATGCTGTACAATAAAATCAGAAATATTCACAATTGATGTATACGGTAAGTTTCTCGCCTTTGGTATACATTCTGTATAGTGTAGAGTATGTATGCTTCTCGAAAAATGGCTTGAATGATCTCATCTCTCTAAACGTTTTCCTAATGGAAACTTGTCAGTCAGATTTAGATTTCTTTCCTAGTACGAATATACTAAAACAAAGAGACAAATCAGTATAAAAAATGACGCAACTAAAAACGCATGAGAAGCGATACAATAAGTATTTGAATGTTAAGGAAGATGTTCGAAACGAAGAAATATTGTGATCAACTTTTGGCTATATCCGTCGATTGCTAGCTGTCCTTGTTAAGACCACAACTAGACATGGCGTTCATCACCTCTTACCAGGCCTAGATCAGCTACCAAAGACTTCATGAACTAATGGCACAACTTGGTTTGATTACTCTTAACCTTCCTCCAGCCTGATTTTTCTTTGATTAAAATCATGTATCGACGTATGTGGTAGCTCAGCACATTCATCACACCCTCAAGTCATGTTAGTCGATGAAGTTTTAAACCTTCAGTGACTGACACACCTTCTTTGCCTAATACTTTGGGGTCAACTTTAACAGTGCTCACTTGGAGATACCACCATATGCGAACAATGCTACGAAGAACCCTATGATCACAAATGTGTAACCTCTGTGCATATAATCTACTTTCAAGCGGCCCGATTCGCAGCCGTATAGTAGGATAGAATAGACTGCAGCGCAGTTTACTCGTCGTTGGAATAGGTGGTTTAAAACCTTGATGAGATGGCGTAGGTCGGCAAATGTCGAATCAGCCTTTTAAATCAGAGCTGATATTCCGCCAGCAACCAGGCTGGTGCAACTTCCCGGTTAAGTGAAGTGGTCAATGCATTCCCTCGCTTTCCCTGGTTTTTTGAATAGGCTCTGTTGGACTTGATGACACTTGTAAAGAACAAAGAGGAATTCTTTTTCAAAAATCGTTTTACATTAGTTATTTCTTCCATTTTTTCCTGTGACTATCGTCCTTTTTCTACTCTTTCCTGTTTTGTCTTTCAGATCAAGAGAAAAAGACAATGATCACTTATCGATTTCAAACAGATATGGTATGTCGATGTTATTTTTACTATTTGTGTACTTGAATTTATTCCCCTTCTGTACAATTCAGTATTCATTGATGAATACATAGTTCGAAATTAGTCTAGTGGAGATTATTTTTAGCTCAGATTGTGGATGTTCAAATTAAATTGTCGTCTGAGTTGTGGTTTTGCTTGGTTAATATTCCAATCCCATGACAGATATCGCCATTAGTGCATTAGAGCTTCACAAGGAAGTGAAGTATATTTGTCTGTACATGAATATTTATGATTTACTACTCTGCCTAAGCCCAACCTAATTAGTCGTTGAATGATTGTGTTGGTGATCATTGAACCCGAATGGCTAACATTACACCTCCGGCTTTCTCAAGTGGATATGGAACCATGTTATTGGTTGGTAAAGTATAAAGATTGCGTTCATCTGATTGGCTTACATTTTTGTTTGACTGAATTGATGAAGATTGTCGCGATCTGATTGATGGGTAACTTCATTTGAAGAGGCGTTTCGTATCATTACTGAAAGGTTAATTTAAACTAGAGGAGTGTCCTGTAATCATTGGTTAACTATAGGATCCGGTTGATTGCTGATCTCTTTAATTACTTTAACCACTTTTATTGCTTTGGGACTGGTTGATTTCTGTTATTGACTTATTTCCAATCGGGTCGTATATTAACATCTGTGTAAAATTGCTGACTTATCGCTTACCACGTTGTGAAGGGCTGGTATACTGATGACGATGTGATGTATGTCAGTGAAACGTTTGCCAACCAAAACTGTAGCTCAGAAAACAACTTAGTTTGAAGAAATTAGCTTATCTGCCCACTGAATACTGTGCTTCACACTTCAAACAATTTGTTATTTACGCAATATATATCACTGCGAATTTAACAAATGCCTATGATATCTAAGTGCTGGCTTTAGAAGTGTAGCACTCTTGACAGACGAATCACTAAGAATAGACAGTGAAGCGGTTGAGCGCGTTGAACACTTCACTTATTTGGGAAATCGGATCAACCCTGATAGCTCAGTAGCCTACGAAATCTCTAGACGGATACAAAAGTCTCGATTGGCTTTCGCCAACTTAAGCCACCTGTGGCGTCACCATGATATCCGATCGTCTATTAAGGATAGACTGTAGTGTGCTGCAGTCCTCTCTGTTCTACTGGGTGGCTGTGAAACATGATCATTAAAGGTAGAAGATATGAGAAGGCTTCAGGTGTTTGACCACCGTTGCCTTCGTAGCATAGGCAATGTTTTGTGGTGTCACCATGTTATTAACGCAGAATTCAGGTGTAGATTTTTAGACAGGAGAGGTAAGACAGTTGATGCAGTTGTGAACCTTCCTCGACTGAGATGGCTGAAACATGTGTTATGTATGCATATCCACTGTCTGCCTTGTCACACAATGTTGAGTAATGTAGGTTCAGACTGGAAAAAGGCTCGGTAGTAGACCGTTCGTTTGGGCCATATATGGTGATGCAGACTAACCAGTTGGGGTCCGTGGGACACAAGAAACCATTGATTGGAGACTTTAGGTGATGTGACTGAGAACCGATGTGAACATTATCGTCACCTTAACCGCTATACTTAATCTCATCATTTTCTCATTCTTCCTACTTCTGTTTTACTACTTTCTACCTCTTTTGACAGACTTTCTTTTTTCATCTTCCATCTTACTGCCTCTTTACTTCGTGTGCTGATATGAAATGTGGAAACTTGGACCGTTGCGCAGTAATGACTAGTCCTATGTTGCTCTTGATGATGATGATGGTGGTGATACTAGCCAGATTCAGGTGATCTGAACTAATTCGCTCCTATGAGCTGAATTCGTCTGAGTACACCCTTAATGAGTTCCAAATGAGTTAAACGACCTTCCAGTGGTTAGATCAGCCTGACTGGTTTGCAACTACTCCAGTTGTTCAGTAGTACTAGTAGTAGATGTTAACATTTCTTGAGTGTTTTTCTCAATCTCACTTAATGCATGTTATCAACGTGGTATATGTCAAACATTGCTGGCTAACTGTATATAGCAAATGTTCAGATGAGCTCAGTTTTCAAAGTAGGTCCTGAAACATAAAGGTCCTATAAAGGAGTTCACAAATAGTAAGATGAAGCTTTAGAACTAGTCTCCATCGGTTTCTTCTCTATGGATGGGGAATGATGGGATGGGAAGAAAAATTGGTTAGAGACAATAGAAAGTAGTAAAACAGAGGAAGAGGAAATTAGAAAAATGCTGAATTCAGTATATTGGTTAAGGTCAAGATAAAGTGTGGATGCATCTTCTCCATTGGTATTCATTCGGGGCCATATCACCCAGTCTCCAACCACTGATTTCTATAGTCACGTGTACCCTAACCAGGAAGTCTGCATCTCCCTACATAGACCGGAACAACAGCTGAGTACTTCATGGGGTGATACCGTATTTTGGTCTGACTACCCTTTCCAGCCTAAACCCATTTCATCCAATATTGTGCGACTTGGCAGGCGGTAGCTAGGAATACGCAACACATGTATGCTCATGCTTAGCTTCATAACATTGCTCCTGAGTGGTGAAAGTATGGTATGAGTAAGTCTTTTACCGTTGCACCTTTAACAAATCTGATGGTAATCGATTTCTCACAAAGTTACTTAGTTAAGTCTTTCGGCTGGTGAGCGAAATGGATGAATTACCTTCCGAGTGACCATCGTCTCATAGACTTAACTCTAAAACAGTTCACAGTTCAACTGTATATCTGCTAATTTCTATCTTTTAATTACTGAGAGATTTTGAAGTTAGTTGCTGAAGAATTTCATTGTTTGATGGTAATAAATTATTGTTACATTTATTTTTTTTTACCTAGTTTCTATCTTTATTATTCATACACATATAGGCACTGATTATGTTAAGCTTATGGAGGCGTATAATTGAGTTAGCCCTCCGACCTGAAACATCAGTAAATTAACCCAAGGAGCCGATTGGTTAGTTTATGATGCTGTTGTTCCTACTGTTGTCGTCACACCACCATCGAGTTTACCACCGCTGTTATCTAGTGTTACTATTCTACTTTGTTGTTGTCTCATAAGCGTACGCATATTTTACCTTGTTTGTGATGTTATCTCATTGTCAAAAGGATATTTTGATTTTGTGATTGTTTGCTGGAGTTCTATTGTGTATAACAGTGTTCATTGGTATCATGGTTGTTGTGTTGTTGTTTTTTTGCAGCTAGTGTAAACTGATTGATGTAGCAAGTTGGTTTTCAGAGCTTTACTGTTTCCTACGAGATGATGAAATGCCACATATCCTATTATTATTTTACATCGAATTGACTGACTTCTGTTGGCACTTGGGTTCCTGTGTGAATGACTCTATATTGTCTGGTTATTCAATGTGTTGTAATTTTCTTAGTGGTGGGTAGCAGTGAAATCAAGGATGCGCATTTTGTCTCATCACGGACTTATCATCTGTATGTACCTACACAATGAAGTAGCCCTCATGGCTTCATGGTCTAGTCGAGTCTCAGTAGGAGCAACATCACTGACTGGGGTACAGTTACATCCAGCTGACGAGCTCCAGGAAGGACGAAACACATGTTCTGGGTTACACTGCTATCCACCATCAAACAAATTCCACTTACCATAGTTTAAGCACGTCTGTTATGCTTCTACTTGACATATATACCTTGAGACATGAACTTATGTGTTAATATAGATGTAAAACCTAGGCACTGTGTTAGGATTTAATTCCATATTAGATTTCTTCATTAGATTTCAGCTAAATCACTATATGCTATAAATCGAACAAACAAATCTAATATGGAACCTACGTGTTGTTGAGATATGCTGATGTTTGTTGACAGTTATTCTGTATCTTTTCCAATTGTGGTAACCGGAACATCACTTAATGCTATGTTGTTCATTTGACGATGTTGATGCAAATCCGTTAATTCTATTGCTTAGAACATCTACTCGGCGAAGTTATTCCATGTCGCTATGCATGACTCCGAGTGGCTTTTTTGTTTTGTTAACCGACGGAAGTGGCTGTATAATCTGAGTTTTTGTTTCTAAAGTTAAGTTATCTTTGAAGCTACAGACTACTCTGTCCCCTGTACGATCAATACGACCTACTTCTAAGCATTGGAAGCTAAAAGTGATACACTGTAGTGTTGCATTTTTTTGTATAGCTTATTTATTTCTTGAAGGTTTAGTCGATTGATTTCAGTTGGTTGTAAGAAAGAGGAAGTGTTTAATACGGATGAATAACAATTAACCTAGTAGTTTAATGATGGTTATTTTTGTTGTTGTTTGCGTCAAAATAACATTCAAGTCTTGATGAGAACGTGTGTTTCTGATGTTCTGGAGTTACCTTCTTGCACTTACATTTAAGTCAGATAGATAGAATGTATAAACATAGAGGACCTATCGTTAGCGAACAATACAAAGCCGTAGAGTTTGGAGTTTTCCTTAGTTCCTGGTAGTATTCTTCAAGGATTAGAATGCTATTGAAAAAACTTAGAAGCACTGGACAGCTATTTCATCCTAATGTGTCACTCTTTAGTAGTACACACCCACGACGTTGCCGGAGATCAAATCTAAAATCATCAGGTCTCTTGACGAATACGTTAACCATTCAGCTATTGAGTTGAAGTTCAACGATCAATGATCAACTTGTGATATAACATAACTACAGCTACCCCAGTTTTTCAGTCTGAGATGAATACTATCTTGATACAAATAAAATTCGCATAAAGTTTAAATTATAATAATAATTAATTTATATAAATTCTTTATTTCAGAATTTACAACTGTTTCAAAATTTTGTATCCCTTTTCTCAATCTCACCGTCAATTACTTAATCGATGGTAAGGATTATTATTTGCAATCACTAAAAAACACCGCCTACCTACTCATCGTTTGTATTGTACACGTGTATGAATAAAGGATAACACTACTAATCATATTGAAATTGTTAAGTCGGTTCATTTAACAATAATATTGTCTTGTGTCAAAATGTCTTCCTTTGTGTGTCTGTGCCGTGTGTGTCGTGTCTCCAGTTTAAAATGTGTTCTGTACAAGCTATCCAGAGACTATTGCCTACATGATATCATGTTCTTATACTATTCAATACATTCCTATGCCAAAAAAAATCTGCCTTGTTTCCCTACTTTTTATTTATCCTTATTCCTTGACTATTAAATGTGTATTTTCGAGTTTTTACAGTGGCCAAGAAGTTACCTACTTTACTCTTTTGATCCCTATGTGCATTCTATGCACTAATATGTGATATATTCAATAATTTTATAATTTTCCTCTTGTTCTTGTTGTCTGTCGGTGACACTTTTCTTTACCATGTCTATACCTGTGTACGGGTGGTCTGCAGAATCTCTCGTATATATTTCGCCTAACCTTTTTGTAATGCTATGATCGTTCATCACATTGTGATATTGATCTTCAATTAATATTCATCTACTTTTATTGTCTATCTTTACTCCTTAAGAGAATAGCGACCAACAGTATCGATGATGTCTATTTTATTCTTCAAATCTTGTGTGAGGTTTTGTTGTTGTTGTTGTTGTGTCTATTTGTTTCCTCACATAACTATGATGACCATATTGAGGATAAATAAACGCTAATAATCTGTATGAAATCAAACATAAACATTTTCCTCTGATATATTCAATTTCCTCTTTCTTTCCTCTTCCCCTTCGACATGTGATTATTCTTCTTATCTATTAGTTTCTCGTTGAAACTGACGGGTGGAAATGTAAAAAAGAAAACTGAAAGAAATATGTTTCTTATATTTGTTTACATGAGAGAAATTTCATTCTTGTAAGGAAATATATTTTTATAGAAAGTTGTGTATCTATCTTGCATGGTGATCAAATTGCATTTTGCAAGCACTATATTATTACTGCTATCATTGTCAGTATCATCTTTGTCAGAGATTTCCTCTTTCAACTTCATACAGACATACTTTCATAGTTCTGAAGTATTTGTTGTAAATGTCAGCTTGTTCCACAGACAGGTTTTTCTTTGGTTTTATTATTATTACTATTATTATTAATGTTATCACTTTCACTCGAATTATGCTTATCATGACAATATTTCGCCAGTGTAAAACCAAAACAAAACTATATTGACTTGTTTATTCAACCATACAACTATCTGAAGGTTAGTTAGTTGGGCGGCAATCAGCACGAAGTCGTGTTTGACCTGGGTTTCGTGCTTGTTGGCACTCGTCAGCAAGGTGTATCTGCGACCTCTCCAGTAACTAATCATTGTATGTAATCCATTCTTACGGCAGGGCAGTCATGACCCGGATTGCTCAGTGGTAACATCGCTGATTACAACACAGTGGTGTGGATTCAAATCTCAGATCAGACATCAGTTCCCACCGACCTTGCAGATGTGCCTTACTGATGAGTGTCAACAAGCACGAAACCTAGATAAACAACGGGTTTCTACCGATTGCCTCCAGCTAACTAACATCCACCAAAGTGGTTGGCCGCATTACAAAACGATCGATCGAATTCGGTCAACAATCAAGACTAGATTAGGATGAAATTGACTACTCTCCAGTGACCAGTCAATGTATACAACTTACTACTTTTCACAGTCCTTCGATGATGGAGTATATCTAAGTTATACACAAACTGCAATCGTTATAATTCCTATAAGCCATGCCATCTAAGGTGTTGTTTTTGTGTGTTTGTTATGTTTGGCCGTCATTGGGTACAGAAACCTTATCGCATTAGATTTCGTTGTTTTGGCGCTTAAAATTAATAAGTTCACTACCAAGATAGTTAGAAAATGCAAATCGCTGAGAAGTCGGTGAGAAAATTTCAGCCTGATCTATTTAATGTCATACCTGAAATCATTCAATAAATCACCACAAACTTCCAATCTGAATTAAGCTAGTGCTCATTAGTGAATTGCTTTGAGATGTGATCCTCAAAGTTCTGTTGAAAAGTCATGACCGGTCGGGCAAACTAAATCGAACGTGAGCACAGTTACTCAATGTTGACACTGGATGAAAGTCGCGCTTTATCATGAACTGACAGGTAAGAAATATTGATTATTGGATGCCGACCCAGTGACCTTACGGTAAGTTGCTAGCTGTGCAACCTTAAGGGTGGAGTGATGGGTTCACACTACTGAGGAGTCTCGTGTTACGACGAAACAGCAGTCCAGTGCCCCTAGGTTTCCAATGTTTTTCCAACTGATATCATTCCATATTGAATACCAACCTGAAATCAATAAATAAATTTTCACAAGCCTCCAAATTGAAATAAAAGGTTGATTGACTTCAAGATAATATTCGTCACAGACTGATGAAATGAGTTAAAGAACTAATGAAAGCGTTGGAGCATTAAAAAGCTGTTTTGTTCTAGTTCTTATTATAGGAAATAGTAACTTGTGGAGCCAATCAAGTTGGATGTGATGGGAGGTCCTCGCCAATAGTACTAGATATTTGACGCGCTTTATTACGAATTAATACGCTGATTGATATTGTTGCTTCTGAATGCACATTACTGATGAGTTTCGTACTTGGACGAGTCAGCTGTCCAATACTCTCGAGCTTTGGATGCTTCTCTAGCTTGTATCATTTGTCGGCTATCATTAACTTATGTAAGACCGTTACGTATCAGCTGAATATTAATTTTTAGATAGAAATGTTGGGGATACCTGCTTCCTTGGATTTTAAAATTATGCTTAAATTTAGATGACTGTTTGCTATACAATGGAAAATTTAATATCTTCCAGTCGATTTGCATCGATGTACTATGGTAGCGAGCTGATGGTATGGAGATGTGGCTCTATGGTTTTAGCACTTGATTTTCAGTTCAAAACTCCATCTACGTTTTTTTGTCGAGGCAATCGGGCAGTATTGTAAGCTGTCACAAAAAATGTGTGACTGATAGCCTAGTACATAAACGCTTGACCATCCAGGAATCCGTACTATTAGGCTACCAGAAGATATAGCAATTGGCTACTGAATTACTTTTATACTTCAACAAAATAAAACAGCTGCTTATATATATATATATATATATATATATATATAAATATATATATATATATATGAGTACAGCGCTGAATAGTGAAACTGGTCGATTTTTAAATGGGTTGGGACATTTATTCTAAATCTCTCTACTGACTGTCACCCAGATAGGAAATAATTAGTCAAAGAAAATCTTGTCCATATGAGAGTGAATGCTCACTAAAATTTTTTTATCACTACGCTGATAATAATAACAATAATTATCGCTTTATTCCTAACAATATGTGTGCCTCAGTATGGAATTTTCAGTAGGTTATATTTCAGCAAATTCGTTCCCTCTACAATATTTCTAAAAGCAATAGTTATTACGTCTGAATAGTGTTCATAATAACACCATTAAAAGTATTGACGTAAAACGGGCAGCTGGTGTTATATTGGTATATAGTCTGGACTGTGGATGAATACAAAACCGAGTGTAATTTTGATACTGTCAATTCAATCAGTCACTACAAAAATCTGCGATTCCAAGTAGAAGTATGATAAGAATGACAGTGTGCTGTATTTCGAAGCATTTATACTTCCATTTCCACCTAGTTTGAAACCATTTAAACAATGTAAGAGTACACGATACGCTTAGAAGACGTATTTTATAGATTAAAACAAACAGAAAAAGAATTTGATGAAATATATTTGGTGGAAAATTTTTGATAGCCCAGGGTTTAAGCTGGTCCTTAAATATTATTCAGCTGTTCGTTTTTATCCCTTAATGTTCGATACTCCAGTTAGCTGCTAACATCTACATCTTGAGAATACATTCACATTGTTGGTACTTACAAGTTATGTGAACCATTGTACATTATGATGAATGTGTTTTTTTTTGATTTTATTCAGTCGGTGCCGACATGAGATCTAGCATTACTGAGTAACGGTCAAAGCCGGCATACGTCGTCACATCAAAGTACAAAACAAAAAACCAGTAGGGAAGGCAATACGTAATGTTAACAAATGTTGTAGTAAGTTATAAAATGAGAGGGTAAAGCAAATAGCGAAGTTTTGTACAGCGTTAAAGTCGAAGAAGATATATGAATGCATCTGCCACACTCATAAACTGACACCAAAAGGACTACATTTTCCTATGTGGCTGGGGACAGCATTCGGAGGTTTCGTGGACTGATGCCCACTTTTCAGTATTATCGTCTTTAAGCCTTATTCTGGTTTAATCCTGCTTCAGTTAACATTATACATCCATGCATACGTTGTCTAGGGATGTGGAACATAGGTCCAAGGCACTGGAGTTAATGAAGGTTCACAGTATCTATAATTGAATTATCTCTCTTATCTAAGGTTCTTCTCTGAACCACTAAATTACTAACGGAGTAAGTAACGCTACCAAGACAATGGTGGTCGAACATCTGAAGTCTTTTCATGTCCTACTCATGAAGTAGCCATGCAATGAAAGAGAGCGAATATTTATGCATAAAGATATCACACCGGCTCTATCCGTAAAATAAGTCGCTAAAGCTAATCATGCTTTAAGTATGTGTGTCAAGATATCGTTGTTCACAGATGCCTCAATGCTAACACACTGAACTGATTTATATATCACTTTGGTCGAGGTATCAATGCAGACTAATACTAGTGAACATATCTTGTTGGAGCGAAGTTGAAAAATCTCGTTCTAAAGCTGGTTATCAGTCTGCTTACGCTGGTTTCCAGCTGGCAGTTGATCTTTCTCGCCGTCTTCCTCACCCATCAGTCCCTTGATTTCTGTGCATTACATCACCTGACTCAAAGAAAATGTACACTGGTTGCATTTCCCATGAATGTACAGGCCATTATTGTGAGTGGGAGAAA